TTGGCCCATGCTGAAACCTCCAGTTGCTGCTCTAGTGTTTGACAATCCACTACTGCCATCAAATTGTGGCATTCCTACAATTCTCGGATCCTCAAAAGCCTCAGCTGCTTTATCGGCAACAATGTTACTAACTAAATCTTCAAAATTTATTATCCGGGCAGCCAACATCAAGCACATGGCAGCTGCTTCACCTGCTCCAAAGCGGGTGAAAAAATCTTCTAGAAGGGACCTTGGAGAGTTGGATTCCAGAAGTCTTCTTAAGATATCAACAGGTCTATTAAAAACCAGTTCCATCATACCCATGGTGGTAAAAACGACAATCTTTCTCCTTGGCAAAATATGCTGGGTTGAAAGATCACCTCTGGCCCAGAGTTTTCCACAAGCCTTTTCGTAAGACTCTCCTGAGACTTCGAGTCCACAGTATTCTAGTTCCGAATATAGAGATTGAACAGTAGCAGCAGTATCAGGAGAGGGGAGCACATCTACTACAAAAAGCATACGGCCTTCAATAGGAAGGGAAGACACAATTTCTCGTAAAGCCCGAGAACTCCTTGAACTTGGCCCTGAACTGCTGCCAACCTGAGAGTGAACGCTTGAATCTCTGCTAACAACAAGAAGAGAAGACATAGCAGGTGGCGATGAATCTGAAAGGACAAGAGTTCCAACAGAATAGTAGGCTGTTTCAACTTTCATAGAGAGGTCTTCATTCTGAGCTCTACCAGCTATAGATGCGGCTCCAAAACCAAGACCAACACCAACCCCCAATGGAGGAGATGGCCTGGTTGAAACCACTTTCAGACAGTTTGGAGTCTGACGGTGGTTGTTGAACCCACTGAAGCTAATATTACTTCCACTTGAGGAGGTGGAAAGATACATCCTCCTGCCATCTGATAATGATGCAACAAGGTGCAACCATTTCGATTCCAGCATAGACAATGGTGAAATGCTGACTATGGATGGCTTGTTAGATCGACCGGCCACTGCTGACTGCCGATTTCCTTGGCTCGCATCCTTCTGATTTAGTAGGTTCCTTTCCTCTGCAACCTTCTTAAGAGGACCTTCCCCATTCGGCCCAAAAACATATGCTTGAAGTTTCATCTCTTCAGTGCGGGCATATAAAATTTGCCTTTCGTTATCCACAACCATCTCTATGACAGGATCTACAGCTCCAAACTTGAATACATTTGGCACAACCCACCTAAAACAAACAGAATTAGGGTTACATGTTTAGAAAACAACAGAAAGAATATGGTGCTGCGTAACTGTTTCCAGCATAAGGAGTTTTAGAGAAACAATATGGATTTCTAGAAGCTTAGTTCATCCCAAGTCCCAGAATAGACAGCAGAGAGAATAAATAAACGAAAAAAGAGAAAGAGAATGTGTGTACCGTGAGATCATACTACCTACGCCTGCCGTAAGGCACACTTTACGACAACGTTTATTCCAGCCTGAGCCAGTTGTATATAGCAGCTCATATATGTGACCATCACGTCCAGCAATGAATATGCGCCCTTTATTGGTACATGTAACGCATGTCATTGTCACTCCATCCGATGAAATTGTATAGTCAGGTAGAGGCTGTACTGAAATTTCAGCATAAGGATCTCTACCATCAGGTCCTTCAGTGCAGCACACTCCAACAAGAACCAACTGATGAGAAGTAGAGTTTTTTCTCAGAATAATCAGAAAATGGACACAAAACTAAAGAAGTTGTGACTAGATATTGCGCCTTTGAAAAGTGTCACCTCAACAGGAGTTGCCAGCACCAAAAGGTATTGAATAGCTTCAACAAAAACTCCAGGTCTACATTTCGCTAGACCAACCGCACAAATAGCCTGCTCCGCCCCACTATACTCAGGACATTGTCCATCCCTAATTGACATGCATTTATCAAAAACAAAGGACACCTACGAAAACAAGGCATCTCAAGCTTCTAAATTCCCCTGTAACTAAAAGGAAAAGCCAAATTTACCTTTTGTCAAAACGCCACAGAAACAAAGAATTGTCTACAGATGCCCAAGCTCGTCTAATCTCCGGAAAAATCCCACACAAAGCCGTCCCTTCGCCGCCGGCTGTATTATACCTCTCAATAAGAACAGAAGGCAATTCCCAAGTCTCACCAACCTCAATCAAAGGCGGCCACTGCAACAAAGCCAAACACCTATAAGACAAAGCTCAAGTTCTACCCCTGTCTACACATCATGCCCATTTTGTAATACCTCGATTCCAACTATTTTGTTTTTCTTCTATCAAATCGATAACCCAACAGGAACAACAGAAAACGAAAACGAGCTCATTTGCTTCGATAAAACAATATAAAGGAGGTGGAATCGTTCGTGGAGCTAACTAACCTCTCTGGGATGAGTCGAATAAGGGTGACTAGCGTATCTAGAAGCTTCAAGAGCTTCTTCTAGATCGAGCTGCGATGCGGCTTCTCGGCCAATGCGGTCACCAATGCAAATCCCAGCGTTCGTCACATCACGCAACACAATCTCCTCGTCTTGTGACATTTTATTGGAAGAACAAACAAAACTGGGACGAATCCAAAATCAAGAAAAGAAAAAAAACACGGATTTTGAAACAGAGAACCCTAAATGAAGTTCTTGGGAGCGAGAAAACCAAAAACCCTAGATCGATTTTGGCTCCCTCGAGAAAACAAAGAGAGCGGGAACAGGAAAGAGAAACTTCCCAAGTTCAAATTCCGATTGGAGAAGAAGAGAGGGAGAAGGAAAGGAAAAAAAAAAAGAAAAAAAAAAAGTGTCTGCAACCACACCACATACAGTAAAAGAGAGTCGCAAGGGTTTAATACGGGAGAGAGAGGTTTCTCGGGGAAACCAAATACATCAATTTTGCCTTTCCCTTCCGGCTAACCAGTCGGGTCGAAACTTTGTTGTTACCCGGGTCGGGTTAATTCTTTTTAAATTAACCAATAATATATCTTTATTCTTTTATTTTTCTCAAACAAAAATATTGTCAAATAGAGATTGTATATATTAAGGTTTAGATTCTAAATTTGGTAAATATTACTGACAATAATTAAAAGAGAATAAATTGGTGACTATGAGATTATTAGAATCGATATTGTTTAGAAAACTATAAAAAGTGACTTTATTTTTTTCTATATCGAAGTAAATTTAGAAAAGTTTATTTTAAGTATTGGAAAAGATTTTGATTGTAAGAAATTTTTAAAATTTGAATGATGCTTAAACAATTGTTCGGTTTGAACAAAAAACAGGTTACGTTTTAGATACAAAAAAACAGGTTACGTTTTAGATTAAAACATCATCAAAACTCACATATCTCGTTGTTATTTTTTAATCTTGCTTTTTTCGAGTGTCCAAAACTCCATAATATTGCATCATCCTCGCTGTTCTTATTTATTTTCTCGTCGACTACCTTCTTATTCATAATCTTGCTTTGATATATGATATATCATAGTTTTTGAATACTTTTTCGCAGTATACAGTACTTGTTTTGGATTCAGTCCTAATATAAAGATTACAATTTATAGTTTTAAGTTATTAATTTCTTTGCCCAAAAAAAAGTTATTAATTTCTTATATAGTATATAGTTTTTTGTTTGAGTAAACACCCCCCATTAGTTGTGACATTTGTGATACATGATTTTATTGATGACGCGAAGTTCATTGTTGCATCAGGACAATATTAATGAAAGTGAAACGCTTGAATGATTATCTCATCTTTAATTAGAGTGTTGAAATGGTTCGTTTTGTCCTTGAATTTACAGATAGTATGTATACATTTTAATTCATTTAACAAGTTTTTCTTTCATGCATGACTTCGGCTAAGAGATTTCACAAAACTTTATTCAAAAGTCATGACAGATTTTCTTAAACATCTGATAAATTTATGTATGACAGAATTTTTGTTTAGTGTGTTCAACATGTTATTTAGAGAGAAACTTATCACGTAAACCCTTGTATAAACTTGTGGGCTGATGAATAGTTTTGGATGAAATTTTCTAAAAGAGTGGCTGAAAAGTGAAAACCAGTTAATAATAATTGAGAATTTGTTAACCTTGTGCATCTAGGCACAATCACACACAAATATGAATATGCAACGAACATTTTTTCAAGATTCAGCATTGATGGTTTATATCCGTTAGGTATGGACATACATAGTAGTAGATATTTATCAATAAATGAATTTGACGTATATTATGGTTAGATATAACTAAAATCGGGTCTAACGGACTAAAACCCATACTAACTTTCATAGTCATATGAGTCAAATTTTGATCACCAACGTTTATGATAAACTCGTCAACGATAGGAGCATCTTTAACTCGATTTTCTTATAGTCAAAAGATCATAATTTTGGTTTATATTTGTTATTAGTTTGGCATTTCCGTATAAATAGCAGTACTTGTCGTAACCACGAGACTTAGTGAAACCATTGTTCCACGTCGGTAGTGTATCGTCTTAATTTTTTCCATGGGCTGCTATGGACACAGACTCGGAACTCAGTGTAAACATTAACGTGCCGCGTATGGACAGCGACTTTTTATTTATTGATTATGTTTCTAACGTGCCGCGTATGGACATGATTAAGTAACCAAGACTTAAGCCTTAGCTAGACCACGAAACGACACAGAAACTTACGTACATACGAATACGATCTATGACTCTCCCCAGTCCCCTCCACTTATTATTTATGGTTTATGCCTCTCGCTCTCTTGCTACGTAATTTACACGGCCTACCAATATTTTTTTTGCAAATACTTGTACTAATATTTTCACCTTCAAACTTTCACCACCTAATTGATACGTTCACGTGTCACACTAATTGTGTTTTAAAATGATGTATATTTAATTGTTAAAATATACTACTACTAATAATTATTGATTTCGAAAGTTAATATAAAACTAAAACATAATTAAAGACAATAAAAACAAACCAAAAAAGAGGATGTTGAATCGGTCGTTTTTCTATAAAAAGGATAAGCCACAAGGAGGCAAAGACAACGCTTTTTGTCTTGTCCCAAATCTTTCTCACTCACCCATTTCACAACTTCATTATTCCTATCCACTCTTTCTTATAACTCTCAAAACGATTCTTAACTTCCGATCCCAAAGCCGGCACAAGATTCGTGTCTTCTTCCGTTTTAGCCATCCAGACAAACCGTGATCTCTCTTTCTTTTATACAGTCGACGAACAGTTAGGTTCAGACTTCAGATTCTTCACACGCCTCTCTTTTTTTCTTGAAAATGGTGTGCTTGGTCTCTCGTACGGGTCGTCAATCCCAAAGATACAATAAGGGACGCCGTATAGTTGTCGGGTATGTTTCATCTATGTGTATGTGTATTGTTTCTCCATAAGAGTTGACTTTTGTGTGATTGAGTTTCTAAAGTTTTAAAATTGGATGATTCATATATTGTAGGTGTATTCCGTACAGACTCAAGACTTCGAATGATAGCACAACTAGTGACGAATATGAAGTTCTTGTTATCTCATCACAGAAGGGTCAAGCTCTGATGTTCCCAAAGGTACCAATTAACTTTTGACCCCTAACAAGAGCCAAAAACATGAATAATAAACCCATTCATTATAATAAGTCCTGTGGTGTGAGTGTTTTAGCTAGTTTACTGATATGTAATTAATTTTTATAATGTCAGGGTGGTTGGGAGCTTGATGAAACTGTTGAAGAAGCTGCGTCAAGAGAGTCCCTAGAAGAAGCTGGAGTTGTTGGAAACGTTGAGGTGACTTTGAAACGGATCACATAAATTGCGTATTTGGATCGTTTTTTTTAACTTAGATCGATCTATTAAATTAAAAGATGTGTGTTTTGATATTTGTGTGCAGAGACAACTTGGGAAATGGGATTTCTTAAGCAAAAGCAGAGGAACAATTTATGAAGGATTAATGTTCCCACTGCTTGTGAAAGAAGAGCTTGAGATTTGGCCTGAACAACACCTTCGTCAGAGAATGTGGATGAAAGTAGATGAAGCAAGAGAAGCTTGTAGAGATTGGTGGATGAAGGAAGCTTTAGATGTTTTGGTACAGAGGCTTTCTTCACCACCAAGGAAGCCTATGGAAGAAGACAAGACCATTCCATTGATCTCTATCTGCTGAAAACACACAATCTGATGTGTTCTTGATCATTTTGTAGATAAGAAAACATCTTATGCCCTTCCCGTGAAGGAGTCTACGTACGTTCTACTGCTGCTGAAGGAAAAGTATGTACAGAGCAACGAGCAGATTTGTAGATTTTAGGTGTGTCGAGGGTCTCAAAATATCATGTGAACGTGGGATAGATTAGTTTGTTTTTGCCAACTGCTTAGGATGGGCGGAAGAAGATAAAATTCAAAGAGTGCAAACAAAAAACTGTACAATAGTGTTTACTCTCTTTGTATCTCTCCCCAACTTCCTTTATCTGAATTGACAATGAATCCATAATATAAATAAATTTAAGACGATTATACCCAGAAAACCAAATTCACAAGAAAACTCATATTTGTTGTTACATACTATAAATAATAGACTTCTTTTTAGTTTGGCAAAACCGACAGCTATCTATCTAGTAATTAATAGAACTTTAAAATTGCTATTTTTAGTTAGAAAGATCAAGATATGAAGATCAAGATATATTATTAGGTTTAAGCACGATGGTAGTGACCATGATGAAGAACATGATCGGTGACATCATTGATCATTGTCTCATAATGAGAATCTCATTGATGATGGTGATGGGTTACACGAGTCATGTTTAGGGCTTTGCTGAGTCATCATCATCTCTTCCAATCTAGCTTTTGTGCTTTATCTTCTTTTTTTCTTTGGAAAACTTTTCGTTCACACTTTGTAGAAGTAAACCTGATTTTTCCAACTACTTTTAAAGCTTGTCATCAGCCAATAATATTGATTACACTTTTTCCAAACCTAACTAAAATTAAAATTGACAAAAGCTAAAAATATTTATTGTACAGAGTCTGTGGAGTTAACAGCGATTTAATTATTATCAATTTGTGGAAAACTCGGATGTTCCACGTAAGTCATCTGTTTTGTCGGTACAAAGAAAAAAAAAATGCCAAACCGCTTTACGGTAAGAAAAAAAAACGCGATCCACGTTTTGTCCGGTCTCTGTAATTAAGAAAGTGTGAATGATCAACTTCTAGACATATGATATTTGTATTTTAAAATCTTTTATTATTCTTAATTGACACCTTAATCAGATGCAAAATAACTCGGTTCCGTGTGCTAAACTTAAACTCAAAATATAATGAGCCTACTTATATAACTAGGTGAGTTTGTATAACTAGTATTGTTTCTAATACGGTTCAACTTTTTCTATACATAATATTAGTTATTTATTAGCAAATTAGAGATTTTTGGCCAAGAAAATATTTAACTATGATTTAGCGGTCGTTGAAATCAAATCTATAATACAAAGCAGGGTGTTCACTGCAACATGTCATCAAAATTTAACAAAGCTATGTATGGGCCAATACAGTTTCATATTCTCATATGATTCGAACAACTTTCACGTGCCATGATGGCCAGATCCGAACTGACAATCTCAAAAGTGATATTAACCCAAACCATATGATGCAAAGCCCAATCAAGGCAGAAAATTTATATTTCAACCGAATATAATTAATAAGCCCATGCAAGGTTTTAAAATGAGCACTTTCAATCTAACCGGATAAAACCAGCCTGATAGAATTGAAATCCAAACTAAATTGAACTACTGTAATAAGACTTCGGTTCGAGTTCTAGCCATAGCTTTGCCTTAAACCAAGGAAATCGAACGAAATCAGACCAAAATCAAATGTAATGTTGACGGATACAGATATATGACCAGTGAGAGGTATACCTAGATATATAATGTCTACCTGGATCTAGTTGTACCAGGTAGACAGATTTCAATCTTGCATAATAATTAAGCTTTCATATTTCACACTTGTAATAATTATTGAAGGAGTATAACATGCAACTTAGAAAGTAATAATTAACAGGAAAAGTACATTAATTGAACATGCATGATGTTCTCTACTCTCTCTAGTAATGTATTACGTAGTTTCAGGGAAGGCACGGTCCAACAAAGTAATGAATCTCGATTTGTTTAATTAGTATTATCTCGATCTTGCTTTATTTTATCTGTGTTTATAAGTTTAGACCAGTATGTGTTGAAAGACGAATAAAATAAAAACTTAGGATAGCCGCCATTGAAGAAATAATTAATCATGTAGTTATGTTCAAACTTTCACAAACAAACATACTTACTTAAATACAAACAACAAAGAGAGGATAAAACCTCGTTTATTTTAGTATATGATTACATAAAAAGAATTAACGGGTCATGCCACCATGGGCGACTGGAGCACCCATCGCCACACCTCCTTGGTTCTGCTGCCTCTCCACGTTACCAGCCCATCCTAAACCAAAACAAAAATACACCAAATGATCCAATAATGTCAATGTTTCTGCGCGTGGTTACAATAAAACAAATGAACTAGAAACAACATGGAAAATAATTAGCCACATATGTGTGTCTAAAGAAGAAGATAAAAATACCAAGAGACATATCGAAACCGCGATGCTTGAGTTCACGGTATTGTTGGGTCAAAGCACAGAGCTCACAGCAGAAATGCTTAAGGCAATCTCCACAATCATCGCCACCAATGTTGTATTGAGCTCTCATCTTTTTACGATAGAAACACGAGTACATACATGCACAACTCGTTACTGCCATTATCAACGCGTATAGTGCTCCAGCCGTACCACACGCTGCAAATTTTTAAGAAATTATAAACCCGTTATATATAATTGTTTAATTATATAGTATTTATGAAAAAAGATATCTCATAAGTAATTAGTAACAACTTACTGGTGGCTCCTTGATCAACAATCTCAGCGACTTGCCCGAATGTAATACATGGACACCAGAACGTGATACAACCTGTGTCCATTCATTTTTTTTTTTTTTTTGCAAGGTAATTATTAATTAGGTTTTTAATTTCTTCTATAAATCAAAGTCTAAAGTCAATTAATACAAGTAAATATATTGCGAAAAGAGTGATTACAGTTGGGGAAGTCGGAGAAGCAATCACAGAAGCCAGTGGACCATTCTCCTTCAGCATGAGGCTTGCCATGAAGGTGTTGAGCTTCCATGGAGGGAGAGATAGACTACAACTTTTTAAAATAGAGATCGAAAATGTGTTTAAGATTTTTGTAACGAAACGGAAGAAGGATGCTTTGTATTTATAATGGACATCATTTTTTAAATCCCTAAATAATAATTCACATATTTTTGTGGTTTTCTTGGAAATTTCCAATTTTCCATCACCGTTTACTTAATATTATTCCAATTGACTTTTACCAACTTTTCCTACTTTTTTTTTGGTAATGGATAATGTTTGAAGTGAGATATGAGAAACTACACATATATAAAACTGTTCTGCATAGTTCTCATGAAAAAAAAACAAAAAAAAACTTACTTTTTAGATTTGGCACTACATGTATGGACTTACACTATTAGAAAAATACATGGACTCTTGAATTTTACAACGATATAAATTACTATGAGTTTAGTTCCTCCTGAACTAGTCATTATTTGTTATTAAAATATTTTAGGAAACACAAACAAACAATCAACACTAATAGAAAAAAATCAGAATTTTATTTTATAGATGTATGACTATGAAATCTTCTAATCCAATCACTGTTTTACATTTTAAAAATAAAGTCTTACATCCAAGCAGTCAACAAGATTAAATAGAGAAAACAAAAACTTTTATAATAGGTTAAGCATTCAGAGTGATAAAAGTGATGATGTTTTAATTTTCTAAAGCTTTTTTATTTTCCAAAATGTAACAAAAATCTCTCCATAAAATAACCATACATGATCATCCTTACTAATTAAAAATCCACACGTCTATTACCAAATAACCATACCTAACTCTAATGGTATGTATGATTATTAGAACTTATGGCTATAAGTAAGAAAACACTTTAAGAAAATTAGTTCAAGTTGACCGTATCAATTTTGATCTTCTAAGTACTGTGACGATCAAATCATATAAGAAGTTGTATAGTCTCGCACGCAAGTGACTATTCCCATGAGGCCATGACCGAAAATAAATACATTTTTTCTGATGTTGATTTAATCCTTATTTTCAGGTCACCACCAATCATTTTGCAAATTAGTGTCCTAAACTCCTAATCTTTCTGTATAGTAGTACTACTTAATATGAAAAGAAAAAACATAATGGAATTAATAGTTAATGAAGCAAGTGACGAGGCTTCAATCGGATAATGAATTGGAGGATGGAATTAATAGTTAATGAAGCAAGTGGCGAGGGTTCAAGTCCTAATCATCATCGTTAATCTTTTTGGTCTTGTATCATTATTAAACATGGATGGACCATATATTTATTAGATATTTATATGGGATAAGCCCACTTTTGTTGACTGGTGGCTGGGACAATTTCGACGAAGTCGTCCATAGCGTTCACAGGCAGTAAATACCTACAAAGTGCAAACGATTTTTTGATTTTTTATTTACGAATCGGTTCATCATAAAAATAAAAAAATAAACAGTTCAACTAGATGATAGTAATTTTATTTTCTTGTAATATACAATATTACTAATAGCACCAAAATGAAGAGTGGCCAAAATTTTGAAACCGCCATATAAAAATGTAAGATGTTTCTTTATTTTTGATAATACTTCAACTCGTTTTTCGTTTTATCTTCTTTAATAGTGCAAGGGTGGAGATGTCCTACTACTAGTCGAGCTGCCGTATAAATATGTAAGATTATTACATATTCATGTAATAACCAAATTCATAGATGAAATTTATCAAATCAATCTTGGATCTAGCGGCCACTGCTATGAGTTTAGAAGGCCCAACCTAAGTCTGAGACCACAGTGATCAAATCTATGTATTTTGATATAAGTTTGAGGTTAATCTCACCTTTGTTAACAAACTCATGCAAACATGGCTGAATAAAAGTAATTGAACCATGACTTACAAGGATTCTAATGCCATAGTACATCGTCTAGACCATGTGAAATTGTTTCTAAGAGATTATCTAAGCACAATTTTGAACTTCATTATGAATAACGAGATGCTTCTTAAATTGCTTAAGGGGGCACTTAAATTTGGGATCAAGCTGAGATAGAAAGACTCTTTGCTCCATAAACCAAGTGTTGGTATTGATGGGCCGTAAAGTCACAGGCCTAATATGAGTATCTTTTTTTTTTTGGGTTTCAATGAAGTTATGATTCGAGGAACTTGATCTGGTTAAAGCTGACATTTTCCTGATAGTAACTACCAACAGCTGATCCCCCAAACAAGTAGACAAACAACAAAACTATTTTTAACAAAATTTGCTTCTTCTTTTTTTTGGTAAACCAATCAAATAAGTTTGAACTAACATAATGCATAATAGTATATTTTTTTATTAACAATATGAAGGTTTAAACCATAGAATTTGATATTAATTGGTCTACCAATTTATATATGTACGAGATTGTTTTGTTATTATTATGAAACAAGCATCTAGTATGTGTTTACATGAATGGGAATGATTTAAACGTTACTCATCAAACCCTATATAATACTCCAAGTAGACTTTAGTCGGCTACCTCCCCACTATATGGTATGCACACTCACTTTTACACAAGTGGTCTTTTAAGTGGACTTTACTTCTTAAGAAGCATGGTTTGTGGAATCGTTTACTAAAACGGTCATCGTGCCATCATTTCTTTTCTTTTCTTTCACATATATCCAAGTTTAGCATTAGATTCGAACGCTATATTTTCCACATACAGTTCCATCAGCTTTCTCTTTTGGGATTGAACTAATGTAAGTACAAAAATGTTCAGATAATTCGTGTCCTATATTTGTCTCTCGATTTTTCATCGAATAGATTCAACACTTTAATCTAAAAAAGTGTCCGGTGAAAGAAAGAATACATCATTAGCAAATGAGTTGGAGCATTTTGAGAGATTAATCCAATAGAATATAATGTTTGATATAATTACGCGTGCGGATATTTTTCTTCTAGGATAACTTATTTTTTATTTGACAGAATTGATGAGAGTAGGCGAATCTCCACATACTCCATCCGTAACTTGGTGAGCGAGAGTCCCATCATAATATTCACCGTACGATTCTTTCGTGGTCGATATCGGAACTAGTTATGTACGTCCACCCTAAAGGAGCTCACTTGCGTCCGCATACGACCCTGCCTAGTTTTACTACCCTTTTACTAAATGTTATATAACATTTTTTGTTAATATCTAGCTTATGCTTTTACTTGAAAATATATGCAAGTCAGTAAGTGATAACCATAAAGAATGCAGTTCCTTTTAAGGTACGGCTAAGAGTGAACGAACCTACCAAGCCTTCCTTTTCACACCAACCATATAGATAAAAATAACACACCCGACAAAATGATTAGTGGCCAATAATGTGATTATAATGAGTATGAATGGGCAAACATGTCAAATCTCTCCATTACTCTACATCCCTACATAAACCCTCCAATCTCTCTCACAAGAAGTAAACAGAGTTCAAACTTACAAAACTTCAAAAACTTCAATATGGGAAGACAGCTTTTTACGACGACGTTTGTACACTTAGTCGCATTACTCTTTCTTTTCCGGACAATCTCAGCCGTCCGTTTCCCTCCCGCAGAACCAACAATTAACGACCTAGATTTCATCCGCACGAGCTGCAACGCAACGCTCTATCCTGACGTTTGTTATACGTCTCTGGCTGGCTACGCCTCCGCCGTGCAAGATAATCCGGCGAGACTAGCTAAACTCGCCATCGGCGTTTCTCTTTCCCGCGCAAAATACACGGCGAGTTTCCTCTCCAAACTCTCGCGTCGCTCTGCTGCAGTTTCCTCTGCCGCCGTCCACGACTGCGTTTCGAACATGGGAGACGCCGTGGATCAGATGCGTGGGTCCCTGAGGCAGCTCCGGGAGATGAACCACCGCCGTCCAGGAGCGCCGGCGTTTAGGTTTCAGATGAGCAACGTGCAGACGTGGATGAGCGCGGCTTTGACGGACGAGGAGACGTGTACTGATGGGATCACGGAGGCGATGGAAGACGGAGAGACTAAAACGGCGATTTGCGAGAGAGTCGGTGACGTCAAGATGTTCACGAGTAATGCACTAGCTCTCGTTAACACCTACGCCAACAATGGAGCCTAAGTTAAGCTATGTCTAAAATTAATAAAAAATACTTGTATATATTCTATATCTGTGTTGAGTCAGTGTGCTTTAGTATTTTCCTGTGTAATTCGAGGCTTTTAAAAACCGAGTTTAATTACTGTGTTGGAACTCTGAGTTTGTGTGTTCAAATTATACATTAATCTATGTTCGATTGCATTATTATGTGTTGCTTCGTGTTTATATTTGCGACTTGGCGTGCAATACGAGTGATGGATATAATTATAGATGGTTATGAGTTATGATTTTGAATAATTTGGGTTTAGATGAATCTTGGAAATGATTGGGATGAACTTGGCCATCATATCAACATCTCTCCCTTTCTTTTTTTTTTTTTTTTAAATTCATGAAATCAAATATCACGAATCGAAACCCGTGAGATGATTAGAATATCTGACTATGACATGAGTTTGACCCGTAAAGTTTGTCTATTTGTGGCCTACCGCTAAAATCTTTACGAAAACAAGGTTTTGTCCGTTTTGTTCACGGGGATGCCAATGTACAACCAAAAGTCATACACAAGTGTTTTCGTTGCAATGAATCAACTATGCCAATTAACAGAAACCAACTAGATTTGGCAAAAATAATAATAATAAGCTTTTGATCAACCAGCCAAATAGGCCAAAAAGCTTCCACAGTCCACTCCATTCACAGTTTTTATACGTATCACAGTTGTCTAATTGAATCCCGGGTTTTAAAACAGTACTTTTAACAAGTGGTTGTTCAAAGAGAGAACTATTAAAAGGATCACATAACACATGCAAAATTCATAGTAATAATACACTTATGAATGATACAGTCGTCCCTAACGTTAAGTCTTTATATCCTCCTTAGCAGCAAGACAACAACACATCATTACTAAAAGTTTACAATCAAATACGAGTACAAAGGGAACTATACTCCAATCTACTCAAAGCACTCTCGAGATTCCAATTTGATGTTTAGAGTTGCATAATTCAACACCCAACCGGCGCAACCACCGTGGGCTTCACCTTGGGAGGTCTCCCACGTCCTCTACGCTCACCCGTTGCCTGAGCTGCCGTAACCGAATCTGTTCGTGGTCTCTTTGGTGGCCGTCCACGTGGTCTTCCAGATCCGCTCTCTTTGGGTAGCTCAACCGAAGTTTCCGATGTATTTCTCGGCTTTGGTGGACGACCACGAGATCTAGGCGGATCTGCAGAGACGGTGACAGCAGCGCCAGATCCCCCCTGGGTTTTCGGTTTCGGAGGACGCCCACGACCGCGCTTCGGCGGAGCATCTGGATCTGGTTTCATATAATTATTCTTCACCATGATAAGCTGACCACTCTTCTTCATCTGGTTGAGATGATAGCTCAGCAGTGTCGTGTGTGACGGCGGCAAGGTTTGCTGAGCTGACTCGATGTGTTTCGAAATTGTCGTTTTGTTGCAACCGTTCTTATCATTCAGGGCTTCGATCGCTTCCATTATCATCTAAAAACGCCAATTCTCAACCCAAAAATTCAGAAACTAATTTGAAATATCTGACTATCCTATCGAGAGAGAGATTAAGAGATCTTACCTGAGGATAAGGAGGGAGTGTAAATGACTGTTGCTGACTCTGAGATTCCGATGAATGCTGATCTGAAACTGAGCCACGGTGATGAAGATCGAACGCCATGTTAAGCGTAAGCAGAAAGAGAGAGAGGTAGAGAGTGTCACAGAGAAGAAGAGTGTGTGAGGTGAGTGAGAAGTTAAGAGTGTTCAGAGGATGGATTTTAAGAAAACAATTGGGAAAGTGGTTTTCATCATCATCATCAGAATTCACGAACGAATCATATGTTCGACTAAATAATTCGAAGTCCTAGAGTTGATCGGACGGCTGGGGTTTTCCAGTATATGCTCAATCCTACGGCTGTGAGTTTATAGTTTATCTCCTGCCAGGATCCCTGACGTGGACAAAAAGAGTTTTTAGCCTTAAGAAGACATAATTCTCCTCCAACTTGAGAATTACCTTCTAAACAAAATCAGGCTTTTCTAAACAAGAGAGAGAGAGGGAGACTATATACACATTATGACATTATTTTGCTAGTCATAATTCAAAATTTATTTATCACACGAATAATTTCTTTCATCTTCTTTTAAAGAAAGTAAAAGTGAATTTTACATTTTTTATATTCACCCCGAGTCCTTTCTCTTATATATAAGCAGACCAAGATTTGCAAGACTCGAAATAACTCAGATGATGTGATTCTATTGTTACTCATATGAAACGAATGGAGAAGAGCATTTGAAACATACACCAAGAAGCTAATCACAAGAAGCCAGTGCTGCCGAAGGGGTTGTTGCGGTTATGTTGTTGATGAGCACCTCCATTTACCGGATATTCCCCAAAACCTGTGGTGCTCTGCGCTTCTGAAACGGGGATTACTGGGAGTTCCCCAAAACCGGTGCTTTTTGATGATTCTGAAACCGGTATTACTGGTACTGCCCCAAAACCTGCTGTGATTGACGGTTCTGAAACCTGGACTACAGGAAATGACCCAAAACCTGTTGTGTTTGGCGGTTCTGAAACTGGGAGTACTGGAAACGCCCCAAAACCATTGGTGTTTTGTGGTTCTGAAACCTCGACTACTGGAATTTCCCCAAAGCCGCTGGTGTTAGACGGTTCTGAAACTGGGATTACTGGAAATGCCCCAAAAGCGGAGGTGTTTGGCGGTTCTGAAACCGCGAATGCTGGAAATTCCCCAAAGCCAGTGGTGTTTGACGGTTCTGACACTGGGATTACTGGAAATGTCCCAAAAGAGGTGTTTTCTGGTTCTGAAACCGCGACTACTGGAAATTCCCCAAAGCTGGTGGTATTTGATGGTTCTGACACTGGGATTACTGGAAATGCCCCAAAGCTGGTGCTTTGTGGTTCTGAAACCGGGACTATTGGAAATTCCTCAAAATCACCAAAAGGATTTGCAGCGCTGGGTGCAACCTGAAGCTGTGGTTGCTGCTGTTGTTGATGATAGGTTGGCTGATAGAGACCAAATGGGTTGTTTGCATCTGAAGGCGGCGGAGCACTGTTCGAAAATGCAAACTGGTCTTGGACCTCAAATGGATTGGGAGCTGGAGTGCCATAGGCAGGCTGTTGGGCAGCTCTGTAGGCTCCATCTTCGTATAGACTGTTCAGGGTGAGCGTGTCTAAGCCACCCGCCTAGCATTTGTTGCAAACAAAGATGGATATGAATAAGAATCCACGGATTTAATTTACCAGTCCCAAACTGGCATATGTAAACAAGATAATGGCAAGCAATTGATGCATGCCACTATCAATAATACAATAATACATCTTACCAATTGTCTCTCAGTGGCTGCAGATATATCATTGCTAGGCGTTGTGACCAAGGCAAGCTCCCATCCTGACGAATCCAAATCTCTTACTTGACCAAAACCAAACGTCGAAGAATCATCTGTATACAGAAACGGAATCATAAATGCGATCAAAGACTAACAATTAAAGTAAACCTTTTGTACTGATGTATATAATATATAGTCCACAAAGCTCACCATCAGTGGAAACTAGGGCCAAAGCAAGTGCATTTTGGTCTAGGATTTCTAACGGATCAGGTGTATCATCATTCAGACCCTGGGTGTAACACGAAGAGAATCAGAGACTGAAGAATAGCAATGACAGAAATATTAAAAATCAAGATAATATGTAATAAGCATATTTCACCAATAAATCATCTGTATCAATGATATTTTGTGGAGTTTCTGCTGAAGGAGGAGGCTGGGAAGAAGGCTGAGTCTCTTCAGAGGGACCAGCAGTACTATAAGAAGGCAATGATGGTCCATGTTCTGCATCCGAAGGTTCAACATCTTCAGGATTAATCCCCTCATCCGGCGTATAGGTCAGAAGCTGTACGTTAACAAAGTTTTTCGAAAATAAATTAAAAAGAAAAACCATGGTTTCTGTGAGGCCATTTTTGACAATATATACGTACCAGTGGCCCAGATGTGACGTCGACCATTTGAGGTGCATCTCTCATATACTCCTCCATTGTTGTAAGAAAAGATTGTGGAGGCTTGAAAAAAAACAAACATAGAGTTACATCGTAATAATGAAGTACCTGCCATAACAAAGTTAAATTTAACAAGCAAGTAATTATCTCATACCTCTCTTAAAACAGGAAACTGGAAATTCCTTGCAAGTTCTAATCCTTTGCAGACTTCATAAAAATCAGAAAGATTGCCAGCCTGCGTGATAGACTAACTTGTTAAGTTGAAATCCAAGTGGATCCAACAAAGAAAATAACCCAACAACATTACCTGCAGACCCGCGCGCTTGTATATTTCAAGGGCCTTGATGGCCTCATGCCTTGGCATTTCAAAGAACTGCAATATATGCATACATGAAACAGTAAGATATCAAAGAACACATGACTCTGGGGGAAAAGAAAATTTTGGGCCTACCTTTTCTACTAGATTTATGATTCCTTCATTGATGGCGCAATAGACTTTGAAGCTCTCCTTCAACACCTAATTTTCAGAAAGATCTCAGATTTTAATTCAAGTTGTTCTTTCCGGGCAGAAAATATTTTACCCGTTACTTGGACTAGGATATATGTAAAAATATGAGTTATGTGCCCGGGCTTAGTTCAACTTACCAGAGCGAGTGCATATTGAATTATATGATTGTGCTTCGCAGCACCTTCTGGCTAAACAAGTCGAAAGAGAAGAATTAGTTCATTCATCAGAGAAGCTGCTCCAGCAAAATAGAAAATAATATGGGCTTTACAAAAACATAGTGCGGAACTCGGAAAATGACATCAAAGCAGCACCTTACAACCAATGAGACGCTGCAGAAGCTGCTGTAACGCTGGTAACTGTTCCAGGAGTTTTTCACCATCTAAATCCCTTGTTTTACTATAACCCTGATCATCGATTTCCAAAACCATAAACCATCAGGAAGGAAAGGAGGCAACCTGAAGCCAGAAAACCAAGCAAACACAGAATGTAATACCTTCTCCTGTCCTGGGGAAACTTTTGGAAGACGTTCAGCTTCAATGTCATATTTCAAAACTCTGAAGCATTCAAGCCGTTCCTCAAGAAATAAAGCATAAGTGCGTACCCACCCTGAACAATCCCAGGCTGCAAGAGGCATAAAGCAAAAATCCAATCAGCGGTAACTCTATGCATTAAACCTTGAAGAAACCTCACTTAGCTTCTAAAACACATAGGCCCATGAATGTAGCAGTAAAAGACTCACCGATTGGGCTCGACTCATCTTTGAAATTAGAAATCTGCATAATGCGTCCTTTTTGGTTAAAATTCAGTAGCTCCTCTCTAAAGGTGGGATCACCATCCCTCAAAAGCCGGTGTAAGACAAGTAGTGCTTTCAGTGCAACCTATTGGAGAGCACATAAAGATAAAACCGATAAACCTAATAGGCTAACAGCAAACAGAAAGAATTTGTGGCTATACCAATAGACCATCATCCAAAAACAAAGTTTGGAACACAAATTTGAAACAATGGCCGACAAACAGAATGAATCCTTAAAACAACCTAAGAGCATTTGATAATCATAGATCCCAGACGAACTTCAACTCCTAAAAACACACACAGATGATGACAAAGAACACACAGGACCATACTCAACGCTGCAAACGACTATAACCACTTTCTTCTTAACTGAAACATTTCTCGTAAAGAGATTAAAAAATCAATACCGTCCAGTTTCTGGTTTTGTGCAATCGTCGAGAGAGAGCATGAATGCAGTAAGCAACATCTGCTCGAGGCCGAACTGCTGATGTTGCAAGGAATATTTCTGTAACAATTTCCCAGAACAAGAGATTTATCAAACACACTACGATCTATAGAATTCCCGATGTCTGCAAAAAGAACATGAGAAGCAATTTCTTACTCCTGAGATGACGATCTTTGGGAGGACACTCGACATGGTTAGTAGCTTTCACTATGGCAACATCTAATTCCTGAAATTTATGTTTACAAAAATTAGAAGAACAAAAAAACTCGAATCTATAAGAGATTGTTCACTTCCTCCGGTGAATTGAAGATACGCAAAAACTGGATCGAAATGCAGAAATAAAAATATCAAATCGAAAGGAGCGTACGGCGTAATCGCTATTGACGCGGACAAGTCCGACTTTGGTGGTGTCTTTTAGGGCTCCGTAAGCTCTTCGCCATGACTGAAGCGTTCCCATTAGAGACTGTTCAGATCTCTATCTCCCGAATCTTCTTCTCAGATATATATATAATAAAATTATTTTCCCGAGAAAACCTCTGAGAAAAATCTAAAGAAACGTAATAAGAGAGAGCGAGAAGAAAGAGGAGGAAATCAAAAGAGACGACAGATTTGGATTCGTATCATCTTATATATTTGTTTCCTTAATTTCGATTTGTATTATTAACTCTTTTTTTTATTTCTTTGGTTTTTTTTTTTAACTCTCTTCTCTGATTTTCTCTTGTTTTTTTTACTTCATACTTATTTTTTGTTTTTGGCTACGATCATCGGATCATGTGTAACATTTTTTTATTATTTTGGTCGATAAAATGATCAAAGTGTGACTTCTTTCATCTTGGTGCTCAACGTATGAGTCAATGATTTCCTTAAAATAATAATGAGGAAGGAAATAAAAAGTGATGCTTAAATTAATTTAGAAGCAAAGCATGTCCCTGAAAAATATAAGAGGGAGACTATATTTTGACTCGATTATGAATCGAATCTCAATCTACCCTTCTTGCTTCGTAATGTTTTCATGTGTCAGCAACTCATCATTTCAATTTTCACATAGCCATCTTATACTAAACCATTGTATAATTTGTGGGTTAAACCTTATGCTATATATAATTTCAGATACTACTTAGAAAGATAATAATGAAAAGTGGGGTTGTCATTTTCCAAAAGCATTGTTTTATGGGGTCCTTTATTTATCTAATAAAGAAGTTGTGGAAAAGCATCATCACCACCATTCACGATTCACCAATACTGGTGGGGGACAGAAACATAGTCTAATATAGGTGCAAACTCTCTAGATATATCAATGCTCTCTTTGACATATCTTCGATTGGTCGATTGAATATTAGGTTAGCTTTGATTTTAACAAGTTCAAGTTGCTAGAAAATTCATTACAAAAGTGGATGTAGTTGTCAACATATTCTCCTCCTATGTTTGTTCATTGGTTTGCTATATAACCCATGCAGACTTGAATGGCAGGGCCGTAATGAATGCAACTTTACCGAATCAGCACAAAACGTGTTGTCATTTGTCACCCCACCCTATTCTCCCACATTTTACTTATTGGGTTATTTCTTAAGCAAAGATTAAGCCCATTTATTTATTGGTATACAATTAATAGGCCGGCACTAGTCCAATGATTCTTTACAACACAACTACCAGGCCCATCAAATTCATAAAAAGTCTTTTGATCCCAACTTTAAAAGAAACATTGCTCAGGGAGGTAACCCATATTGGAAGAAAGGAGACGGACTACATACGTATGCGGTACGTACTTGCATATAGCAATAGCCAACAGTTATACGTTTGTTGTAATTCAATAACTCTTTAATGTAATAAAAAGTGGAATAAAAACAAGAACGACGCACACCTCTTCGTTCTCATCACGTGATTCACTGATCAGCCGCCAACGGAAGCAAATATGTTGCTTCTTCTCACTTCCTCTGATGGGTACGTCAATCGAGACGATGATAATATATCGAAAATACTCATATTCTATCATTTGTGTTTGTTTGTTTTATAAGGGTTAATATATACTGTCACAAAATCTTTATTCACGTAATCAAAAATATACTTAAACGTAGAAACACGATCGCATTTGGCAAGCTAGCCGCAAAAGCCGTAGTAGTTCTAAAAAATTGACATATATGAGGATGTAAATGTGAACTTCACATGGGCAGAGTCCCGTCGGAGTTTATACTCACTAGTCTCTAGTGAGAGATTCATGAATCTGGTAGAGAGAGATATTAAGAACAAGAGAATAAAAATAAAATCGAAGCAAAGCGTTAGCCTACATGCATGTGATATTCGATGTAGGGACACGTGCGTATGGTCTCACACCATTATGTTTTTATATTCCCCCACCCCGAGGACATCGCACGACACCTTGTGTCAGTCCAGTTCCAGATTTGCCGGCTTTACAATTTATGTACTAGTTTATACTATATGCTAGCTGCTCTTTGGTTAAAATGTAATTAATTATCTGCTTATAAACGTTTCCAACGAATTTAGAGTTTATGTATATACTCATTCGTGTGCTTCGAATCGCGAAGGCCGTTATGATGCAGAACGATTAAATTGCATACATAGATGGATGTTCGATATTAAATATAGTTCGGGTGGATGCAAATGTCTTCTAAGGTTCTCTACGGCGTGAATGTATATGTTACTCGCATCTTATACGAATATTATTTTTTATATATATCACATGACATGTTTTTTTAATATGTTATAATAATTTTCAGCGGATCAAGGGTTGAGCACGAGTGGTAAACATCATGTTTTGTTTGACCATCTAATTTGATTTATTCCTTTGTTGGCTATTCGAATCTTTCTGCCACGAAATATGTTTCAGAAAGTATAATAGCACACGACTTCATATACTTCTTAAAAAACAAAAATATCGCATTAACATAATATTTAAAAGATACTGATTAGTGAAAAAAAGTTTATGTTGAAGCTAGTTATATAAATACGTTTACTGTATCACAAAATACGTTGCTTAGTGAAAAGGAAGGAATAATATTATACATGTAAGTATAGTGTAAATGGCAAAGGTGTGTACTTATATACATATATATATGGGTAAGGGTGTGTTTCTTTTGGGTAATAAAGCTGGATGAGATATGGGTAGGAAGACCACGTGAATGGACCAGAATTGATCGTACGCAAGGAGTAACCAGATCGGCGATAGTAACAGAAGGAACGCTAACTTTCATGCTTAAACGACACCTGTCCAGACTGGCCTGAGCTGTCTCCTACCCACAGCGATTTGATTGGTTCGTACGTCATCCCCCTCCCCACTCACCCCAAAAAGAAAAAAAAAAAAGGGTTGCCGTCTGATTTTATATATAAACCAAACCGGCTTCTCTAATTTATCACTTTTCAACTCTGCCCCTTTATAAGACTAACCAAATGTCTACTACATTCAATAGTTTCCCAAATAAACAACTTCTTCTTCTTTAACATGTGTACCTAAATGAATTGTTAATCAATGGAAGAAAGCAACTATAATTTCTGATATTAGTGTATTCGTAAGGGTGACCCCTTGACAGTTAACACCCACGAGTGGTCTCCAATGCCACCTCATCTCAATTTTTGGTCCATCTCTCTTTCGAAAGCTGATGTATTTTTAACTAGTCAACAAATACCTAAATTGTTTAGAACTAAACTAAGTAATCAGATTTTCAATATACGTACTTGGTTAATTAATAAAATGGCTTTTACAATTGATTTACTTTAGATAAAAGGTTATTTATTGATCTATAAAAATGAAAACACACTAAATTGTCCATGACATATGATATGACACCATTTTCAATTGCTATCTTCTCCACTAACAAATAAGAAGAAAGGAATCAATGAGTGGACCTACTTTTTTTTGGGTTAATCAACGAGAGCACTTGATAATCAAGTAAGACGACGATAAGGTAAGAAACTTTGGAAATCTTTTTGTTGGTACATTATACATCCCATTATATACATACATATGATCGTCAATTCGTCATGTTTCTTCAGAGATCTGATTAATATTCCAACGTGCAAGATTTTTAGCACATGGTGCATGTTTAATCTAATACTACAATTGTTTTTATTTTATTTTGTGTGTGTGTACTGGTCAACATAATTAATAACAGTATATTGTTGAAAGGTACGAATAGATAAAAGAGTATAAACTGAAACGTCAAAATCCCATACTCAGGAAAATACAACATGCATGAATTGATTAAAAATAGAAATGAAAGCATGATTTCATTATGCAATCTGATAGTTAAATACTTATATATATGTTGAAGGTAGGTAAGAAAGAAAAAACATTGGAGATATGTAAAACATTGGAGATATGTAAAGTAAACAATGGAGATGGAAGATGGTCCAAATAACGGGGTGAGGAGGGGGGGAATGGTCCTCCTAAGAAGCGTAAAAAGGGTAAGGAAAAGACACGTGTAACATTAATAATATATCACATGGGATCGTTTTATTTGGGACCACGGTCTAAATGGCGTACGGTTTAGTTCGCGTCAAATGGCCCCCTCCCCTTTTACACGTGGAGCCATCACATGCTCTGTCTCTTCTTCTCCTCTTTCTCCCATAATTTAAATTACACTCTTATTTTTATTTAAGTGTCTTGTGCTAATCTTGATTTAAAGACCGTATGCGACGGCGTTTTAAGTGTAGTACATCCATACTACATTTGTATTTTACATTTTTTCCTACATATAGCAAAAAAATAAAAAAAAATAATTAAGATTTACCAACCTATATAGACGAAAGAAACGAATAATCCAAATCGTATTCAAATAAATGTAGAGATTTATAAATAATTAAATATTATGGTTGGTTTTGCAAAGAATGATATTATTCAGTTTACTTTTTTTTTTTTAATTTTTCTACCCCCTTGCTCGAAACATGCCTACATTATTACAAAGGAAGCTAAGCTTAGCTAGAGCAACTCAAACACTATGATGATAACTCATTTTCTACTTTTTTTTTTTTTTTTTCTCTTTCTCTTTCTCTTTTGTGTGTGTGTGTGTGTGTTGAAGTTTAATGATGCTTCTGGGAAAAGCTTTCAGTTCCCCATCAATACAACATTCATACTTAGCTTTACATACATACTATAAAAGTCTTCTGTAATTAATGAAATTGTTACTAGTTCTTATCCACTCTCTCATTATTAAAAATAACAATGTTTTTAAAGATCTTTTGCTATGTTGTTTGAATATTGTTCAAAAAGATAAATTAAATTAAAGGTGGTTAATTTCTTATAATCATCTAAAACGGGAAAACGTCATGTTCTCTCGCTCTTTTTTTTTTTAATAATTAAAATGGAGTTTAATTTTCTCATAATGGGTTTGATGATTGTTTACTTTTTCGATACAAAAGTTTGGTTTTATTTTAATAAAAATATTAAAAATCAAATAAAACTATATTAAGATATCTTAATCTTTTACTTGTATAAAAATATATTTTTTGAGAGCAAAAGATACAATCATACAAAAACCAACAACGCCAAACTAATAAAAAAAAAAAGAGGAAAGGAATCATAAAAAGTAAATTTGTAACACACTAGTGTTGCATGACCAATCTTTTTTTATAATACAGAGTAAGTGTTCTTATAGAAATTGTATGAGCAGTATATAAAATAAATGTTGCAAAAAAAATAGAAAATGAAAAAATTTGGTGTGTGTTTCAGAGTTTCAGCCTTATCGATTAGAGCTGTAGATGTTGCTGTTAGCCCTCTGATCCATGATTCATCGGACATCGAGCCCCATCACTGCCCCTTCCTCTTTTCTCTTTTTTTTTTTTTTTTTTTTTTTTTTTTCTTCTTCTTATTCTCTCTCTCTCTCTCTCTCTCTATTTCATTTCCTATGATAATTATTAGAAGTGGTAGTAGAGTGAAAAAAATCCTTAACTAAGCAAGTCCCAACCAATCCTCGAAGCTAAAGATTCTTCTTCTTCTTCTTCTTCTTCACCCTAACAAACATAAAAAGCTTTAAAACCTAGATCCGACATTGAAGGAACCCCTTTTTTTTTAGATCCAAAATAACGATGAAGAGAGATCATCAACATCATCATCATCAAGATAAGATGAAGGAAGACGAAGACGACGGTTCCAACGGCATGGACGAACTTTTGGCCGTTCTTGGTTACAAAGTTAGGTCATCCGAAATGGCCGATGTTGCTCAGAAGCTCGAGCAGCTTGAGGTTATGATGTCCAATGTTCAAGAAGACGACCTCTCTCAGCTCGCTACTGAGACCGTTCACTACAACCCTGCTGAGCTTTACACCTGGCTTGATTCTATGCTCTCCGACCTCAACCCTCCCTCTTCTACCTCCGACTACGATCTCAAAGCTATCCCCGGCGACGCCGTTCTCAATCACTACGCTGTGGATTCCTCTTCTTCCTCCAACCATGGCGGCGATTCGAATGCTACCAACAAGCGGTTGAAATGCTCCAACGCCGCTGTTGCTGCGACCACGACGCCTGACTCGGCTCGTCCCGTTGTCCTGCTCGACTCGCAGGAGAACGGTGTGCGTCTCGTCCACTCGCTTTTGGCTTGCGCTGAGGCTGTGCACAAGGAGAATCTGACTATTGCGGAAGCTCTGGTGAAGCAAATCGGATTCTTAGCCGTGTCTCAGATCGGAGCCATGAGAAAGGTCGCTACTTACTTCGCCGAGGCTCTCGCGCGGCGGATCTACCGTCTCTCTCCGTCGCAGAGTCCTATTGACCACTCTCTCTCCGATACTCTTCAGATGCACTTCTACGAGACCTGTCCTTACCTCAAGTTCGCTCATTTCACGGCGAACCAAGCCATTCTCGAAGCTTTCCAAGGGAAGAAACGAGTTCATGTCATCGATTTCTCCATGAGCCAAGGTCTTCAGTGGCCGGCGCTTATGCAGGCTCTTGCGCTTCGTCCTGGTGGTCCTCCTGTTTTCCGGTTAACCGGAATAGGTCCACCGGCGCCGGATAACTTCGATTACCTTCACGAGGTTGGGTGTAAGCTGGCTCATTTAGCTGAGGCGATTCACGTGGAGTTTGAGTACAGAGGATTTGTGGCTAACACTTTAGCCGATCTTGATGCGTCGATGCTTGAGCTTAGACCAAGTGATGTTGAATCTGTTGCGGTTAACTCTGTTTTCGAGCTTCACAAGCTCTTGGGACGGCCTGGTGCTATTGAAAAGGTTCTTGGAGTGGTGAATCAGATTAAGCCGGAGATTTTTACTGTGGTGGAACAGGAATCGAACCATAACAGTCCGGTTTTCTTAGACCGGTTTACCGAGTCGTTGCACTATTACTCGACGTTGTTTGACTCGTTGGAAGGTGTGCCGAGTGGTCAAGACAAGGTCATGTCGGAGGTTTACTTGGGTAAACAGATTTGCAATGTTGTGGCTTGTGATGGACCTGACCGAGTTGAACGTCACGAAACATTGAGGCAATGGAGGAACCGGTTCGGTTCAGCAGGGTTTTCGGCGGCACATCTTGGTTCGAATGCGTTCAAGCAAGCGAGTATGCTATTGGCTCTGTTCAACGGCGGAGAAGGTTATCGGGTTGAGGAGAGTGACGGCTGTCTCATGTTGGGTTGGCACACTCGACCGCTCATAGCCACGTCGGCTTGGAAACTCTCTACCAATTAGATGGTGGTTCAACGAATTGGCTGAGTCGAGTCGATTGATCAGTTGACCGGTTATGATTGATTTATGTTCCGACCGAACCAAAACTAAATCCTACTACTGTTTTTTTTTACCAAATGTCACCTGTTAAGATCTTATCTTCATTATAATTAGGTTAATTCAAAAAAAATAGTCTCGCTCTCGAGAGTTATTTTTTGTTTTTTGTTTTTTTTGCATGTGACATTGGAGGGTAAATTGGATAGGCAAGAATAGAATTATGTAATTGGTTGAAATAAAATGTTATCTATTTTAATGTCACCAGCTAGCTATGTCTATAGCTACATATGTATTCATTATAGTGACTAATGAGCCTGATTAATCTGTCTCTTAGTATATAATAAGGAGCTAAATATCATGGATATGCTCTTTTAAATGTGCCTCGTATTATAGGTGGACCAGATTATTCAAACAATGCTAAGTCGTTTTCAGTTGTTTTCTTGTTAAATTATATAAAGTAATAAAAGGAAAGCCGAAAAGCTATAAATACCAACCTTTTTTGATAATAATTCATGTTAATGTTGACATTTAAATTCAACGCCAATCGCATATAAACAATGGATTTGTGTAAAAATTGGGGAATGCAGTGTTGTTCTTTGTAGATGAAAATTGAAAATGGATGAGGAATTTGTTTAAGAGATTGAAAAAAAAAAAGAAAAGAAGAAAACATAAGACAAAGGTGGTCGTAGACTTCACTCGTGACCCTTTGGTATAATATATGGTTGAGTGACCGTGACATTTGATGGTTGATGATGATGAATAAAAAAGAAAAAGAAAAAAAAGGCAGTTGATGGTTGATTAGGGTCAACTTTTGTTACCCCACATATATAGGGCCGAATAAGTTCTAATGGGCCGTAACAAACATGATTCTGATGGTACTAGCCTACCGAGGATTTAGCAAACATGACTCTGATGGTACATACATAACAATGGTTCATCACTTCATTGTTATGAGAGTTGGGATTTAGCACAACGGAGGATTCTAAAAAAATCTAGTATTTATAGAAAAGGGAGAGGAGACATGAGAGAAAATATTTACATGTTTCCTTTTGCCGAATATTGGACATTTTTCATTTTTTCTATGAAATTAATATACATTCTAATAATAATACAATATTATGCGCTACGCATTAATCATAGCTATAAAACACACACACTTATTTTATTACTACAAACACGCATATATAAAGAACATCAAATCATCAAATACAGCGATGATACGTAAGCGTACAAGAAGTCCGACATTATTATAACATGTACAAGTACAACAAAGGAAAGAGAGGCGGATGATCAAGGCACGTACGAGACAAAGACAAACGATTCCACATGCATGATTAGGATTTCTTTGCTTTAAGTAACACATGCATAAGGATTATTTAAGACGACGACCATGGTGGGGTTTCAAGCTTTGTTCTGGCCCTTGAGGACGTGGTCGTCCATGTCAGCAACTAAGCTCTTGACAAACTTCATGTAGTTGACGGGTTCGGGGGTGTTTTCATTGCGCTTCTCCCATATGAGGGTGATTTTGCAGACGCAGCCTTCCTTCGACTTGGGAATGAACTGGTAGATCACGTCATACACCTTGTACCTCTCCACTGCCTGACCCTCTAGCCCTCTCAACGTCAACGTCATCTTCTCGTCGTCTATCTCTCTCTTCTCCTTGAAGAATTCCGGCTTTCCATCTTCATACAAATACACAATCCCACTCCACGTTAGACGATCATTAATCCTCGTACCTATTACGAAACATAGCGAGAGATAAACCAGGTCCTGGACTCGATCGAGCCATACCGACACCAGGGAGAGGATCGACATATATATCTACCTAGTCATTGGCCCCAAAAAAAAAAAAAATATGGACCAAATATCTGAAACTACTAAAATACTATCATGAGTATTTTACTCTAAAGTTTTTACTTAGTGTATATGATCATGTATTATACTGAAATACAGGTTGTATATATACTCTGTTGTAACTATACTTTACACTTAATGAGAATAGTTCAGCTTTATCTCTCTCTCTCTATCTCAGCTCTCACTCTCTCTCTACTCTTTCTTCTTCCTCGAGCTGTTCTGGGTAGTTAGAAGTGAGATCTTGATAAATACTAAAAAAAGAGCGAGAGAGAGAGAGGAGGTATAAGTAAAGACCGCATGTGATGTTCCATGATCGGATGGAGCCGTGGGAGTCCCAGTCACCGTCATGCATTTGGACACCTTGCTAAAACGTTCAATGTAAGAGGAAATATTTAATCTATGAAGTATATAATAGCTTGGGCTTGGTGATATCGTTGAATCCACTATCTCCATCTCATTTTTAAGCGATGGCATGCGAAGATAGAGCAAGGTTTTGACTCGGTTAATGTCATCATTCGCAGTCATAGGTGACAGATTAATATTGACTTGGATTATCAATGATTCATTGAATAAGTGCCGAGAAGTCAAAGAAAAAAAAAACCCAAGGGGAAGGAGATATTATGCGTAATTTAATGATCATCGACGTCATAGTGATATTGTGCTCCACACGTGTAGTATAAGTGTCCTCATCTCCATCTATCCCTCACGTCTAGATTGTTTGCACCCTATACATACTTTCTATTCATTGACTTTAGTACGTTCTTATCAAATATCAATTTATCATGCATGAATATATGGAGATTCGTTTCTTTACGTTTTATAAGACTTCTGACTCAAGTTAAGGTTATAACATTACTGGAAAATTATTAATTAGCTGCAGAAATCTGAAAATACGATACAAATGACAATGATTATGAGGTATCATTCTTCTCCTCTTTATATAATTTTTATGTAGTTTTATACTTAATATTACTTTGATTAGAATTTAGAAGTATGTTTTTGTTATAGGATTTAAGAGCATATCTCTGGTTAGGTTTTGTGTGTCATATATTTTCTTTTGTATGTCTGTTTTTGTTTTCGATTAATGGATATTTTTGAATTTGGTTAGTCAATCTGTTGCCTTCGATTTTTGTTTTGTTTTGCACTTCGTTTTAATGATGTGATAACTTATAATGAGGCTATGGATCCGGATTAATATTATGCTCTTTGTTTATATATGTTACATAAAACTGTATAACCGACACACACTTATATATTACGAACACAAACCATTTTACACCATGACAACACCAAATCATCAAAGACAGAGATGATACATAACCTTAAAAAGACCGCCATTATTATCAGCATGAAATGTACACAGTGCGGATGATCATGTACAAGACAAACACAAAAGACACACATTATCTATAGAGGATGCTTCTTTAATTTATTCATTTTTATATTAAAGATGGTCATCCTCCATGACGATTAGGCCTTACTCTGGTCCTTGAGGATGTGGTCGTCCATGTCAGCAGCCAAGCTCGTGACGAACTTCATGTACTTGATGGGCTCTGAAGAGTCTTCCTTGCGCTTCTCCCATATCATAGTGACTTTGCAGACGCAACCTTCTTCAGACTTTGGGACGAACTGGAAGATTACGTCATACACCTTAAGCTGCTCCATCACGTGGCCATCCAGCCCTCTAAACGTCACCGACATCTTCTTGTCGTCAAACTCTCTCTTCTCCTTGAACACTTCTTGCTTCCCATCTTCATACACATGAACTTTTCATTAATATAGAAACCCTAGCCTTGTAATTAACTATCGTCTCCAAATAAACAAAGGGACAGAGAGGGATAGAGTAAAGTGGGAACCGCATGTGTAGTTCCAGGACTTGATGGCCCCATGGGAGTCCCAGTCGCCTTCATGAACGGTGACACCTTGGATGTGATGGCCAATGACATCGGGGAAGAGATGGTTCTCGCTTCTCCACCTCTTGTAGTGTTTCTCCGCGGACCCTTTGAGAGGAACGTCTGTCACGTATGTTCCTGACGTAGCCATGATGAAGCTTCTATATGAGCTTTTGATTACTTGTCCTTGAAAATGTGTAAGCCAATTGTTTGTTTTTCTATCTGGGGGTGGATGCAAAAAACGAAAGCCTCACCCTTCGTTTATATACTACAAATTCGTCACAACAGTACAAGAAACTAGATATATATGTACGACTTTTCAAGAATCAAACATATATTAAAATCAAAATATTATATTACTTAAAAACAATGTTTGATTCTTAATTTTGAGTTATATATATAATATACTCCATGGAGTTTTGTTTGTCTTTTAGTTATAGATGTGACAAGAACACAATTGGCATGGATTTTGCTGATATATGTTACACTATATACTATTTTCAAACAATTGACAAAAAGGGAAAAAAGAAAATATTTGCGATTGATGTCGTAAGACCAACATTATATGGGGTATTTTAGAAAGTTAAAATACCCCAATTTTGCAAAGAAAAGATTTAATAAAAGATCTTTCTTTTGTAAAATTGGGGTATCTTAAGATAGCACCAATAATGGTGCCCAAGTTACCCATGAGGAAAAGCAGTTAATTACAAAATGCACAAGTGTAGTCGAAGACATATACTAAAAAATGCTTTAATAGTCAGTATTTCTTCTTTATATATCTATATATATGTATCACAGAGACTGATACTTAGATTAACATGAAAACAAAAAGACACCTGATCGAAAGAGACGGACAAAGAAAAAAGTTAGGTGAAATTTCGACCGTTTTTGGGTTATTTAGTGCTCCTCGACGTCATAGTAATATTGGTTGTCCACACGTGTGTTCTATGTGTCATCGTCTCTAAATTTCCTGTTTAGATTCTTTGCCCTATCTTTCTAACTTTTGTGATATCTCGCGTTTAATGCATGTATCCATCATACAGTTTTTATGTTTTTTTTGGTGAGAATGACGTTACAAATTATTCGATCATTAACTTAGTAATTAGCTTGCTAACAATATGGTGACCAAAAAAATATAGACGAACAACAATACATATATAAATAAACTTGGACATACAATACAACACCATGATGATAAGGAATTAGTAAAATCATCGAGATTAATACAATTTCTTTTTAAAGAAAAACATACAGAATTAATAAAGGAGGATATGATTAAGCATGCATGGATCCATCATTGCTAGTTATGGCAAATGTGGTCATCCATTGCAGCAACCATGCCCTCGAGGAACTTATAGAACTTGGTGGACTGGGAGTCTTGGGTGCGTTTCTCCCAATTCACACTAATTTTGCAGACGCAGCCATTTTGGGACTCTGGGATGAAATGTAAGTTTGCGACATACAGCTTAAGCTCCTCCATCACTTCACCATCGAGCGCAGTGTACGTCACCGCCATCTTCTCGTCATCTATTTCTATTCTCTCCTTAAACACTTCCTCCTTCCCATCTTCATTATATTACACACACAAAACACCACATTTCGTTTACTTTGAGAGAGAGAGAGAGAGAGAGAGAGAGAGAGAGAGAGAGAGAGAGAGAGAGAATTAATGAATGAGTAGAAATACGAACCAAATCGCCTTCGTGGTCTTGATGGCGCCGTGAGAGTCCCAATCGCCTTCGTGGAGGGTGATACCTTGGACGAGGTGGCCGATGGCCTCAGGGATGAGGTGGTTCTCGCTGCTCCACATCTTGTAGTGTTTCTCCGCCGATCCTTTCAGAGGCACATCCGTCACGTATGTTCCCGACATAGCCATTGATGTTATTAATTAGTTATTGATCGATCGTTTTTTCTTTTGTTTGTTTGTGCGTGTGTTTTATTTCTCTTCCTCTCGCCCTTCCTTTATATAATAACACAAGATCAACACCACCAAGCTAACGTTACAACGAAACTCTTTATACGGCTTTTCAAATTCTCAACAGTATTTTTGTATACAATATATCTAAACAATTAATGGTCACGTATTGTATACACGTTATCGTCTGCTCTTGTATAGTTAAATTAAGTTCTTAAAGACTTGATATGTTATTTGATATTGATATAATTCTTTATCTATGAATTTCCTTTAATATATATATTTCCATAAGACAGTCTGATCATTTCTTGTTTTGGACATACTGACTCGACTTCTATTAACTCGACTTCTATTAATTTCCTTTACTTTGTGCTCTATGATTAACTTGTATGACGAAGACTTTTTATTTCCAACACATTAACATAATTATTTGTTTATGACTGAATAACTATTCTGTAGTTTATTTTATAAATTGCTAGTATGCTTTCTTATTAATACAAACCATATAATTATAAAAGTAGTGCGATAATTTTACAGCATGTATCAAGTTGTTGAGGAAATATATAATTGCATCATGGCGCTTACTTTCTTCGATAAAGTTCTCACAAACTCTATTTATAAAGAAACCCGAACAGCAGAAATTGTAAAGAAAGAAAAAGAGATGCCAGCCATTTCCTCCTGACTCACACAAAATTTCCAAGATAAGTATAAATTGATAAGTCTGCATTATAATTAAGTTATAGTGGAAATAATAATTTCAAAGTCTTTCTTTCGACTTAGTAAGTTTAATAACAGAAGTGTTGCACACAAGAAAAAAAAAAAAAAGTTTAATATAAGAGAAGTGTTATCTGGATTACTGGATATTGATAATCTCATGAAAGCTAAGTTAGAACATTGCTGAAATTAAAATTAGGATAATCTCGTGGAAGCTTTAGAACTCAGACCAAGTATATGATGACTGACACTCTAGAGACATAGTTGGTAGTTCTGGTTGGAGATGAAGTATTTACTTGAGTCCCGACGACATTGATGAGACACTTTCAAATTCAAAGAATGGATGTTATATTTCACCAATGGATGTTTTTTTTTTTTTTGGTTTGTTCATAATAATATGCACATATTGTCTCAAGTTTCTGTTACTAAAGCACTGTCGGGAAACTAAAAAAAAGATCATAGGCAAATACAAGAATCGGATACACCAGTTTTTTATGAGATTTACTTGGAAGATTATCATAAGAAAATAAATAATCAAACAGAGAATTTCTAAAAAGATAAAAAAAAAAAAAAATTTAAACTAGAAAGGAACCAATCAATGTACAAAACTTTTTTGGAAGCTCTCTTAATCCCCTATGAGACCCCTTATGGCCGGCCCTACATTTATTTCTGGGCATAACCAACAATAGATACCAAATATACAAAAACGCAAACGCTTCATAGCACCCAAATGCTGTATCCTCTTCGCCCAGAAACAAAAGGGTGGATCTTTGTGGGGAGCTAATCACAGTTCCTCGTGTTAGATACATCAGCTTCAATGTGTCAAAAAATCTCCCCCCAGGGGAGAAGTTGCCAAGTCCCTGCATGCGCAGACTAGTCCTCTCTCCCTCTCTCTCTCTCTCTCTCCTTGTGTTTGGATCGGGTGTGGCCAAAGAACTGAAAGAATTGTGTAAATAAAAGAAGGAATGCAGCAGAATTTTCCAGTAAAAGAATGTGTCAGGTGGCTGATGCTGTTGTTTTGTTCTTTCGGCACATGCAGTCAGGGCAAGGGAATATGTAAATAGAGTCACTAGGTCGTTTCAGCACAAACCCCTTGGAGTCACTATGGGACCTCATGCTTAGCATTTGCCGTTTAAAACTTTTCCATCTGCCGATAAATATCAGAAACAACCATTGAGGGGACCAACCAGATATTATCAACCAAAAAACATGTTTGTAGGTGGAAGAGGTGAGGAGTCGTTACCCCAACTTGGGATTGTCAAACAGTACGGCTAACTTTCGCTTGTCTGGCCGAATCGTCTTCGAATGCCCTCCAAACAAATACCTCCGATGCCCCATGAGGAAATGAGGGAAGTTTCCACCTTGAGTTGTCACAAATACTTCACTGTGGAGACACACCGTGTAATCTATCGCAGCCATTCTTGAGGAGAAGTTCTAAACAAAGACACATAGTCAGAAAAGATTCATCACGTGAATGATCAAACAATGAAAGATCATGGAAACCTTAAAAGGAGCCAGTTCTTCCTCAGACGCAAGCATCTCCTTCGTCTGTAGATTAGGGAACATCTCGAGTAGTGGAGCCATAGTTCTATTCCCGCTATATATTGGGCCAGCGGCAAGGTATATATATGTGCTTTTATTGAAACCCATTCCTCTAAGCATCAAACCCACCTGATAAGTTTACAAGAAAGAAAATGAAACCACTGGGAATAAGTTTCTCTGCTCACATTATTGCTCACAATGGTTAGCACTTTGAACACCTATTCTAATTATTCCACAACAGTATCCATGGGTAAATTAAATAATTAATATAGGCCCATTGTGGATAGTAGAGGAGTGTTCAGAATCAAAAGAATTTACGCTTACCTCTAAAGGAGTTAAAGGGCATTTCCCATTGAGCCTGTTAGCTCCTGGTCGTATCACACGACCTGGTTTTGTGAACTTCCCTTTCCATCCCCTTTCTCTCGCCGCAATCATGTCTTGTTTTTCTTGGTTGCCACCATCAAATACACAGCAAGAGAAAGCTACCATATCCTGCAACATGGTCTTATAGTGTATTATATCTCTCACCTCGGAGACATATCTGTTTTTAGAAATATACAGCCATATTTACAGGCAACAAACCTCTTCAAAACGAAGATGCACAGAAACATACTTTCCAGCATTGTTAGCACTAAGCTTCTTCATTTTCTTCACCAGTGTTTCTCCTTGGGTCAGTATGGGTTTCGAAAATCGCAAGGCTACATTATTTGCCAAACATCTAAACCTCTGGATTGCTCGAGGAGCATCAAACGAAAGTCTATTTGCAAATGGGGAAATTCTTATAACCCTGTATATGAAAAAACAGCAAATAATTCAAAACCCGTTTGTATAACATAGTCCCTTACACAAACAAGACAGTTTACTATAGAAACTAACTTCAATTAAGGTGTAACTCACTTTTCTTCAAGCAGCTTAGGCAGGACTGAGTCCCGGTAATAGGAGGTGGGTGCCCATGCTTTAACTCTGAAGTTGAAGACATTTGTCAAGTTATAGTCAAAACGCTCCATTAAGTATTCAGGAACTGTATCGACCACCCGCACATCATTTGCTAAGGTATCGACAAAGTATTCTTCATCATAGATGTCCCCAAATTTACTGCAAGGAAATCCGTCTGTCAGAAAGTAGTTGAAACGGAGATGAATTTGCTAAATTTATAACACCAGGAGAATATCCGAAACCTCGGATCTTTCCATATGCTGTGATAGTGAAAGTTGGGAATTACAAGGGTCGCATTAAGGTAGCCTGCCACAGCAACAGCATTGCATATCTAAGCAAAACATAGTAGATTAACTTAGAAAAGGTCGCCAGACAAGGGGCAAGAAGCTTGAGTGAAACAAATCAATTTGATGTAAGATGAAAAGATAGACAAACCTACCGAAGTGCGCTGCTGATTCAAACCTCCATTTGCCTCGATGAATATGAAACCATTTGACTCAGGCAAAACTACAATTGTCAACACACAACAAAGATAAAATCATTAATTGTGACACTCTACCCAAAGTGTAATTTCACTAATTTTGTTCTTCAGGGATTCACTAGTGATGTTTTCCCCCCATTCAAGTGAGAGGTTTGACATGAAATGCTTTACAAATGCTGTAAGTTATTGCAAAGGACAAACACACTTATGCAGAAAGTAGGAAAGTTATGTAATACCTCCAGTAGACTTGTTCACACATGGCTTCCATTCCACACCTTTATAAGAACGTTTCCAAATGGTTGATATCTATAAAATACAATTTTCATTGACAATACATAATAAAGGTTAGCATGTAACAATTACGTGACAATGCTTAGATATGTAGAGCAAACAAGTGTAACACTGGCATGAACCAACCACACAAACAAAGTAGGGACAATGATAAAACAGAGTAATACATTCTCCTAAACATTATACTCTAATTGGATCAATCCTAAAACTCACGAGAAATGCTATTAGAGCAGAAACTAGATTGCAAATGTCCGATTTCTGTCAAATGTAAAAGTAATGAATTAGAATGCCCAGCTCACAAGTACCAAATCGACCGAACACAAGGAAATGTGTCAACTTTGATCTGCAAGATCGAGAGATGAAACTATCTAAGGAACATCACAACATTTCAAAGCAAGGGCCACACTCTCAAAAGGATTTCACAAAAGCGAGAAAAGAAAACAAAAAACGGAGGCAAACCTCACCGCATCAGCCGTGGAATTATCGGCGTCAATATCGGAACGCAGCCTAGCGTAAATCTGCGGGCTCCGGTAAACGGATCCCGGGGCGGGACGGCGGTGGATAATGGGAGCGGCATCAAACGAGGCGACGCGCATGTGAAAAAGCATACAGGAAACGTAGATGAGAGGAGCGAACAGGAGAATTCCCTGGCGCCGGAGAAGAACCGATAAGAGGATCCATGAGAGACGGTGAGGGAATGTCCGGCTTTGCTGTTGCCCGGAGGATTTAGACCGGCTCCGGCAGAGACGAGGTGAAGACGGCGGAGTAGGTGTACCAGGAAGCCGATTTTGAATCGACAGATCTCTCTCCACCTGGGAAATCATTTGTTTCCCTTCTCTACTCTCTCTCTCTCTCTCTCTCTCCTTCGTCAATGCGCCATTACAATAATACAGCCTTGCATTGTTTGCGACAATGGCAGGTGGCAAACGCCGATTGCACAGATTTCTCCCGGCGGCGAAACTGTGTCTCTTTTTATTTATATTTATGCGCTCGTGTGCGGTGGATGCGTGATCGATTGATCACATGCACTTTGCATATTGGCTCATTTCTCGTGCTTTTCTTTTTTATAGTTCTTCTACTCTCTCTTTTTTTTTGTCTTCAATTGATTCAGTTTACAGGTTTCGTTTAAAAACGGGAAACTCTTTTATTAATCATGAATTCAATGCACTGGTTTCTGCTTATGGTCTAATTTGTATTGGGAGAGGGAATTATCCAAAAATAGCAATGTCATAATACTACTTCTTTTTCATACTATACTAAAATTGAAGTTGCGACAAGACAACACTAATAAAGTTTGTATTGACATCTAAACGAGTAGAACTTAAAATTAGAATCTTCCAGCCATTGTGACAAAAAAAATTAAAAAAAAAAAAAACTGATAACATTGGTTATCGAACTTGCTGCCTAAAACGTAGACGTAAAGCATCAACAGGTTATAGAAAAGCACGAAATATTAGAATCAGAAGATGCAAAACACTTGGGGGGTTTTTTATCCATATGATTGATGCCCATTCGTAACAATTCAAAGACAATTCATAAAGGTAAAATTGAATGATAAACGACAAAGTTCAACCACATCTTCAAGATGAAACTAACTTAAAATGACTTCTCTCCCTCATAACACAACCAACCCTCGTGGTTGAGTTGGCGAGCTTTAGTCTTTTTCAATCCTCGTGCAACGTTCCCAAGACGTCTTCATCCCGGAACAGATGGTACCTGCATCCATCACACAAAGCAAAGGCAAAAGCAAAAGTTCCTTACTTTAGAGTCTAATTCTTCATTTGTAAAATCAAGAGCACTTGAATCATTATACAAAACTGGTGTTGAACATTAATCAAGAGTGGTTTTGGAACTCTGTTACACAATTTTCCAATTACTTAAACTAACTGCATCAGAGTATCTACACATCAATGTTCTTTTTGTATGACAATTATACCATATCTTGATGATCTAAGAGACTGAAGACAAGGAAAGGAGTGGGTTTAACTTACTCGTTCTCGCCGAGCTTGACCTGTGTGCCGCCGTACTCCGGAAGAAGAACAGTGTCGCCTTCCTTCACTGAGACTGGAATCAATTTCCCGTCTTTATCCCTTGATCCAGGTCCAACAGCTATCACCCTGCCGGAGTTGAGCTGTAATCACCGAGAAAAAAGCTCAATCATTTCAGATCTTTCAGGGAAAATCATAAGAAGATCAAATCGTGAAAACAAATCGCTCTTCTTTACCTTGGTTGATTTCTCAGGGAGGAGAATGCCGCTCTCGGTTTTCGCAGGCTGGATCACTTTCTGAACCAGGATACGGTTGAACGTTGGGATCAGACGCTTCATCATTTTCTCAATTCTTCTTCCTCTTCTTCTCTCGGATGAATCGGAATTTTCTAGGGTTTCTTTGAGTTTTTAATTTGGGCAGAGGAGACAAAGAAGACGGAAGGTTCTAGATCGTAGGGTTTATCGTGGCGGACAAGGCCGAAGGGTTTAGCGATTAGTATTTGGGCTTTTAATATCCTTACTATTTGTATAGTGGATCTGGCCCATTTTTTTGGCGGAAACGGTTTTCTATAAAGATAGCTCCAATTTGCCAAGTTTGGGATGTGCTCCTCCTGCTTAGGTCAGTTAAAAATCGTTTCTGAAGAAATATACAGACCACATAGAGAATTATGTAGAGTCGTATTGATATATTTTTTATATCACATCCAGAACGACAAGAGAGAGTTACTTGTTAATACAACAGGATGGGAACAAAGAAGGTGCTCAAAAGAATATTAAAAAGTCGTGCAAATCTCCCTTTACGGGCACTTCATGCTCTTTATACACACGTAGATGCTCTTATTTCTCTTAGACCGGATCAGAACAGTCCTTTTTCGGAGTCCGGATTTATACGATCGCATTACAAATGCTTGAGATACCGAGGTTTCAACTTTGTTACAACAAAATTAGATACAAAACTAAGAAAAAGACTAGTTTATATATCTCATTCGAGGCCACTAGCCACTTCCATCAAGTAGTCCTTGAGAAAGAAGATGAGCCATGTATTGCTGCATTCACACAATTAAAAGAGCTCAACACATGGTTTTTTATTTTCAAGAGTTCCAACCTCAAAAGATCGACAAATACTTCTATCAACATATTGCACTACAAAGTCTATATGTACCATCAAAATCCTAGAGCTAGTACTATCTATAGAAACTGATTTCCAAACACAGTAATCAACCCCATTACTGAGACTATATTAAGACCAGTCAACACCATTTTAGAGATATTGAAGAAACTTACAGAGTGATAAACGTATGGAGATTTTCCCTGTCGCTCAAAATGCTTAGCCATTATGCAGAATTCAACAGGACCCCAATCCTCAGATTCATAGCAATTCCCAAGCGCTGCTTTGTACAGCTTTAAACCAAACCAAAACCATTTCATCAATCACAGAGAACAAGCCAACTATATCAACTCTAAACGACGACACAAATGTCTCTCGGATAACCTTAGCTGTGTCGGTCAGAAGCTCCGTGCCGGCAGGGTAAGATGCATAAAACTGATCACCCCTGGAATATCCTGCTCTCGTTCTACAAGACATCCGAATCCGCACATTAAATCAAACAAGACCTGAAGTAAAAACTAAGAGAACAAACAGATGGAGAAAATTGAGATCCGTAGGTAGACATTACGTGTTGTTAGTATAGAAGAATGTGAGAGCAGCAGTGAAGCAGTAGAATCCGGCGTAAGAGACAACCCTTCGTAGCTTCTGTATCTTTAAAATCTCTGAGCAAACATCTAAGATCGTCATCTTCAGCCTCAAACTTGCTCGAAGGGAGTAAGAAACCTTTGGAAACTCTTTCAGGTATTCTATCGAACACCTTGTGATCAGTTTACCAAACAAAATTGAGCACGCGTTACGATTTAGAATCTCTCTGGCCAAATTTGCAATGGCAAATTATCAACAAGGCTTTCTATAGTCCACCTTTTTATGGGCCTAACTTAACTTTTCATTTTGGGTCCAAATTTTGAATCTCTTTTTCCCTGGTCATCAATAAATATAGATTATAGTATAAATTATCGAATGCATCTAATTTTCTAAAAAAAACTGTAAACTAAAAAATCATTCATGTTTATGCTGCATTAAGGTTTGTAAGCAATATTAGAAAGCCTAATAGTGTAATACATGAGAAGTTCATTAGCTCATGTAACTAGGGTTTTAGCCAGTATAGATTCAAATAAATCTAATTGTGTTTAGAACATCAATGTAATAACTAATAAGGTAATAAAGAGAGTTGTTGTGTACTTGGTGAAAATTTACACCAAATTGGCAAATCTTCTCTTAATCTTTTTATGAAACCAAATTTAAGGTCATGTGTTCTTGGTGAAAATTTAAAAATATCTTACCCTTTTACATTTCTTGCATAATAAAACTCAATGAGCTATTTCATTTTCAGTTTTACATTCCTATCTTTTTATAAGCTCTTGATGAGCATGAATCTATTTTATTTTGACTTTGAGCTTGCTTACAACTTACAAGCACGCGCTGACAAATATAACGCCATAAAAAATGTTACTAGCCACGTTACATTGGTTGCAAGACAAAACACAAAGTATTTTACAATAATGAAATACATCAATCATGTTTTTATTTGTAATTGTGCATGTATGTATTGACAACAAAAAGAAACCATTAAAAATGTACTAGCCACGTTACATTGGTTACAAGACAAAATACAAAAGTAATGTTTTGAGGCAAATAATGCAAAAGGAAATGTAAAGATGATAATGGAGGACGTCCCTACACTCTTCTTCTTCTTGCTCGCCACTCTCTTTCTCTCCGTCTCCGTCCAGTCTCCTCCGCCACTATTTCCCGATGAAGCTCTCCCAACTAAATCCGGCTACCTACCGGTTAAACCCGCCCCTGGCTCGTCCATCTTCTATACCTTCTACGAAGCCCAAAAGCCGACCGCACCCCTACCCGAAACCCCGCTCTTGGTTTGGCTCCAAGGTGGACCAGGATGCTCTTCCATGATTGGTAACTTTTACGAGCTTGGCCCTTGGCGGGTAGTTTCACGTGCCACAGAGCTGGAGCGTAACCCCGGCGCTTGGAACCGCCTCTTCGGGCTACTTTTTGTGGATAACCCCATAGGAGTCGGATTCAGCATCGCCGCCTCAAAACAAGACATACCCACAAATCAGAGACAGGTCGCCGAGCATCTTTACGCAGCTCTCGTTGAGTTCCTTGAGCAAAACCCAGGCTTTGAAAATCGACCAGTATACTTTACCGGCGAGAGCTACGCCGGGAAATATGTTCCAGCCATTGGATACTATATCCTTAAAGAGAAACCCAACGGGAAAGTGAATCTCAAGGGACTAGCCATTGGAAACGGGCTGACCGACCCGGTGACCCAAGTCCAGACCCATGCGGTCAACGTGTACTACTCGGGTCTAGTCAACGCAAAACAGAGAGTTGAACTGGAGAAAGCGCAGGAGATACCCGTGGCTCTCGTCAAGTCCCAGAAATGGCGTGAAGCAGCAGACGCGAGAGGCGACCTGTTGAACATACTGAGTAACATGACGGGACTAGCGACGCTCTACAACACGAAACGTTCGATTCCGTACAGAACAGACCTGGTGGTGGACCTTCTGAACCAGAGAGAAGCTAAGCGTGTTTTGGGAGTGAGCGAGGAGATGCAATTTGAGGAATGCAGCGATGAAGTAGAAGATGTGTTGCGGGGAGACGTAATGAAGAGCGTAAAGTTCATGGTGGATTACGCCGTAGAGAGGACTCGAGTGTTGCTGTACCAAGGTATGCTGGATCTTAGAGACGGTGTCGTTTCAACAGAAGAGTGGATGAAGACTATGAATTGGTCGGGATTGGAAATGTTCTCGACCGCGGAGAGGCGGGTGTGGAAAGACGGCGACGGTGCTGTCGCTGGGTATGTTCAGAGATGGGGGAATTTGTGCCACGTGGCGGTTTCAGAAGCTGGTCATTTTGTTCCGACAGACAAAGAAGTGAACTCAAGGGATATGATTGAAGGTTGGGTTTTAGGAAAAGGGTTGTTCGGTGATGAAGATCTCGCAAGGCTTTACCATTCAGTCCAGATATGATTCTGTATTGTACTTGGCTCTGTATTAGAGTGAATAATAAGGATTCAGATTCTACTTGTACTTCATGTTCTCAAACTCATTTTAGTACGAATTAATAACTTTGCTCCTGGATTCATCATTTGTCTGTCCTAGATACTATCTCCAATTATAGCATACAATACATATACTAAGGACTGATTGGTTTCTTGAAAACAAAAACAAGATTTAAAAAAACATAGCTTTGATGGGTTTTGGAAACATGTAATGGCGATTGGAGGCGGGAATGTGATTGAGATTCAAAGTGATGAGTAGAAAAATACTACTCAAAGACAGTGAAAGCACATAGAAACCCGTACTATGAAGCCATTTTTGTATCAGGGAAGAAGAGAGGCAGGGCACCCCGTAGAGAACCTACAGGTATTTCAGAGCTATCGATTTTAATCTCTCCCCTATATTTGCCTCTTTCCCTATTCATTTTACTGGAAAACAACAACAAGGTAGATACTTTAAGAACAATTTTGAGAAAAAACGAAGCCTCTGCTAAAGAGTGAAACCAGACTAATCAGAACTTCAGAACCCTAAAGACGGCTCTTCTGTAACTTGTGAAACTCCAACTTTTTATACTGCCAAAAAAATTGAGATAGTTAGTTAGGGCAGACTATCTATGGTGGGCCTTATCATAGAATTTTAGATGGCAACGAAGCCCATTTGGCTACAGTGTAGAGTCCGTGTCTTTCAGTGCTCTCTCAAGTCTCACCTCACCATTATTTATTTTCTTTTTCTTTTGACATCACTTCACCATTACTATTTCTTAAATTAATGTTTATATTAAAGTATGAAAGAAACCCCATGATTAAAATTAATCATAAGATTCGTACGTTTTTTTGGTTGTAAAGAAAACATAAACAAATAGGAGGTCAATGAAGATATAATCATTGGTTAATATAATTATGAGGGAGAGTAGTACTGTATTACAATGTGATTGACATTTAATGATATATCCAAGTTAACATTTTTCTTGGGAGTTTTCAAGTTTAATGTAATCTTTGATTTGGCCGTGTCGACAAATTTGTAGAAGACGTGTAAAGCTGAAATAGAGAAGAAACAAAGGTGAAATTGTAAGGAACGTGACGGATGGTGACCCCATCAATGCTACGATAAGGTAACGCGGCTGCTAATCATATATATATTTTATTGCTTAAAGCCAAAGCAACCTTAGCCGTTATATTAATTATTATCCAATCTAATCCCTATATAAAATAAACGCATCATGATCCCACCACTTGTCTCTCCTAAGCAACAGAATATGGAAGCTATACTACTGATCCCATCGTCGCCACTAAGGTTCCACCCATTGAGGACATCATCACAAAGGATCGCTACCGGAACGTCCAAGAGAAGACGAGCTTCGACCACCGTGTATGCTGACTACTACCGGGGAGGAAGAACGGTGGACGAGAACATGGTTGTCCTTAGGAAACGTATCCACGAGATGAAGATGGTTGAGCGAAACTATGAACCTCCTTCTCACTGGATGCAATGGGAGAAGCGTTTCTATTGCAACTACGACGCTACTATATGCGACGCTCTCTCTCTTCTCCAATCTTTTCTCATGAACTCTCGTCCCAGCGTGGCGTTTGGGACGATGCTTCTTCTCTTTGTCAGCGTTCCCGTCTCTTCCGCAGTTTTTGCGTTGCGCATCCTAGATTTAGCTTTTTGGCTTTTGAACGCCGCTCACGTAGTATGATCCGTTAATCTTATATATATCATCTTTTGTTATTTTATCTCGTAAGTTGTGATTAAGTATTTAATTTCAAAAATTATAGAAAGAAATACTTATTTTTCAATATACATTGAGAATCCTAAGATAATGTATCTGGATGTTTATTTAAAAAATCATGCACAATTTGTTTTCATATTGTTGTAGGAACTATATATAAACTCAGTTACATAGTACAGGTATGAAAAAGCCCATTTTCCAACTCAGTTACAAGCCAAATTCGATATAATGTAGTAGAAGATATTAATTCTAGAACCTACGAGTTGCCGTAAAAACACTCGATCGTTAGAATCAAATGCGATTCTAGCATATGGAGATCCACTATAGACTCCCAACGAGAGTCAATCTATCCAACGATGCTTCTCTAAAGACATTATTGATGTTTGAGTCATCGACCTCGCCGGTTTCTTACTAGACTCAAACTTATATAATACTTGGAAAAGCCAACTTTTGTAAAGTCACTAATAATAGTTGCGACGGTCTTGTGTGCATGTATGATCTTGAGAGTTTGATGTGTTTGAAGTGTGATAAATCCGGCTACAAGGTGGCAGAGAAGTCTTGCACATCCAGTAGTGATTTAACAATATGAATTGTTTGGTAGTTTGATAAACGACTTCTCTTCGCAAAACAATTTATATATGTATTGGCAAATGTTTCTCCCATTAAGACTTCAAATTATATATTTTAGGTGAAGTGAAACACGTTCGGATATTGGATTTGCAGACCACGTAGAAGTTGGAATTTTCTACAAGGATTTATCGACTAAAAGTCCAATACAGGTCATGAGACGGGGGAAAAAACAATTCTGAAGAAACTACTTTAGACTACAATGTCAGTGTTTTGGTTCGTATCAACAACTCCTTCCACAAAGATACCCAACCAAAACCAATTGAGAAGTTATATACGTATATTAGTGGTCAAAAGACTAGAAACCCGTTGATATATAGGCTGCAGAAGAAGATGGCAACAATAATGAAAGGCAAGAAATTCGATACGATTCTACAGAGGAGCTATTCTGGTATGACATATAGATGCAGAAGTGTGTATTGAATATTTCAAAATTTGAAGAGAAGAATCTATACAATCTGTAAGAGGAGAAGAGAAAAGGGACCTGAAGCAGGCGACTTTTGCATCTCAACCTCAACGTCTTTGTATCTGTTGTCTGTAAGTTACAACAAAAACAAAGCTCAGTCTCAGAATGTTAAATCATGTGAGCTTGTTAATTCATCTCTCCTTTTCCCTTTCGCTTTCAGTGTTACTGAATGTGTTCATAACGATACTATTATATCTCTTTAAATAGTGTGGGTTGTGGTTATACTTCCGATTCTTCTGCTGCGTCCTCCAGTAGCAGGCGAGCGCCCCGAATGCGCAGCTTGCAAGTGCTATGGCCAACGCAGCTCCCACTGGCACAACCAGAGCATTGGTAGGCACTGCCATCTCTTCTGCAGCTACAACCACCTCCTCCTTGCTTGCATGGACAGCATTTTTCTTGTAAACGGACACCAGTTTCTCTCCGTAGTACTTCTTCAAGAACTTGTAGACTTCATCATGATCCCAGTCAATGTTTTTCTCAGTGCTCGAAAGATAACACAAAGGGCAAAGCTGCTTTGGTGGCCATATCATCTTTGGGAACTTAGGGTCTCCTGTTCCCAGAGACTCTTCAACCTTTTTGAGTCTCTCATTAACCTTGTTGTGTGTGCTCCACAGCCACAAGACGACATCACGGGCCTTTTTAAATGGAGTTTTGACGCTGTCATTGGAAAACATAAGCTGTTAGATGTGAATATATGATAATCGAGCTTGTTAGCCAACCCCCGGATATGTATTTACCTTAAGCACATGTCGTGAAAATGCTGACGGCAATCATCACACATGAAGAAGTTGTTGATGAAATCACAAATGGCCGTGAATGCAAACTGACTTTCTCCATCTTCGATCCTCACAGAAAGTGAATGTATCAAAACCCATAATCCACAGCTACAGTCAAATCATTTTGAAAGAGTTCAGGAGCTTCTACTCGAATCATACAATAAATGACAACAGACTGATTTTGCAAAAGACTACCTGAATCCCCTAGTTTCGTTCTTGCTGCCACGGCAAAACATCTGCCAAATATGATTACATGTTGAAAACAAAAGAATCAGGTTTCTTCTCTGTTTTTAAACACAGGAAAAAAGAAAGTGGTAAGTTGGGCAGCACTCACGTAATATCCCCGCGGAACATCCTTTCCACATATATGGTAGTTTCGTAGGGTATCTTTCGCACCAGATTCCTGGTCATAAAAGCACTCGCCTGACGGACATAAATCATCGAAATTCATGAGAATTTCAGCACTGCCCTTACGACACCTATTGAAATATCCAAAGAGTCGATTAGGCATATAAGCAAAAGAGTGAGCTGCAAAAAGTAAATGGAAATATGAAGATGAAACATTACCTTCTTGAAGGATGATGTGCCACTAAAAGCTGCAGAAACCTGGTAAACGAAGTACCAGTTTCAGATGACTTGATTGCCTGTGGCCATAAACACTACTCATAAACAAGGCTGGAAGGATGTAGTTGCATACAACAACAAAAGCAAAAAAATCTTCTCCACCTTAAGTGTCAATATGATACCAAAAGCTTCTTCAGTTGCCTCCTCAATGTCAAATATGGCCTGAGAAATCTGCAATAGATCAACATCCAGCTCTTTTTAGTTTGTTGGTATTAAACAAAATACTTCAATAATAGCAAAGTGGGGGAAGAACACATTCTTAGAGACCTGTTCGTGGTCAGATATATTTGACAGGAAATTTCCGAATTTCTGATCATTTAAGCCATAAGAACTGCACCACATAGAGAAGAACACAGATTTGAGTGCAATGAAACCCAACTGAATATATTGACAAGGGTTTTCATATTAGCCAACATAGAAAGAAACAGATTGCTAAATCTTATTTATAATATACAATAGATATGACTACAACTTAAGTAATTAGACATGAAATTTCAGTGTGTGCGTACCTGCCTAACTGCTTGTTGATAAAAGTCAACAAAAGATCAGCAGTGCGCCATTCATCGACGCTAATCTCACTTTTCTCTTGTTTAGGTTTCCAGCTGCCATCAACGAACTTTTTGGGAGGACCCCAAAAGAGCATCGGATAATGATTGATGGAGAACTTGTCACAGAGCTGTACATTCATCTGCGCTGTCAAAAAAGTCATAAGGAACAATTAGAATGAACGTACTATTCACAACACAATAAGATTTAGTTTTCAAGCCCCAATCTTTAACTCACACGATCCACATGAACAAGTAAGAGAAACAGAGAAATGAAAGATGGCGCCAAGTACCTTTAAAGCACAATCAACCCTGGTCATCAAAACGACACCAGGATATACTGCGTCTGCTCCATTGAATAGCCTTGCAACTTTTTCATAATGTGGCTGCAGAGTTAAGCATTGAATGTAAACAGCAGTGACAAGAGAAGGCGTTGAATAACGAAAGAGAAGATGGCATTCAATGTAAGTTGTTACCTTGTAGTTTCTACATGCAGGACACCTTGAGCCAAATGAAAATCATGATCAATGTCAGTACGGCACAAACTCCTTTGTCAATAATAATTTAAAAGACCAAAGCTAAGTTATATCCGGACAAAACCATAAATTCAAATAAACTCTGCTCAAGATCCAGTGCTAAACAGACCAAAGGTTGAGTTTTTATTTATAGATTTGTTCAAGAGAGAGAGAGAGAGAAAGAGAAAGAATGAGGAAGCTGACCAGTGAGCGAAGAACTCTAAAACAGCAAATTTGGCGGAAGAATCTTGGAAGACTGAATCAAAGTTGGTAGCGTTCAATTCGATAGCGTAATCTTTCTGATCGGCGTTGTTGCTGCCGATGTCCCGGAGAATCGAGCGCGATCCCGGTGAAAATGACGCAGCAGCTGCAAGGCTCACCACACCCAGGAACAAAGACAAGTGTATCAAAGACATTAAAGCAAATAAAGCATGAAAAAGTTGAAGCCTTGATCCGAATGAGAGGGAAGATCTAAGAGCAAAAAAGAGCTTCCCTCCTCCTTCCGTTGAGAACCGACGAGATGGTCTCTGGTTTATTACGACGTCGTAACGCTTTGACCGGCGTCCGACTCCTTTCATAATGGGCTTTATTATAGGCCCATTACTAATTTCCATTTGTGTTCCTAATTGTTTCGGCTTGTTTATGTTTGACCCAAACGAATAAAGAATTGGAAATTAGATAATGCTAAATTTAGAATTTTCTCTGGTCAACAGTCAAATACAAAGTTTGGCAATCAGTGGAACCGTTTGTGTATCCAAGAGCAAAAAGCTTTATGGAGTTGTTTACGTTTGTTGTTTAAAATAATGGTCCATACACAAAACAAAGTACACATTGTCAAAACGACACAAGTGATGATGAAGAACGCCGGAGAAAGGCCTAGTGAAAGAGGTCATCGGACGACTGTTGGCTACGCGCCGCCGAGGGAGAAGACAAAAGAGGATTAAATGACTAACGGCTGAGTCAGCATAATCTAATAGGAAAATCGACAAAGTGACTCCAACCACAAGTCAACCACCATGTGTCTTAGTCACAAGGAGACACACACACACACCTCACACTCACACATTACCAGTTTCTTCAACACATAGCTTTTTAGATTATTGCCACTTCTCTTCCACTCGCGGCGGTATCAATTGTTTTTAGTGTCCTTCTTGCTACAGGGAAAGAAAAAAAAAATATATGACACTATGATGTATCGATCATGTGCACATCCTCTACCTCTAGTAATAATAATATATCACATAATTAAGAATGCAATAATAACATTAACAGGGTCCACGTGCATGACTTCATTTTTTCTGGTCTTATATTTGCATTCGTCTGACATATTTGTTGAATTCCTTGTATATGATGAGTATTATACCATTTTAGCAATACTGTTCTCAACCCCATAAGCCATAGACGTATCACCATGTTTATATATGCATTACCTGAAAAATGATGAAATATTAACAGCCATTCATTATTGTTTTGGCAATCATATATGTATACTGAAAGAGAACTTTTATTAGAAGTCCAATCCAAAGATTCTAATATGCTATAATATTTTTTCTTACGCAGCAATAGCATCTTCGTATCCCACCATTAGTTATGGAGCTAACTATGAGTCATTTGCTAGTTAGCTCCTTTTATTATCAAAATTCTTCACTTGTTCCTTTTTGTTTTCAAAATCATACGACAACCCAAATAATTCCAATTTAGAACATGGTTTTGCTTCAATGGTAGTTTAAAATACATAATTGCTTGTTGTTAGAAAATTACCGAAAGTTGTTATTTATATAAATTTACAGAGTTAGGGGGTACGTTGATTCAACTAATTGTTTTTGGGTGTATTTTTTGATAACGAAGAATATCAAACAAAAATTTAACAGGGTCCAATTATGAAAATATTAAATAAAAAATGGAGCATTTCATTTATTAAAAGAGTCCCCTTTTATTGACTCTCTCCTTCTTTCTTTCTTCTCCTCATTGTATTTGTATAATCTTGTTTCTTCTCTTCATTTCCTTCAATCCTCTTGAAACTCTCTTTCTCAGTTTCTCATTTGATTCGCAAGGCTAATCCTCAGTTAAATATTTGGTTTTGGGTTGTGGATTTTTTTGTTCTCAGAATCTCCGATTAAGCTGCTTCGTAGTGAAAGAGGAGTGTTGTTGCTGTTTTGTTTCATCGATCAAAGAAATCGCAACTTCTCTCTCTCCTTTTTTAAAAATTTTTATTCCGTTTCATCTACTTTGTGGTGTCAATCCAAAGTGAATAAAGATATGTTGGGAGCTGGATTTAACTTGACTCAGCTGCATAGAGCTCAGAGCGACGTCTCTCATGGCGGCAGATCGATTCATACTAAAGAACGCGACAACGGCTCTTCATTGCAAAACAAACTCAATGCTTCTGAGGCGTCTTCAAGTAATGTGGAACGGTTTTTGGATTCGGTAACACCATCTGTGCCGGCTCACTATTTCTCTAAGGTTTGCTTCATTATGACAATTCAATACGTTTTCCTTTTTAAAAATTAAAACTTTTCGTTTGTTTATGGAATCAATAGCTTCTTCATTATGTGCAGACAGTAGTAAGGGAAAGGAGAGGTAGTGATGTTGAGTTGCATACTCCTTATTTTGTTCTTGGAGATGTATGGGAATCGTTTGCTGAGTGGAGTGCTTATGGCATTGGAGTTCCTCTCACTTTGAATAACAACTACAAAGAGCAAGTCTTTCAATACTACGTGCCTTCGCTTTCCGGCATTCAAGTATTTGCTGATGTTGATGCGTTAACTTCATCTCTTCAAGCAAGGTAATAAGTGTTCAAGCCCCCTCAATGTCATCTTGTATTTGTTCATCAAGTTCTTGAACCTGAAGTGCCTTCAGTGTAAAGCTCAAGTCTTGTCATTTGGGTGTTAAATTTATTAATGTGTGTGTTGTCTACTCCAGACGGCAAGGTGAGGAGAGCGAAAATGATTTCAGGGATTCAAGCAGTGAAGGAAGCAGTAGTGAATCTGAAAGAGGACTCTGTTTTCCAAAGGAGCAGATCTCTGCTAGAATGGACCAGCTTTCATTAAGAAAGGAGCATCAAGAAGACTCGTCTAGTGATGATGGCGAGTCTTTAAGCTCTCATGGTCGTTTGATATTTGAGTATCTTGAACGTGATCTTCCCTACATCCGTGAACCATTTGCCGACAAGGTTTGTCTATTTTAACTCTGAATATCAAGCCATCAAGGCATATGCAAAAGTTAATAGAAACCAAAAGGAATCAATGACCAACTTATGATGTTAAATGTCTTATATTTCGAAATAAATTTTGCATGAGGCTACACGGAAGTTAGATATTGACAGATGTAATAATTGATGTTTTGAGCTTCTTTTGTAAATTTTTGTGTTATCAGATTAGTTGTAGCTTTCACAAGAAAACAGTTGAAGTAACATCAAAGATTTTTGTATGAAAGTAATGCTATTTGTCAAACGCAACAACTCTTCCGTTTATCATTTCAAAGCTACCATTTAGGATTATCAACTGACTGTGTAAAGTTAAGGCTGATCCAGTTCTTGAATTTTGATAGACCACTTTATGATCTACAAAAGTGCAATCGGGGATAGTTGTCTAATTCAGTTGTTATTATTGCAGATGTCTGACCTTGCCTCTAGATTTCCCGAGCTGGAGACCTTGAGAAGCTGTGATTTACTACCTTCAAGCTGGTTTTCTGTGGCATGGTATGGATTCTTTGTGCCATCTGTATGTCCTTTGCTCCACATTGCCTATCGTCTCTCTTAGAATCCCTTACCATATGTTTGTAGGTACCCAATTTACAAAATACCCACAGGACCGACACTCAAGGATCTGGATGCTTGTTTCTTGACATATCATTCCCTTCACACACCCTTCCAAGGTAAGTTTGTGTTGAGCATTGTCTATAGTAAGAAACACTAGTTCAAACCATGCTAGGTAATCCAGGCAGAAATAGTGTCATTAATTCTTGCTGTGGTCATATGGGCTGCGAATAACTAACTCTTGAGTAAGATTTTTTATTCAGTATCTATCTTCGCCTCTTGTAGGTCCAAGTGTTACAAATGGGTCTATGCATGTGGTGCAGCCAAGGGAAAGTGTTGAGAAGATGGAGCTGCCTGTCTTTGGCCTCGCCTCATACAAGCTGAGAGGTTCTGTATGGACAAGCTTTGGGGGATCTGGGCACCAGCTCGCAAACTCTCTTTTCCAAGCCGCAGACAATTGGCTGAGGTTGCGTCAAGTCAACCATCCTGATTTCATCTTCTTCTGCCGCCGCTGATGATATGATTATACGATGATGACGAAAAAGGATATAGGAAATTATAAAAAGGAACTCTTTATGATTATTGTGCTGAGTAAACCGTACATATAGAATGCCGTCAAGGTTTTCCAGTTGGTAGCTTCTGTAAGTGCACAGAATGCTAGTTTTCTTATTTTTGTGTAACACTGTTTTTGCAATAAAAGCTAATAGTTGAGGAAAGAGGAAGAAAACTCAATGGTCCTATCTGTTGGTTCTAGCAGCTTTCTCTTGATGGCATCAGAGCAAAGACGAGCCATCATATGGTGGAAGGAAAGCAAATCAGACAGGCGCTCAGCGGACAACTTGTCCATTGCTCTCTCTTGCTCCTCTTTCCTCTTCATCCTTTTCATATACACACACGAGTTCCTCACCGTGGCTCCCATCTGCTTCAGCCTATTCTCTTGTTGCTTGCTTAGTACCGTGTTTGCCTGTGTGATTCAATTCAGCCATGTCAGAAAATCGAATATTCAATAGCATAACATAAAGCCTGGCATGCATGTATGTAAACAAACGGATCTCTGACCTCTAGAAACTCAGTTTGGGAGAAGCTTTTGACGAGGGTCTTGGTTTTCCTCTTCATCTCCAACTGTGTTGCGTTTACTTGTTTCTTCTGAAATGAGATCACTGCTTTCACAAACTCCTGATAAATTAAAGCGCATCCCGGATAATCAAACTCATCAGAGCCTGAAAGCCTCATCCTCTCAGGATGAAACTGCAGACCCATCAAGAACTGACCTTTCTCTGGATCATAGCGATTGGGATCATAAAACCCTTCAATCAAACCATCAGGAGCGTAAGCCATTGGTTCAAAACGATGCGCAAGTCTCTTTACACCCTGATGATGATACGAGTTCACCATTATATACATCTCTTCGAACCACTTATGCAACGGCGTCTCCTCCACGATTCTAGCCTCGTGCCTATGTCCATCGTAGTTGTCGTAATCTATATGCTTGGTCCTACTCGTAGTTATAACTTCCTTGTCAATGTCTTGGTAAAGAGTCCCGCCTGCGGCAACGTTGAGAATCTGAGAGCCACGACAGATGCCTAAGAAAGGAATGTTTCTATCGAGACAGAGTCTGGCCAGAGTCAGCTCGATGCTGTCTTTCTCCCGGTCGATGGTCATGTCCTCTGCATGCACCTTCCTGATCTCCTCCATCTCCTCGGGAGAGAGACCTGAGAATTCTTCGTCGGCGTAGAGAGAAGGGTCGACATCTTCTCCTTCGCAGAGGAGAACGCCATGGATTGGCTCGAAGCTCTGGAGCATAGAATGGATCCCATTGACACGTGGTACGATGACAGGGACGGCACCGTAGGAGACAATGAGATCGAGATGGTATTCTCCTACGAAGTCCACGTACTTGTTCTTGCGGAGAGTCCGACGAGAGACGATGAGAACTCTGGGGATAATCTTGGACGAGAGATCATTATCAGCCACAACCATTTCTAATGAATTTTGTATTGTTATTGTTATTGTTGTTTATTGTCTTGATTTCTCTTTCTTATTTGTATGGTTATGTCTTAAGTTTCTCGTTATTATTTATAGAGGTATCAAGGAGGCGTTGAGGCGCCGCGTACATGCACACACACACACTGTACGTTTCTGGTCAAACCTTTCGATTGGATACTGACGTGGACTTTCATCGGATATTCCAAATTAATACCTCCTTATTTTATTAGGTTGAAGTTAATAAAACGTTTTATTTCCTTTTCTTGTTAGTGATATAATTGATAAATGGAGATTTAGATGGATCAGGTTAGGTGTTTTTGGAGTATTAGATTTAGATATGAATGGATGAGTCATTGACTTGTAACAATATTAGGCCGGCGTAACATATATATCTGTCTTTATTTTTGTATATCTCATACTATATAGGCATGTTTTCTGTATTTGGAGGAGGGTGTTGAATTAATTATGGATATCACGTCAGCCTAATCAGCCCCCGGTTCAGTCAAACTGATCTTACGTGTAAGATAACGTCGTAGACTTTCAACAAATACGTTTATGAAAGATATGAGAAAGAGAGAGAGCTCCATTGTTACCGGAGTCGAGCTCCATTGTTACCGGAGTCGAGCTCTCATCGACGTTATTCAGACAGCCTTCATTGCGTCGATTACATTCACACGCATGCACTTGAGAGTTTGGTTTCCACTCCAGGTTGTGTGCTTCGCATATTTTGAGATACATCGACCAAACTTGTTCGCTCAAGCATATAACAATTAAACCTTTTTTATAATCTGAAGACCAAATGTTCCAATGCTACTTTATATATTATTAGAGATTGTATTTCCTAGTTGTTCTTCTCTCTCAAGAGGAGACAGGCTATAAGGAATCGGAAGAGAGTTACAAACAAATACCATAAACACTTTATACGTCTGTATCTAGCTGAGGATTCGATCATTTGTCCTGTGTAGATTATATATGTAATTTCCGGAGAGAAGAAGTAAACACATAAAAAAGAGTTGAACAATTACATACTTTAGACACAAGTCTTGTTTGTGATTCTTTTTTTTTATTCGAACATTCGTATCCAAAACTACATTGATTTTGTTCTTGTTTGGCTTCCGATTCAAGAATCAGAAATCAGAGCTGACTTGGAAATTAGAACAATGAGTGAAGGGAGAGGAGAAGCATCAAAGTTTACGAATTAAAAGGGAAGTATAACATCGTTTCTTCTTGTGATTCTCAGCCTCTCTACGCTTTCTGCGAACTCCCTGTCATAGCACAATCTCAACACACTTGAACACTTTATTTCAGTAATTATATTTACAAGTTTGTTTCTACAAAGTCTTAAGAGCTTACTTCCACGGAACATCCCCAGCATTCCTCCAGATACCTTTCTCGTCTCTGTAGACCAAACAGAACTCAGACTCCATCTGAAACAACCTCAATCCCGACACACTCTGCATCCCTGCAGATTGTAATGATCATCCAGTATAAGCCTAGTAAAAACATTACAACTTACTCATCTTTGAAAACCAAGAGGAATAGAAATATCTGAAAATATGTCATTTGCAACTAAAGTAACAGGCACTTGCATCCCACCCATGTAGAGGAAAAAAAAAGTTTCCCCTGAAAGCCTTACCAAACATATCTTCGAGCAGATGAGCAAGAGTTGAATAGCCTCCATGATCAAAAACACAGACCTTGCGACCTACCACAAACCCATCCATGGTTACCTTTACATAACCCCACTTCCGTCTACCTCCTTCATTACTACAATAATCTTTACCACATGTAACAAGTACACAACGTCTCATAGTGTTAAGATTGTCACAGAGTTGAGAAAATTAAACAAATGAAAGGTACTTATAGCTTTAATTATAAGTTGATGTTAGCTGTTAAGATAAGGGATATAGATATTATACAGAAGCAAAAAAGAAACTCACTTTGGCCAGATGTGAGGTAAGTCTCATTTTCTATAGTTTTCAGGCTGAGACCTAAATCGATTACGCCTCCACACTCCGTGGTCAGAGGGTAAAATGGATGATACTCAGGAGAACTTGGGAAAACCCCTTTTGGCTCTGTGTCCATGTTGCTTTCTATAACAAATGCTTATTCACCACACAACATATACATAAAAAGGTGGGAATGATGTGGATTTATAGCAAGCAGCTAAAGGCTAAGGGTGTCAGGAGAGTTAAGAGACATAATTGCAGACAGGGAGCAGACAAAAGACAAGAACCCATTACCAACAAGCAAAGGGTCAGTTTGTGGTCTTTTTGTTGTATGTCAGATGTCACTTAGTGCAAGGGATGGGGATTCTCACCACAGGTTCACATTTTGTAACACACATTGCTCCAATATTTCTGGTCACCAACACAAAAATCTGAGAACATCAGGGAAGTTAGAATTGTACTATACTAATCACAGCAGGCACGTCCCTATCTAGGGAAGTGTCTCAATGTTATCAGAGACTATAAAGTCAAAACCTGAAACCACGATGCAGAAGAAATAGGTAATTCGTACTCAAAGAACGCTGTAGGATAGAGAATCCAACGAATTTAATTGTAACAGAGAAAGAGAAGAACTAGGTATGGTCTTACATGATAGTAGAGAGACAATATCATTCATGACGGAGAGCTCTGTTGTTTACCAGACAATTAAGATCTATCATTACTACATGTATCCCACACCTTATCTGAGATGTAGGGCTGCGTCGTTAATAAAATATGTACACATAAAATCCATGTCTATACAATTTCTCTCATGGATAACTTCATCCCTGCAAAAGAAGCAGTACAAGAGAAGACACAGATTCTTCTAAAGATAAAATTTCAAATAAAAAGCTCGTTTCCATAACAAAACAATGGAAACCATAAAAGTAGACAAGACCTTCTAGCATCTCATTCAATGGTTTTCCAGTCCTAATCCACAGGTATATGACTTGAAAAAACTGCCTCCTAAGCCCATGTACAGTTTGCCCGGATACTAAATGTACATCCTTATTAACAGGCGATTCTGATACACACTTCTTAGATACCACCTTAGAGCAATGTATATGCGCATTAGCATGCAAGGAACAGAAACCTCGGAATGTCTCACTTATGCGGCGGAATCATGGTGACTAAGAAATTCAGTTATGCAAGGATAGACTTGCTCCACTGCCTGCAGTGATTATCCAAGAAATGATTAAGAAACAAAACAAGCAAACACAATGTATAACACTGAACAGAGTTCCAACATAAACATACCAGCCGTCCTCCAACCAAATCATAATGTGCATAATGTGGTCCTTCTGGTTCTCCAAGTAACTTATAAGTGACCAAGTTATCGGGAAACAGCTTAACAGTGTCTGCCATATTCACAACCATTTGTAGTTAGTAATAATAGTGAAAATGGCATGTATGAGATTGAGCATATTAAGCAACTATGTATTAAGTAGCTTAACAGTTTCTTTGGTGTGTGTGGAAATTATCATAAAAGTTAAACAAACTATATCTTATACAGCCTCTCATAAACTGCATCGTAGGATTTAAAATGAAAGGCAAATCTGGGCATACGCATATGAATGATTTCATGTATATGTAGGTGTAGCTATTCATCTATGCAAAATTTTATAACAAATATTTCATAATAAACATAATCTAGTATACCTTCCACAGCTGCAGGGGGGCAGATTAAGTCCCGATCACCTGCAAGAGCTAAGACAGGGACACTGGTTCCGGGAAGATGATCCTTGTAGTAAAATTTACCACTACGATCACGTAAGCCTCCCTCTCGAAAGGCCGTTGTCAGCTGAATAAGAAGTTTTGCAGGTATGGTACCTAGAAGTAAGAAAACAGACAAAATAGCTAGAATAAACATAAAGGAAGCAAGAAACAAAGAAAACAAGTATGGTTTGCAAAAATCATCGTATGGCAATACATTCAAGTATCTAATAGTAACTGTTTCAACATTTTTTGATATATTTCTATTCCACCTAAACCACATTCAAATATATTGTGCAAAAAATTCACATACTTAAAAGGGATCAACTGTTATTACTTACAGAAGTTATTCAAGACAAGCTTTTCTAACAATTCAGGGTGCATCATATCTGTTGATGATATCAAATCATTAAGCCAAGATAGTACATATGGAGGACGTGTCGAAAGTGGAAAAGCAGCAGCCAATAGAGCGCCCAGCGGAACAACTGGAACACTCAGAGCTTCTGCAGGATTGGCCTGTAAAAGAAGTTTATAGTAAATTAGCTACAAAAGAGCTTAGTGGCACAGCAATTCTTGTCGAAGATTACAACACAGAGTGATATGACATAAAATCACGTACAAGAGGTATGAGCAATTTGAGTGCAGAATCTGAGGTTGTGTAATCAACCGATGATGCCAGAGTTGCCACAGCTGCCACGGAGGGTTCTCGTCCTTCAAAAGCTAACAGAATAGAATAGAAGATGCCAGCATAAATATATGAGCCTCTTGTTATCAAGAAAATGAGATCTAATGGAAATCGCAACTGAAAGATGAATATTAACTTACAACAACGTGAGAGCATTGCATAGAGTAGGATACCCCCCATGGAGTGCCCAATTGCGAAAAGTTTGCCATCCTTGGGCTTGGTTTGCGCTCTTACATACTCAATCTATAGCAAACCAAAAACGGAACAGCCAGTTCAGTAACAAATTCAGAAGAGATTATGCACAGGATTCAGCAAGATGAATGTTGCCTCACCGCAGCAGGGACATCCTCTTCCAGGTAGTGATCAAAATCCCAGTCATATTTAACTATCAAATCCAGTTGGTTCTGAAAATCTTCTATGGTCGTAGTGAGGCGCTCATGTAAATCAATTAACGGAGGCGAGACAGACTTTTGACCATCGTCAAAAAGATTAACAAGGCGCTGAGCCAATTCTCTGATTTGGTTAACAAGTCCTGAGTTTTGCTTTGACTCTATCAAACTCAAAAGCTTTGATCTTATCTCATTAAAGCGCTCGTACAGCTGTGTATCATCTACAAGCATTGCAATTTTGTCAAATAACTTGGCAGACATGAACACTGACTGACCTTCACTGAGAAAGCCAGAAAGTCTTTCTGACAAACGCATGAAAGTTGATGTCAATCTCGACACAAGTTGTGACTCGTCCCAAGCCGTGGTTTCACCAACAACAGAAACATCCGATGCTGGTGCACTTTCCACGATATCAGTAGCCTGCTTTTCATCAGAACAAGTTTCTTTACCTGCAGCAGCTCTAGCCGTAGATTCTATCTGATTAGACAACTCGTGAGCAGATTCCTCAACATCCTTGAGATCAGATACTCGTGTACTCAACCCGGCTCCACGGACCTCTAGAATCCACGTCTCAAATCCCTGACTAGACATGTGTCTTGCAAAAGAACACTGCAATGACATCGAAAGCATGAGGCTTCTTGAAATTGGGAGCTTTCGATCAACAAAAAATATATTCCCTGATTGAATAGTACACTACACTAGTAATTCCTCTTACGGTAATTCACTACACTAAACGTATCAATGTAGACCTTCATTAAAAATGATTGACATTAAAATCAAATGTAAAGGGAAGGCAACATACACCAGGAGATAAATCGTATCCAATGGCATTAGTTCCTACTCCAGACAACAGTAATAACGGATGATTCCTCGTAGGAGCCTGAGAGAAGAAGGACAATTCTTAATCCCATAGAAAAAAAAAAATTGCAGATACAGAGAAGAAAGGTGAATTTCAAAAAAACCTGAGGAGGAGGCAAGTAACGCCAGAGAGCGAGACGCCAATCGCTGTTAGGAACAGAGACGTAATGAAGCTCGTCGGCAGTGCAAAGCGGTGGTTTCGTGGGGAGCTTAACAGAGGAAGAAGAAGAAGAAGAGAAACATCTCGGTCGAAACAGCGTCGTGCGGTGACGGAACGAAGGAGGAACGACGGTGGTAATGGGACGGAGGAAATAGACGGTGGAGGAAGCCCAGCGAAGAGCTGAGCGGATCTCCAGAGGGAATTGAGGAGGCATGGTGGACATGGCACAGACAGACTCTGCAGATTTGGAAAAAAATATGGTGACTCGGTTATCTCACTCCGGCGTGTTTTTAAGGATCGTCATTCATCTCCGGTACACGTGGAGAGACGACCAAGTGATGTGATGATTCTTGAATACGTCACTTTATTATTTTGACCGCTAAAAATACTTACTGGGCTATCTAAAATTGCAAAGCCCAAATTCACATTTTTAGTTTTTTTACCCTTTTTGTTTATGGCCTTTGGTGGTGCGTTGAAGACAAGGAAGGTATAATTGTAAAGGAATTTGTTGTCCAATCATATTTATTTGGATTTTAGCTAAAATAAAGCAGAGAAAATGTTGAACCATTTTTTTTGAATTTATTTAAGATATGTGTTAACTAAGAGAAAGTAATCAATAATTAGATCATGTATAAATTAAATTAAACCGAAATTAATAAAGTCGGATTTGAAACCTTCACATTAGTTCACTTGAGTTAATCTAATAAAATTGTTGACAAAAAATAATTGTCATTTAGAGTTCACTGATTTAATCAATTTATTGTAAGAAAAATTTAACATTTTAAAACAAAAGAAAAATACTTAGTGAATATAAATTTATCTTTTATAATTATTTTCAAATTTACTTCTATAGTTTATATATTTTTGGATTAAATTATTAAATTGAATAGAGTCCCTTTACTCAATTATATCAGATACAGAAAAAAAAAAAAAAAAAAAAAAAAAAAAAAAGACTAAAGCAGAGGTCGCTTGCTTTTTTCTTTTCTTTATGGACCACAGAGCCAAACACACATCTTTTATCTTTCCTTGAGAAACCCGAAGAAAATCTCTGTTTCCCGCTTTCTCCATTCCTGTTTTCCCCAATTCGCGCGACAAAAAGAGTGTAGATACGTTGTCCCGTGCGTTTCCGGCGTCGACCTTAGTGACAGCTCATTATCTCCACAATCTCAAACGCCAAAAGGTACATTACATACACACTCATCGTCTTCTCTCTATGGCTTCTTTGAAACCAAGGTTATAGCGGAATTAAGACATTCTACTGTTACTGTTTCGTCTTTCGTGGCCATCATACAGTTGAATTGTGCTTACTTGTATTACTGTTATAAGCGGACTCGAAACTTGAAAAGCTCTTACTCAGTTGAAGCAAGTTCCCTTTTGTTTTCTTAAAGGTCTCTAATTTGGCAGCTTTCAGCATAATTGCTTCTCTTTGTGGAGTTATTGATTAAGCATGCCTGAAATTCAATTGGGTGCTCATACATTAAGATCCCATGGAGTCAAAGTGGCTAGGTTCCATATGCATGACTGGCTCATTCTTCTGCTGCTTGTCGTCATTGTGGTTGTTTTGAATGTCATCGAACCATTTCACCGCTTTGTTGGAGAGGATATGCTCACTGATCTCAGATACCCTCTTCAAGACAATACCATTCCTTTCTGGGCTGTCCCGGTAATACATTTTGGATTCTCTGAATTCCTTGGAGCTTCTGCTGCTTTATGTGATTAGTCTTTATATAAGTCAAGTGTGTGTTTTTCGTGACAGTTGATAGCTGTTGTGCTCCCCTTTGCTGTCATTGTTGTTTACTACTTCATCAGAAATGATGTTTATGATCTGCATCATGCAGTTTTAGGTACCTCTTTCTTCTTACAATGGTGTTTTATGTTTTAAAGTTGTTTGTAGCTCTTGATTTTGAGGTGTTTTCTTCAGGTCTTTTATTCTCTGTACTCATAACTGGTGTCTTAACCGATGCTATAAAGGACGCTGTTGGTCGACCTCGTCCTGACTTCTTTTGGCGTTGTTTCCCTGATGGTATAGGGGTGAGCAGCTCCTCTCCTTGCTTACTCTTTTAACGCTATTAATATTTACTTATCTGGTTGAACTTGTAATGTTCCATGAAATTCTAGATCTTTCACAATGTCACAAGGGATGTTCTGTGTACTGGAAATAAAGATGTGGTCAAAGAGGGACACAAGAGCTTCCCCAGCGGGCACACGTCTTGTAAGTGGTTATCTTTGAGCTTCTTGTGCCATGTGGGAACTCTATGCTACGTAGTAGTACGGTTAATGTTTTCATCAAATAGGATGGAAAAGGCATTGCTTTGCAGATCCTAAGACTTAGTCATGTAATCTGCAGGGTCGTTTGCTGGTCTAGGATTTCTAGCATTGTACTTGTCTGGAAAAATCAAGGTGTTTGACCAGAGAGGGCATGTTGCAAAGCTCTGCATTGTGATCTTACCTCTACTGGTTGCAGCATTGGTTGGTGTATCCCGAGTTGATGACTATTGGCATCACTGGCAAGATGTGTTTGGAGGAGCTATCATAGGTTTGTTTGTTTCTTAACTCATGCACTCCACATTACACGAGAAACAAAACTGATAGAGGACACATGTTTCTTTCAATGTCCAGGATTAACGGTGGCTACGTTTTGTTATCTGCAATTCTTCCCTCCTCCATACCATCCAGATGGTGTGCCACTGAGGAGCTTCTTCTCTTCAAGATAATAGTCACTTTGATTGATAAGTATCGAACACTGATCTTGATATGGACTGCTTGCTTGCTTTCAGGTTGGGGACCTCATGCGTACTTCCAGATGCTCGCGGACTCGAGGAACGATGTACAAAATTCAGCAGGAATGAATCATCTAGGTGTGAGGCAAACAGAACTAGAGAGCGTATACGTTGATCGAGAAGAGACTCACATGGAAATTTCAAGAAGCAACACGAGGGACACAACCCGTATGCTTGAGAACCGCTAAGTGAATGTCTTGTATTACTTTTATCAGTCTTAGCCTCTAATCACAAGCCCATTAGCTAAAACCAGATCCATTAGAAGAGGAAAAAAGAATCGCTAGGAGGGCTTGAACCTCCGACCTTGTGGTTAACAGCCACACGCTCTAGCCATCTGAGCTATTCCAGCTTTCTGAATTGACTTAACAGTATCAATTTGGAAAATTTAAATTGGCAAGTTAGTCTATGACTATGAAGATTAATCACATTTTATATGATAAGATATTAAGATTCATGTAAATTGATATGCTTTGTCGTTTGAACAAAGGCATCGGCACGTATATATGTTAGTGGGTTACTACTTACCACCATCTTGTTGTATTCTTCTTCTTCATGCCAAAAAGGTAAAAATCCGAAAGGGATATGTTGTGGGGATCGAGGCCCATGCGCCCCTTACAGAAATGACCCAGTCCGATTGGCATTTTCCTTAATTTTAGGATAATACAACTATCCTTTTATTTCTACTAAGTACTAAATTTACAGGTCAGTTCACACTCTTTTTCTCCCTTTGAGTATCCAATGATTGTTATTTTTCCAATATTTTTATGGCCATTTTAGCTAGCAACATTTTTAAAATATGAGTCATTTTATTCAGGCTTTTGATGATTTTGTCCAATGAGATTTGCACTCTCTCTTGGATTCCTCTTAAAAGTCATTCTTTTTCTCCCACTTTTACTTTTTACCTTTGTTGAATTATGCAGAATCTTTACTACTTTGTTGTTTATATATATATAAAAAAAACCTCTAATGGAATTTGGATTACATATTTAATCAGTTTTAATCTCAGTGTATTAGTTATCTTTCTAATTAAGTAGCTGTATGTGGACTAAAAACTTAAAAATAATGGTTACTGGATTTTCACCATTCTTGTAATGATACTGAGTGATAATCCAAAGGGTGTGATGAATTGTTATTCATTTGCATCATAAGAATGTCTTTTTATATAGAAAGCAATTTTAAGCCTGAATCTTGTTATTTGTTTGATATATCTCAAAGTGAAATATCTTTCTACATACATATATGATGAATATGATTATTGGCTTAAAAGCAAATCTCTTTGACTCCCGTGAGACACACACACTCACATCCTACTACTAATAGGGAAAAGATGTTCACATAGTACATTTTTTCATTATTTAGGTAACAGGTTGATTGAGGAACAAAAAAAAATCAAAGCGACCAACGTAACCAAAAAAGGAAGACAAATGAATGACGCAGAAAGTGCGTTGTGATGATGCAACACATTCTAATCTGAGTAGTGCGGTTCGTGAACGGCCAAGATTGAGGGAGAGCCCGTCAGGACTATGAATGGTCCCAATTACGTTAAGAGTGGAGGGTCAACGTAAATAGATATAAAGTTGTTGCCTTTTTGTCTATTTAGTCACTAAAGAGTAAAGATGTTTTGACAAATTCTGAAATAAAGTTTACAGACACGATGAGACTGAGACAACCCACCTGTGATGACTAAACACCCTAACGCATCTTCAATATTTTGGTCTCTTGTATCTTGATTGCCTTTTTTAAATAATGTTTATGTGATAAATATTCAGAAACGCTATACGACACTGAGTTTAGTTTGTGAATCTTTTAACGCATCAGCTCGTCAAGACGATGGATATGTGCATTGGGTGATGAATGAATATCACAAAAAAGCACACAAAGAGCATGCAAATTAAGTGTGTGTGGACAATAAAAAGAGAACGTACGGCGACTTGATGACCAAATGAGAACGCCCCATTTTATTTGTCTGCTCATTACCTTACATCCAAATCTATATCCGATACTTGCTCACTTTATTTGTTTTTAGGGATACACAAAAAAAACTTATATTTTGTTTTCAACGAATATACGAAAGTTTGACTGGAAACAACGATATACATAAATGACTAGTACGTAAGATAATGTAAAAACACGTGAAATATAATCACAATATACATTTCATCACCATAGAGACCATATAATGTATATAGTGAATGAAATCGGAAAAAGAAGACAACCCAAACTTTATATTTGTTTGAAAGAGATAGCATTTGGTAGAGTGAGGAAAAGAAGGAAGCTGCACAACACTCAAAGCCAAGACTGTTCCACTATCTCTCCAACTACGTGCCTTTCTATGCCCACCCCCTTTCCTAATAAGCATATCAACCTAGCTACTACTCTCATTATCTAATTCTAAAAAATTAACAACCATGCTTCCTCTTGAACCTGTAAAAAAAAGGGTTTTAGAGAAAACATACATACCCAAGAGGCTCAAAGATCGATGTTATTTAGAATTCTTTCACATCCCCCCAAGTGAAATAATTTCACATTTACCCCTCAACAGTCATACTAAACTCCAAAACCCACCCCAAATTATGTGTCAATCAATTGTATATCATTTGCTAATACAAAAAAAGGTGAGGGACATAACCTTCCTTCCTTGACCCTTTATATAAGACCCACTCATCATTCCATCCTTTTACACATTGCCTATTATATCAATCTTCTTCCACTTATTTAGTTTCCTGCTTTTTTTCTTTCTTATATATATATATATATATATATAAACTACCAGGTCTTCACTTTCTCAAGAGGTCAGCTATGGTGTCTACAGAAGAAGAAGAAGAAGATGGATGGAAGAAGGTGTTTTAGATATGAAACAATGATGATAACAATAATTGATAGATGGAGAAAGATGGGCTTTGCAATAGTTTTACGCTCTTTGATAGAAATGTAAGTCTGGGGAGAGCGAGATTATTGCATTGCTTGCACCTGGGGAATCGAAGGTTACTGGTCCGATTTTTTTTCCTTACCCAAAAAAAAATCATTCTTATAATTTTATATATCTCTTTACTTATATTAGTGTTTTGTATGTGCGCCTGTGTGTGTGTGTTTACTCTATGGTTGATTATTTTTCATGTAATGTTATATGAAAGTGATGGTAGTATCTGTCAACTGAATAACTTAAGTTACATTTCAGATAAAAGTAAGATACTGTATTATTAGCAATCACATTCAAATGGATTTATGAGTTGAATCTTGAGGAATTTTATTTTGCTTTCATTCAAAACTGTGTCTCGTTTTCCATTTTAACCCAAATAAAGAAGTTTTATACGACTTTCTTGAGTTGGTCAGATTAGCTATGAAAACCAACTCCCATATGTAGAAAAATGTGAAGATGATGAAGATTCAAAAATAAATTGTTAGTGTAGAAACTTATTGTAAAAAGGCTCATCATCTAAAAATGGGAGGCAAAATAAGGCAGGCCTATTCCCACAACTGAGTAATGAAAATATAAAGTTTCGAAGCCCATCTTGTTTGTTTTTGTTGTTATTAATAAGCCCACAGAGTTCTCTTATGGAAACAGAGATTCAATTAAAATTACTGTAAGTTGGTGAAACTGCAATAAAAATCCTCTCAACTTCAAAAATTACGTTCGAACTCTAGATGAAAACATTTCAAGCTGAGAGACACGAATATTAAAGCAAACGTTTTGAATTCCACTCCTTCGAGTCTAATAGTGGCTAACTTGTACCTGTATTGAATGAACTTCAATGGTTGTTAGTAAGCTTCAACTAGATAACTCGAAATGGTCAAACTATCTACGAATGATCCGTTTTCAAGGGTTCGTTAATTAGTTGAGAACACATATATAGACAAATTGTTAAAGACACAAAACCTTTGTGTCCAATGTCCATCCCATATTTTACACTTAATTGAGGTATGCTTGTTGGAATCAATTCCAATTCTCCTCAAATCAAATCAAGCCAAATAAGATACTTCTTCTACAAATCCCCAGGATTCTTGGAACAAGTTTATTTACAAATAGAATTAGGTGGGTGTGATGGAACAAGAGATGATTGTACGATTTATATATATCTTCTCAAAATCCTATACTCAGGTACAAATACAAACTGTGAAAATTTTTATATTCAAAATTTACACAAGGAGATTTGAAAAAGGTAGAAAACGAACAAAAAATACAAACCAAAAGGTCTCCTCCTCCTCCGAGAGAGAGAGAGAGAGAGAGAGAGCTCAAAAAAGGATCCGAGAAAAGAAGGGGCGCGAGCGCGTGCGTTGGTGAAAACCGAAGCAGCCAGCCACCGTAGATGTCTCGGAAACTGAGAATCAATCACGGCCGTCGGATGTACATCAGTGGAGAGAGAAACAGGAGATCAAATCCGTGCCGACGCGACGCTGCGTTTTGGAGACGGAAAGATCGGAGACCAAAGCAGATCTACAGAGAGGACAGGTGAAATTGAGGTGGTGAAGCCATCCTTCCAAACACTGCTTGTGGAACACGTGTCGACATTCCAGCTTCCTCACCTCTTCGCCTTCCTTCAGCTTCGACAGGCACACCACGCAATCCGATCCTCCTCCTCCTCCTCCTCCGTCTGCGTCGCACCGGTATGAGAAGAGCCGATTCAAGCTAAGCTGATCCGCCAGAACGATTATGTTCGCTAAGCCCGACGCAATCGACACGTCCTCGACGTTCGGGAGATTGGGATTAGAAGAGATTGCCGTGAGGCGGAGGAGGAAAGACCGGAGATGGTTGATGAAAACGGCGAGAAGAGAGAGGAGCATCAGAGGTATTGAATCGGAAGAGACGTCACTTAGCTGACCTTGTAGCCCCATTCTTCTTCTTCTTCTTCTTACTTTGTCTCTCTCTACTCTCTTTTTTATATATATAGCTGTCTTTGCTTAACCTATACACTTTGGGTTCCTTTTTATATATATAATTTTTTTGTTATGACATCACTTAAAAATGGGTCAATGGACTTGTAATAATTTTTTTGGTTCACTGCTTACAAATTCACTAAAAGGAAATTATTGATTTTAGGATACTTTTCTATAAAACAAATTTTTTTGATGTTTTTATATATAGTATAGTAGATATAAAATTTGAAAGCTGGAATAAGGTAGAAAAATTGTTGATTTTATTTTACTTTTATTAATCGATTTTGTCATTTTTCCAAAAAAATAAATGCAAATACTTTTTATACTTATATAATTATGAACTAATTTTTCTCTTTTTTTTCCTGATGATCTTATTATATAATTGATGACAACAAAAAAAAAAAGGTTAGTAATAAATACCAAATCTGTTATACACGTGATCTGGTATTATTACAAATCTAATTTGACACAAACCGACGTCACTTCTTTCTCTCCTCTTTCCCTTTGAGTTTTGTTTTCGTATATGACCACATGTCCTCCCTTATAGTATATAGTTTTCTTTCTTTTTCCTTTTACATTTTTTAGTTATAAGTTGTAACCAAAGTAATTTTTGTGCAACAAACTAACCAATGACTCTTATAAATTTTTGTTTCGATATTACCATTAGGATGACGAAAAGTGTACATTATATTATAACAAATGTACAATTATTTTTACTAATTCTTGCAAAGGTAACATAACTTTTAATCACTCCAATGGACTGTGTTACCTTATCTTGTTTTTTTTTGTTTGTCTTTCTATTTTCTGTATAGGAGATGAAATGCATTTTGAAATTACAAAAAACTACAAAAGTGAAATATAAAAATAGGTTTGCGAAGAATAGAATAGTCTATAGTAGTGGGCGGTGTGGATGTTTTGATCTTAATATTTAGACTTAAGCCTAAAGGGGACCAAACTTGATCATATTTTTAGATGAATATTTTTTTGTTTATTTATTTAATTGATAACAAAATTGGTTGATCTGATGAAGATTTTGCACGATCCTCACCACACCATCTTTCATATATTTTTATATGTTTCGACCCCCACCCCCCCCCCCCCCCCAATAATCATCTCAATTCTACGGTTTCTTCGTTTTTAAAAAAATATACATTCCAACTTTAAAAATAAGATAGATAACAAGTAGCTAGTTTAAAGAGCAGACCAAACACAATTAACATCTAATTTGTTTTTTTCTTTCTTTTATAATATCCTAATGTTTTGGAAATTTAAGTATTTTTATATATTCAATTACTAATTGTTTATTTTTATTAACTTATTATGAAACTCAAAACTGGTATGAAATCATAGACAGAACATGTTTTTATTTATTAATATAACATTTACTTAGAAAGTATTGAATAAAAAATATAGTCCCCATAAAATAAGTGAAAAGCGCGCATCAAGTTTGTAATTAATAAAAATAAAAAAGGATAAACATGATCATAACGAGGGAAACATAAACAAAAGAGTGAAGGATGTAATTATATAGTCTATGTGTTTAAAAAATGGTAAACGGCGCTGTCAACGTATTCATTCTGCAAAATACTAATTATAAGTTTTTTTGGGTTTCATAATTAAAAAAAGACAAAGTGGGAGAAAAGAAGTCTCAATTCCGCCGTCCAAAAGATCTCAGAATCCACCGACTGATTAAAAAAGAAATGGCACAAGTTGAGGATTAAGTATGTTGATTAGCACATTAATTAAGCAACGACCAAACCCACTAATATGGTTACAAAATGCCAATAAGAGTTTACATGCTTTTTTTTAAAAACCACCAAAAAAAAAGGCAGGCTTAAAAGTGATTTGACGAAAAGGATGTAATTGTCCTGTATATCATAATTATCAAGAGTTTTAAATTAATTGGTGAGTGATTACCAACTCCAATCAGATGGACCATTTGTGTGGTGACAATCAAAACACACAAAAGTAAAGCAAAAGAGTATCTCTTGTTTTATTCATCATATTTTCCATTGAAGAGGCAGCAGGTTACGTAGAGACCATTCGTTTCAACCATACGATGTGGCCGAAGGAAAACCACACAACACACTAGTTTTATAATAAAGGCAAGTCGCACTCATCAATCATCAGAGTCGGACCAATCTCTCTGTTGGATTCGTATTAGTGGGCTTCACCATTATTGTCTTCAGGCCCAAAACATTATATCACAACAATTTCTAAGTACTGTACACAATCTTCTTGTTCATAACAAAAAGTATAATCTTTCTCAGTTTAGTTAGACACAGAATGATAAATACATAAGACCGAGTGACCCATCAAAACTAGAAATTATACGTCTATGTTCATTCCTTATGACCTTATATATACGTCAATTTCACCAATATGCAAAAGTTATTATTATATAACATATAAGGTATATTATGTATTGTTGTTACACTTACGTCTTCTAATTATTTGTTCTACATATCTTTTGTCTCAAATCATTTGCATTGATATATGTCTTCGAGTTTCTACATATTTTGTTGTGTCTCAAATCTCAATCATATTTCAAACGTTTAGTTCACCAACTATATCATTAGTTTTTATTTTTTAAAATGTTTTCTTAGTTTCCAAATCAAGTTATTTTTATTTTTTTTGTCAAACCATCAAGTAATTTAAAAGCGGTACTTAGAGTTAGACCAAATTGATTAAAACTGAAAAAAATATCACATGACAGTTGGGACGCTCTGCGCGGATCTAACAAGAAGCAATTGGGTGGTTACGATGTAACATTCTGAAGTTTCCAAGGACAGCACGTTAGAAGATATGATGTTCTTGGTATGGTGGCATTGCAAGATAATAATGCGAGGATCGTGATATATCTCTTTGTATTTCCACAGAGAGAGAGAAAGAGTAAACATTTGATATCAATATTGTAATAAATTTTGGAGCCTTTGACTTGAGAAAACATAAGTATCTTTAGTAGTTATCTTAAATATTTATATAAAAAAATGTGTCCAAACTCCAGGGGGGGTTGGTTTGTATTAGCAAAGAGAAGAAGCATGTGGTGGATCAGTCGTAAGAACCATAATTAAAGTCGTCCGGACGGAACAGAAACACCAATGGACCACTCTTCTTTACTTGTCTCCATATGCTAACACTTACTTATACTCGAGAGACTGACTATTTTGAGGTTGTCCTCCTCATATTATTTCTAGATGTAGACCACACTTCTCTTTCTTTCTCTCTCTCTCTCTCTCTCTCTCTCTCTCTCTCTCTCTCTCTCACTCCCTTGTTTACCATTTACCATATACAACAACACTTACCTATACTTATTTCGAACACACATATGAATTCTCCTAAGTTTGCCTTGTGGTAAAAACAGTTGATAGGCTCTTCTTACTGGTTACAGTTCGTGTCATAATTATATGTTGAAAGTTCTTACAGGTGTATGTACTTTATTTACGAGAGCATTATCACACTATTATTGGTCTCAATCGATATGATATACGTGGTGAGCATAATAAACTAGTAGTAGTGTATATCAGTTAGAGCTGTAATGCTTTTTATTCTGCTAATTAATCATTACCACCTCTCAATGATTTCGAATATCATCAAATCAAAATTCTTAATCACTCTCTATCTCATTATTTACTTTGACCCTAATCATTGTTATCCCTCTATTTTATCTTCACACACTTTTTTCTTCTGTTTCTTTACCTGTGATTCATTCACACTCACTTAACTTTAACCAAAGAAAACTATCACATACTACTAACTTTTTTTGTTGGTTAGTTTCAAATCCCATTGTTTATCATTTAGTTATTATTAAAAAGAAAAGAAAAAATAGAGGAGGAAGGTAAATTTTGCGACAAGTGACAAGTGGTGTCTCCATCTGCATGGTCTTGTTATAGGAATGAGCTGTTCATCTTTGTTTCTATTCAGAAACCCAACTTTTATCATATTTCCATTAGTGTTTTCAGTTATATCATCGGTGTTTAATCAAAGAGCTAGATCAAGATTTGACCGTATGCTATTATATTTTGTAGTTATGGTCCATCCCCTACATGCATGCTAGAGAGTTATTGTGATGATTTCAAGCACACAGAGAGGTGTCTATACATCACTTCACTTCTTATTATTAGTAGCTCTCTCTTTAATTCCATACTTGACTCTTTTTTTTCCACCTTTTTTCCTTTTCTTTTTTGATCATCCAATAAAATAAAATAATGAGAAATTATTTTTATACTAATTAGGGTTGTTATTCTCTGCTTTTCATTTGTACTTTTTGGGAATATCTGTCAAATCAATTACTTAAATAAGAATATTAATAAATTTCGCAATTGATGTGCTTTTATTTTCGTTTGCAATGAAAACAATCATAGTATGAGTTATTTATTGTATAACATTCCAGCATCACATAAATGTTCACCTTTTTAGATTATTATTTTTACCGTTTTTTCATAAGACTTTTATTTTATTTGTGAAACATGCATTCAAATGTCAACATGAATTCGATGTCGAATGAAATCGTTTGAATTGTTGTATTTTTTTTATAATCATTATTATGAATGATAAATTAGGTAATAACATTAGATATACACACACACTTTGTGAATTGTGATAAATCTTTGCTGAAACAAAATGGTTTGTGTAGAACAAATATAACAAAATCGAATGGGTGACTACGATAAAGGTGGCGCAAATACAATGATAGTATAATTTTTGACCATAATGTTTTCTAAACACCATAAACGACCAAAACATTTTGTTTGTTTGTTTCAAATCAAAATTGTGTTAGTCAAGAAAATTAACCAATACATTAATTTGGTAACTTTCCTAAACTTTTCAAATCAAGATTGTATTTAACTTTCCTAAACTTTTGAAATCAAGATCGTACTAGTCGATAAAATGAACCCATACATTTGAACCGATTTAATACGGGTAAATGACATATATGGTTCAGAATAGATGAAAATTCACGGAACATAAAAAAAAAGTTAAAATATAAAAAATCCGTATCAAATCAATTCGTGATGATGCATCATCATAAATTCATAATATATCAAAATCACATCAAAAATAAGTAAATTATGACAAAAGATAGATAGTGCGATCATCAAAATCCACATTTGCATAATATAAAATTTCGGGGTTGATGTCACCACTCACCATAGATAGTTCAGAGGAATAAGAAAGAAAGGGGTAATTAAGTAAAAAAAAAAAAGGAAAAAAGGGGAATCGTGGGGGAAAGGAAGGAAGCAGAGTCGTTTTCAGATCGTGAACAGAAGCATAAGCAGCAGCAGAAGCCGTATCTATTCCTCTCTCTCTCTCTCTATCTACTTTGACCGTTCCTCTTCTTTTTATTCTTCCTCATCATCATCATCATCATCATCATCATCATCATCATCATCATCATCATCTACGAGCTTTCTACTACTTCGATTCCTACTTCTTCTTCTTCTTCTTCTTCTTCTTCTTCTCTCCCATTCCAATCAATCTCCACCGCTCTCTAGGGTTCTTCAGGTATCCCAAATCCATCCCAATCTCTACTCTTCTTATTTTGTTTTCCTATCCAGTTTCGTTTTCATTCTTATTATATTTTTTTAAAAAGTTAATTTAAGCTTCTGCTTTTACCTCTGCAAAGACAGACCCTTTCTCTGTCTCTGCTTGTACCTTGTACCTTTCTCTCCGTATACTCTCCATTGTCTGCCTTTTCTCTTCTCTCTTTTCTTTCTCCTTTTTTTTCTTAAATCTCCGCTCTTTTTCTTATCCCCGACTTAAAAATTTCTCCTTTTTTTTTTTTTGTAAGCAGCAATAGTTTCAGAAGCTGGTTTTGGCCATGGAACCCAATGGGTACAGGAAAGAGAGAAGAAAGGAACAACATTTGGGGAGAATGAATGGCGGTAGTGATGTTGCGAGTGATCTTGATCCATGGACTGCATGGGCTTACAAGCCTCGCACCATCTCCCTTCTCCTTATTGGCGCTTGTTTTCTCATGTGAGTCATCATATCTTTCCTGCTTCTTTCCCCTTTTCTTCTCTGCCCATTTCCTGTAATCCTTAATTTTGGTTTTCAATTTGACTTCTTAGTTGGGCAAGTGGAGCTCTTGATCCTGAGAGCACTACTTCTGATGATCTTGTCACATCTGTCAAAAGGTTCTCTCTTTCCTTCTGCCCACATCATGCCTTTTCATTTGAATTACATCTATTGACACTAGTCTACTATGTTTTTGTTTCTTTTTTAGGGGAGTGTGGGCTATGATCGCAGTCTTTCTTGCTTACTCTTTGCTCCAAGCTCCTTCAACGTTTGTTTACCATCTCAGCTGTTTAATTCATTAGCTTTCTCTTTTATAATGCAGAGTGTGGTTTCTGATCCTTGTGCCTTGTTTTTAATTAAGTTATCTGTTCTATGCAGGGTTCTAATCAGGCCCCATCCTGCAATCTGGCGCTTAGTCCATGGGATGGCCGTCATTTACCTTGTTGCACTTACTTTTTTGCTCTTCCAGGTCCACTTCTTTCCTCCATAAGATCTTTCTCATACAGTACCCTTGCTTGCCTATGTCTCTGATAATAGCTCTTATAAATCTTGTTTTGAGTGAGCAAACTCTAATAGTTACAAAATTCTTGTTCCCAGAGACGTGATGATGCCCGTCAGTTCATGAAGTTTCTCCACCCTGACCTTGGGATAGGTAAGATTTTTAGAGAAGAATGCTATTTATTCATGGAGGAGCTACCGCTGCAATGATTGACCATTCTTATTGAGTTTGCTCATGCTGCAGAACTTCCTGAGAAATCTTACGGTGCTGATTGCCGTATTTATGTGCCTGATCACCCAACAAACAGGTTTAAGAATCTTTATGTAGGGTATCTTCTCAACAACTCCCCTTTATCTTAAACGACCTCCATATCATCTAAAGGCTTATGCTTTGGTTATATGATCTCAGGACACAATATTTGACGAATTTTTCTTGGCTCACATCTTTGGATGGTGGGGTAAAGCAATTCTGATCCGGAATCAGCCACTTCTATGGGTGCTTTCAATTGGTTTTGAGTTATTGGAGGTTGGTCCTTGTTTTTGTTTTCTTATATTTCAGGTTTCAATTTCATAAATACAAAGATATGTCTTCCCCTGTGTCAACAAAATTTTATAATTATGTTCTCCAGCTTACCTTTCGGCATATGTTACCAAATTTCAACGAATGCTGGTGGGACAGTATTGTTCTTGATATCTTGATATGCAATTGGTTTGGTATGATTCTTTAACCACCTTGCCATTCTATATGTTGTGCTTTTAAGATGTCGTGGATAACAGTTTTTATTGTTTTAATGTTGGTAGGAATCTGGGCAGGAATGTATACAGTACGATACTTTGATGGAAAAACATATGAGTGGGTTGGCATAAGCCGCCAGCCTAACATTATTGGAAAAGTAAGTTTGTTCAACCTTGAGAGTGTATACACATGGTCGTAGCCAGTGAACTAGTGATGAGAATTGTGTTATTATTTTAGGTGAAAAGGACACTGGGGCAGTTCACACCAGCTCATTGGGACAAAGACGAGTGGCATCCGCTGCAGGGACCTTGGCGATTTATTCAAGTACTCACTCTTTGCATTGTCTTCTTGACAGTGGAGCTGAACACATTCTTTCTCAAGTTTAGCCTGTGGATCCCTCCTAGAAACCCAGTGATTCTCTATAGGCTGATCTTGTGGTGGCTCATAGCAATACCGACAACACGGGAATACAATTCGTATCTTCAAGACCGGTAAAGTTAATAGCGATTGCGATGTTGGTTGGTTGTTAGCTGAGAAAAAGTATTGTATAACTGGCAGCTTTGGTTGTTCACAGGGAACCTGTAAAAAAGGTGGGAGCATTCTGTTGGTTGTCGCTAGGGATATGCATAGTAGAACTTCTCATCTGCATCAAGTTTGGAAGTGGTAGGTGGTTCCTTCCTTACAAATGCTCTGCTTTATTTGATTATGGTTACCATTACACAGTGTGGAGAGTGTAAACTTGGTTGTATGATGGTGACATAAACAGGATTGTACCCAACAGAAATGCCATTGTGGGTAGTGACACTTTGGGGAAGTGTGGGACTAGGACTTGTGGCCTTCTTGCTGTGTTGGACATGGAAGATCCAGAAGATCCTGGCGCAAAAGAGACGCTAAGCTGCGGAAGACGACTGAGGGAGAGAGAAAAAGAGAGGTGAGACAGTGAAATGCCATAGTTGTGGGTTTCTGTAAATAGGGAGAAGAACAATGTAAATGCAATTTTCTTTAGGGGTAGTGTGTGATATTCAAACCTTCCATCAATTCTTTCATGCATCAAAATTGCTTTCATATTTGTTCTACCCCCTCACTCAATCTGACAACAAAAAACATGTTGGTTTGAAAGGTTTAATCAATTTAATGTTACATTTCACTCCTGTTAACAGTTCGAATAGAAGTTGTTGAGCATTAATTTGAGATTATATACTTTTGTTGTTGCTGCAAATTTTGAACATGGCATTAAACATCTGTATAATGTCTTTCATTGCTACCATTAATGCTATTAACGATAATGTTGTTTATAATGTACGTTCCTATTATTTTGTATTATCATCATTTATATCTTTGAAGAAAATGAAAAAAGAGAGAATCAAATGAGATGAATGTGGATAATACTTATAAGATAGTGTGTGACCTGCCGTGCCGCCCAACATCTCACATGTGTTTTTTTTGTTTATCTTTCTTTAGGTTTGGTAACTTTAGACGACAATATTGACTTACATCTATCTATCTATCATCATCACTCTTGCCAACATCATATGTAATGTAATGCATCTTATTCCAAACTTTCTCAAAAAGCCAAAAAGATGTTGTCAGAAGTCTTTGGGGGAATATTCTAACATCATATGTTTGTTCCTTAGGGGAATCTCTAGTCTTCTTGAATGGGCTTTTGTTGATATCACATGAAAATAAGGCCCAAAATTGTATATCGTGTTTAGCCCGTCGAAAACGCAACGAAAATGGATCTAGAGAAATCTGAAGACTGACTGACTCAAACAAACATCTCTCTCTCTGTAGGGTTCTTCTTCTTCCTCTTCTTCCTGAGTCTCTCGATCTCCTCTCCCAATCTCAGGTATCGCCAATCCTAACTCGAATTCACTGGATCTTTTCTACAAACTTTTTGATTTCTTCATTTGTAGATCTGCCTTCGATTTGACGATACCGGACCAATCTCATCTGTTGTTGTCTGACATTCATTTCCATCTCTGTCTCTTGCAGCTCTTACAGCTTCCTGTTGACCTTCGCCATGTAAGCTTATTCCTCAAACTCTACATGCCTTGTTTATATATATATTTCCTACCAATCATATTTGAGTAGATGGTTAGGTCTCTGAGAATTTCTAGATTGGAACCATTTGCTCCTTTTAGATTGTGCTCTATTTTATTTATTTAGTGATCGATCCATGAGAATCTCTAGACATAGATGGTTAAGGTGTTAGTTTGCTGATTGAGATGTCGCATAATATTAATCATTGTTTCGTTTTATCTTTGTTGTTGCCACATTTCTATAGCTGATCGATTCTGTTCCATCTTTTTTTCTTTCTGGCTTATGGTTTTGATATCATATGATAATATTAGTATAGATTCATCTTGTGGCCTGTCTAAGAATCATCAGTATCATATTAGTTTCTTTATATTTCTCGTCCATAAGGATGACTCTTCTATGCCATTTAGTTAGTTATCTAATCTTTGATGATTCGTCCTCTTATGTATTATGGTTTTTGAATATTTCAGGGCAGATGATGAAGTTGTCGATCCAAAGAAGTACCTTGAGGAATCTTGCAAACCAAAGTGTGTGAAGCCACTACTCGAATATCAGGTAAACTGGCGGGCGATTGATGTTGTGACGTTTTGTGAATTTGTGTTATTAAGTTTGACACAGTGACATGTTTGTGAAGATAATTGCTGACTGATACAAGTATTGTTGTTGCTTCCAGGCCTGTGTCAAGAGAATCCAAGGTGATGACTCTGGCCACAAGCATTGCACTGGCCAGTATTTCGACTTCTGGTTTTGCATTGACAAATGTGTAAGTTATTTAAATTATGCTTTTTGCTCTTCATAATACCTTCTTCTACAATTTTATACTGAGCTGAAAATTGGATTATGGATTTCCAGGTTGCACCAAAGCTGTTTGCAAAACTAAGATGAAAAGAGTTGAAGCTGGAGACTCTATTGTCATAAGTTTCCTACATGTGGTTTAAGTTGATGTATAAAATGCAGTGGATGTTGAACTTCTTTACTGCAAACCAGAATGCCAAATGGCTCTGCCTCTCGGTTTTGTTTCCATCGCTAGTTTGCGCTTATTATATTTTTTTTTACTACAGACGTTGTTACTGTGCTACTTGAGTAATTGCACGCCTAATAACAAGATATGTGCCTTTCTTTGGTCTTATTGTCTTGGTCATTGAACAAATTATTAAGCTTGGAGTTTCTATAAAGAGAGATTTTCAGGCCTATGGTATAGGCGCCCTCATACAAATGAGGCCATTAGATAGTCGCTGGTAAAGTCACATGTCCCATAATCAAGAATAAGCTTATCCACCAACCGTTGTATAGGACAACTTATGTCCTGAGACGGCTGCATTTAGACTGAATCTAATATTTTCATGGCACGATACTCTACAGCCATTATGTAGATTCTCCCATTTCACCATTATATTTAAGTTTTCGTCGCAAGTTTGTGCCAAAAAATGTAGGCCTAACTTTGATGCTTCTTGGGCCTGAAGAGGAAATCTAATGATGAAGGCTATTTTTTACTTTTTCTTTTGGAGATGAAAGAAGAGAGAATTGTCTTATGGTAAATCACATGCTACACGGAATCAATCAATCAAGTGAGCAGTGTGGTAGAGATGTACAGTGTGGGATGTACCATTATGTATATAGCAGCCACATGTGAATTGTACTATTATGAAAAGGACAGTTTGGAGGAGAGTGACAAGTATGGCCCGCGGCGGCTTCATTAGCCTGAATTTTTGAATCCTCATACTAAAAGGTAGATTCTCCCATGTCACCCTTTTATTTAAGGTGTTAGAAAGAGTCAAATATCATACAATACCATTACATAGCCATGAACGGTGGAGATGGTGCTTCTAGCTATGCACGCAACTCTTCCTATCAGGTTTTTATAGACATCACTTTTCCCTTTCCATTTTTTTCTAAGCGTATTAACTTGTTACTTGTGTGTGCACATGATGTAGAGGGGGGCGATAGAAGCTGCTGAAGCACTCCTCAGAAAGGAGATCAACACACGGCTCAACATCACAGACCATTCCTTCTCGTCTTTTACAATAGCTGACTTTGGATGCTCCTCCGGGCCCAACACCATTCTTGCTGTAGACATCATCATTCAAGCCCTCTACCACAAGTTTAGCTCTTCTCTGCCTAAGACTACTACTCCTCAGTTTCAAGTCTTCTTCAACGACGTCTCCCATACTGATTTTAATGCACTCTTTGCTTTGCTCCCTCCTCAACGCCCCTACTTCGTTGCAGGTTCTCTATTACGCTTTGTTTCATTTGGCACAACCGCACAAGTAAGTAAAGCCTCCACTTAGTGGTTCCTTACATGCAGGCGTCCCCGGTTCTTTTTATGGAAGCTTGTTTCCTAAGGCACATCTCAACTTGGCCTACTCCTCTTGCGCCCTCTGTTGGCTCTCCGACTTGCCACCGGAGCTAACTGACACAAACTCTCCTGCTTACAACAGCGGCAAGATTCACTACACGGGAGCATCAGCAGAGGTTGTACAAGCCTACTCCTGTCAGTACAAAAAGGATATTAAATTGTTTTTGCATGCCAGGTCACAGGAGCTCGCAGAAAACGGGTTGATGGCACTGATTGTGCCCGGTGTACCAGATGGGTTTCTCGATTGTCAGGAGGCTTCAACGGGATCCGAGTTCGATTTGTTGGGGTCTTGCCTCATGGACATGGCCAGAGAGGTACTTGATGGTTTTCAGTAAGAAATAAGAAAGCATGACTGGTTAAAATGACCTAAACTATGTACTTGTCTGTGCAGGGAAAAATAAAGGAGGAGGAGGTAGACAGTTTCAACCTTCCCATATATTACCCAACCCCAAAGGAACTGGAAGACATCATCAGAAGCAACGGAGAGTTGAAAATTGATAAAATAGAGACACTGGGGAGCATGGGCGCGCAAGACACTATGCCTGACCTCGAGTCAAGGGTTCTGTACCTGAGAGCTGTGCTGGAAGGTCTCGTTCGCACCCACTTTGGGCCCCAAATCCTTGACGACCTGTTTGATCGCTACACGATCAAACTTGCGCATTCCTCTTTCATCCTCCAGCCTCAAACCCACAGATCTATTATGATTTTTGCCCTTCTTAGTCGCTGTTATGACATCTGATATTATGCAATCCTATATCTTTCTATATATGAATAATGTGCTTTACACAAATTTCAGCCATCACATCGTCTCTATTTTAAATAAAGAATTTGAGTTGCTATTAACCAAGATATTAATTTCATTCAAGAAATATGTCAAAGAGATAAGACACCCATCAAAAGTACTCACAGGAAACACAACAAATAGGAATATAAAACCACACTTTATTGCTCCCAATGTAACTCATTGCCTGTAGTATCCACCACCTTGGTGAGGAGGTGGGTACGGGTTCTGGCCGGGATAAGGAGGTCGAGGCTGCTGTCCCTGGGGATCATAGTACGAGCCTTGTTGCCATGATGGAGGTTGTTGCTGGGCCTGAGGAGGGTACGGTTGTGGTGCTTGGCCATGAGGAGTATGGTAAGGGGGAGGTGGACCATAGGGTGGGATGGTGTAGCCAGGCCTAGACATTTGTTCTGGCGGTCTATAGTATGGTGCATGTGGGTGAGGATGAGATGGATTCTGAGTTTCTTGTGGAGGAGGTGGACTTGAAGCCGTTGGTTGGTGCACAGATGGGTATGGGCCCGAGCTTCTACGATCCTGAAAACTCAGACCAGACATCTGCCGTTGCACATCATCAATCATTTCTCGGCATTGGATACTCCTTGTCATCACAAAATCACTACACTGCTGCTTCACATTCGTGATTGCATCCTATAGAGCCCAAGAAAGAAAATTTCTCAGATTGCAGGCAAGTTATTTCACGTCCTCAATAGAGTGTAAATCAGAATAGAAGAGAGCCATCCCAGAGAAGTGACATAATGTAGACAAGCATAGATAATGAAGAGTTTGCTACTATACAGAGAAAAGAAACTCACTTGGAGAGTGACATAGAACTTCAGGCCCTCATTGATGTTCTCCTTGATCTCTCGATACTTGATTATAGCAGCTTGAATCTGCTTGTAGCACTTATCCTTGGATGCTGAGTAGCGAAGAAACACAAAAAAACAAATGAGTGGGAGTAAAACAACTCAAATACAGGAGCATAAGAAATCCCAATACTTCCACATATAGAATGCTACTACTTTATCATGGATTACGCTTCAATTAACAACTCAAGTACATGAGCATAAGAAATCCCACTACTTGAGCATATATATTTTTTTACTTCAGCGTAATCCCACTACTTTATCATGGATTACGCTTCAATTAACATATAGAATGCTAAACAGAAAGTAGTTTGATCCATCATACAAGACAGAAGCTGTTTGCTCACCTTTATAATCTTCAAGATTGAAAAGAGTTGAGAACTCTTCATTTTGAGCCTATAACCAAGGAAGGAAACCAATTAGAGAGTACTCGGTTTTTACTAGGAGTGAAACACGATCATTTTAGCCCCAGAAGAATAGCAAACTCACTTAGCTTGGATATTGATTACAATCACTATATGCCTTTTGGTTATCAAAAAAGGATAAAAACCACAATGAAATATATAATACAACTACAAGAATGGCAAAAGAGGTACACCTGAATTTGCATCAATAATTGTTCTTGAACTTCAATGTTTTGGGAAATATCTTCACAAATATGATCATACTTTGATATCTCTTTCCTGAACATATCTTCATAGGAGCCGGTGACTGTCATCAGCTTTGGCAGTATATCATCCTAAAACCAAGTATTAAGTAAAAGCCTAATGAGACTTGTCTCCAATATCATACAATAATTATGAACAACAATTATGACTAATCAATAGAATTTACTTTTCTTTTCATTTCTTTGAGCATGTCTTCAAGACCTGCCCGCTGAGCACCAAGATTTTCCAGTTGCCTCTGTGCAAAAAAAGAGAAGCAAAAATGTGAGAATTATGATTCGTATAAGCACTTTCAAAATCCCCAAAAAGTATATACTCGCAGCTCCAAAGAGATAGAATACCAGACTCTGCTTCAGAGTTCCCACAATAGCATCCTCTGTTGCGTCCAGAGACATTATTGGCCTAGCTAGAGTTGGGATAGCGGACTCTATCTGATGATAAGAACCAAAAACCAAAACGTCTACATATTAGTATACAGACTTCGGTTTGTTATAGGCTTATAGCTAACTCAAGTTCAAATAACCTGTACCCAAAGATTTAAGGTACTAGGATAACCAAAATGAAGATCTCTAAGAGACAACTTCGGACAGCAGTTTGTATCTAAGAGGGGAAATATACTAGCGTATACAAAAAATAGGAAGACCTACCGGTCGTCGATCAAGTATAGACATGAGGGGGGAATTATCTCTCACAGATCGCTCAATCTTCACATCACTTTCTCCAGCTTGTTTCAAATTGGCTGCAAACCGATTAAGCCTATCTTGCAAGTTCTTAGTCAGTGTGCTAGATTGAGGCCTAGTCCACCGAGTCCCAAATTGACTTCTGAACTGAGAGTCTTCAGTTGCTTCTTTCTGCAATAGCTCTTCAGTGTGCACCAATAGTTCCTGATTAACCCTCTTCAAATCTCTAAGCTGCTGAAGTTCAGCTTCCAAGCCACCTGGACCACCACTGATCTGAACAGCTTCCACATCTTCTTTAAGATCAACAGGAAGAGCTGAATTGCCATCTAGAGCAAGAATAGAATCTGGAAGATCCATCTCTTTGAGCCTAACTCGAGTTAGTTCGCTAGCTTGCTGTAATCGCTCTGCCTGAGTTCTAATTACATCATCGACCATCTCAGTGTACCTAGAGAGAGCCTTTGCACTGCTGTCTGGAACAAGGATCGCAAACATCTTTTCCTTGCTTGCATCCAATATCTCAGTCATGTTCATTGGCTTAACCATTGAGAAGGAGGGAAGTGGAGACAAAGAAGAAGGAGAAGGAACTCTCATGAGGTACACTCTGTCGTTTTCCTTGACAGCCCTATCCAAATTGACATTAATGCTCGACTCTAGTGTGTTCATCGCTTCTATAAGTTGAGCAGGAGCTCCCCTTGAAGACTTCTTTGCTTCTGCCAAACGGCTGGCTCCGCTCCTCAGCCGTGCAATTTCTTCTGCAATTTCCTCTTTCTCATGCAACTCTTTTCCATACCTAAAACAAGCTTCACTATAGAAGAGGGCAGCTTTCAGCTGCACATGAGAAATCCAGCCTTTCTCGAAATGTTCCTTCAATGGTGAAGCTGTTAGTGCAGCCAAAGCTTCCTCATAAAATATGCCAACCTGATTACAAGTAAACAAGAAGTGTAAGTTCAATTGATTCTGTCACTTCCTCACAGTTTAGTAAAACAGATGCTCCACCAAAACATAAGCACGTTTATAACAGATGCTCATAATCAATCCAAGTCTGAAGAATCTCTGAATCAATTTCAAGATTTTGAGTCCATAAATGTGCACAAATTTAATCAATCCAATCACTTCTTCACAGTTCAGTAAAGCAGATGCTCCACCAAAAATTAATTTTTAGATACCTGCTCATAATCAATCCGGGACTGAAGAATCTATTATATCAAATTCTAAGATCAGAGTCCACAACTGTCCACAATTTTGCAGGACTATTACCAAAAGAGATGCAAGCATGATGCGAGACTAACCTGCCTAGCAATTTTAGCAGAAACACCAGGGGTACTTCCTTTGGCAATAGTATTTTCAAACACACATTCTTGAGCTTGCGCCAGCATCAAGCGTTCCAACATTCCTAGGCACTCCCCCGACATATCCACGGTGGTGCTCTGCCCCATAGACAGCTTAGTGGACTCATTATCCTTCAAGTAGGAAAACGTCCCTGCTGCAGCGATGAACGCATGTGAAGCCTGACGACGCCCATCCACGGTGGTCCGGTCATGACCGAGTCCAATCTGGCTATACGTAGCACCAAGATTGAAGAGAACAGCGGCTTTCTCAAGATGAATGCCCTGCTGAGTAGCCTTTTGCTTTTGCTTGAAAGCATCGTACCATAAGAAAGAGACGGCGTTGACATGGTGCTTCTCTGAGGAAATTGGAAATCGCGTTTCCACAAGACAAAGGGCTTTGTAATAAGAAATGAGAAGGTCTCGCCGAGCTGCCGGAGAAGGATCGGGGACGCGTTCTAAATCGGATCGGAGCTGCTTCAGGGTTTCAAGATCGTCGTCTATAAGCTGAGCCTCGCGCTCAGAGTAGGTGAAAGTAACGTAGTTGCGGAAAGGACGGTAGAGATCAACGGAGTTCGTCTTCTTCTCATGAATGGCGAGCATCAGATTAGAGAGCGCCGAAGAAGCCATGGCGGTTGAGAATTGAGAATCCCCTTTGATCGCTCTTCCGATTTTTCTTCCGATTCTTATTGACTAAGGGAAGATGATCGTGAAGTATCAAGGAGACGGCACCAAGTTCTTTTATCTTGTATGTAAACGGCGTACAGTCTGATTATGTGATTAAGTTCGAGTCGATCAAATGGCTTTTTTAAGTTTTCTTACGCGTTAATTAAATGAGACAACGATGGTGGAATGTTTCCTAATTAAGATGATATTAGCAGTGATTTATTTCTGGAACTTTTCCTAACTAAAATGCTACTCGTTGTTTAACCTGTGAGTATATTTGGATTATTTATTTCCCAATATTTGGAATACATCTTCTTATACGTAGAAAGTAGGAGATTATGCAAAAGAAAGCATGGTCTTAACTGCTGGGTGTGGCCGTGTGGGTATGGGCATTAACATGATCAATAATCAAAATGAATGTTGTGGGGACAATCAACACAGTAATAGTAATCTTTTAAGGGATTACAAAAATCTGTGTTTATGAATTAGAGGCCTTGAAGAGACTTTGGTATCTAAAGAATAATGTAACAGTAAAACTATATGATAATACAAGAACTATATCTGTCAAAAGTTTTTGAGCAGCTTGTCGTTGGAGACCCCATCAGCTACAAGCATTGTGGTTATCTCCTGCAACAATACAAATCCAACAACAATAAAGATACACATCTTCTAAAGCATTTAGGTTCTCAAAACAAAACAGTTCATACCTCAGCCATTTGTTTCTGTCCGCACAACACCGCTCCCGTGGCCTTGGGAGCTGAAAGTTGTTTAGCCCTCGCAAAAGCAGCCTACATAACACATGGTGTATATATCAGTTTGGTCCACCTTGTGTTAAGCATATAGATTGGTGTGACTCAATCTCACCTGCACGTATCCGGTTTCCCCTTTCCACCCATCATCTGGCTGTGATAATACCGGCACAACTTTGACACCCGATGATTCCCACTCTTTAAACTTATCCTACAAATTTAGAGCGTATTCCAAGATGATTCTTCTATAGATAAAAATCAAGAGCGGAGGCTCTCCGCTTATCATCAAATGAATTTTGCTATTCAACTCCACACATATGTATCTAGTGACATCACGAGTTGCAAAACAACTGAGAGAAAAAATCAAACCTGGTAAGCCATCCTTTTTAGGTTCCTGGCCCCGTAATATAGCCTTACGTCAGATCTTCTATCAGCACCAAATCCTGACTCGATTAGTGAGCGGATGGGACTGCAGAAATAGAACAAGAGTGAATTACACCATGTCACCATCACTAGACATTCTTAATTCCACCAACAGCTCCTAAACCATGTCTCTATCTTATATCTACACACACAGCACGATAGGCCACATAAAGGTGTTTCAGCATTAGATCAACACACACAGCAGAAAGGTCCATGGCACCTTTGGATTGGTTGAATCCTTACTCTTGGAAGTTGCACATCAAAATTGGTTCAGCGTATTAACAGTAGGCAATCTCAAACTTCAAAGCCGGCAGGATCAACCAAATTCAATACACTGTGTCTGAAAGCTTTGTATCTAACTATAATGCTCTGCACTAAAACCTTTAAGCTAAACCATACTTAGATCACTGGAATAGCTATTAACTAAAATGGAGTGATCCAATTGAAGGAAAAAAAAACTACTTTAGCAATCAAACAAGGTAGAACAGAAAGGTCCAAAAACCACACCTAATCCCAGATCCAGTGGCGAAAATCAAAACCGTGGGAAACTCCTCTGGAGGATCAATCTGATCCATATTGAAACCATTACCCATCACAGGACTAAGCTCTACGGTCTCCCCTTTCTTCAACCCGCAGAGAATCTCTGCAGTAGATCCAGCGATGCTCTTGACCAAGAATTCGAAAGCACCACGAGAAGCCGCGAAGGAAGGAGGAGAAGCGATTGCCAGAAACGAAGGCTTCTCGACATCAGGAACACGGAGCTGGAGATACTGACCGGGTCGCGTGTGGGAAGCTACGAGATCCGGGGAGTTTGAAATATCGATCGAGATGTGGAAAAGCGATTCAGCGGCCGATTCGATAAGAGAGAGCGGAGCCGGGGTCCAGAGAGTGGCGTCCTGGCGAACAGCGGCGGCGGATACGACAGAGGCGACGCGGTTGTTACGGGATAAGCGGAGATGGCGGGTGAGAGGGAGACGGCGCAGGATAAACATGGGGGAGAGGGAGTGGCTAAAGTGCGCATGGGTGACAGAAGGCGCGAAAGGAAGAGTGGACATGGTGGAGAGTTTTTTTGGGTCCTATATGTGACCGTCAAATTTAGCCGGCGGTAGAAAAGGGCGGCCCGATTGGTTCGGTGGCACGAGGAGTTTTTTTTTTTTTTTTGGCTAAGCAACTAATTTTTTATTCCGTTCCAGTGTTTTGCCACGTGGACGATCATGATATCGTGTTATCTTCTTTCCGACCACTACTACTACTAGTGTGCTGAACAAACAAATAATGAATGAAAATTTTGAAGGATTGCATTCCCCTCATTTTATTTTGTTATCTTCGTGGAATATTGCAAGATACTTTATCAGCTTCGCATCCATTTCCAATATTGTATACAACTTTTTACTATTGTTTTTGCTCAAAGATGATGGGTTATGTTATTTTGAAGAAGAACACAAAATCATGAAATTATTACGAAATATGTTTCGTCCAATCAATAGAAATTATAGTGACTAAAAAAGTATATATTCGTACGCTATCAGTAGAAAAATATAAATTCTGAACCACCCTCACAAAGTTGTTTAGTGTACTCAACAACGTTTCTTACGAATCTATGGTGATGACAAACAGTAAGAGACAGTTCAACAGTAGTAGAAAAATGAATTCGGAATATTATACTGCAATATGTATATGAAACAAAACGCAGAGAGCACAACATGTCAACGTGTATCACAACTCGCCTTAACGCTTTAGTTGTTTACCATGGGAGACGAAGTGAGCACCACTGAGAATAGTTTGCTACTGCAGGTCGATAGAGTTGAGAGAGTGACATGGAGAAATCTACTAGATGGATCATTCATCGAAGAACTCAAGAGGCTTATCTTCTTTGCGGCTCCTATGGCTGCTGTGGTTACCGCTCAGTTCATGTTGCAGATCATCTCAATGGTGCTGGTGGGTCACCTTGGTAATCTCTCCCTCGCCTCCTCCTTCTGCAACGTCACTGGCTTCAGCCTCATCGTCTGTTTTCTCTTCCTTCTTCCTCTAAACTGATACACTCACTTATCTCTGTTACCAGAACCATGGAACTTGCATCCCCTCATCACTTGATTGTTATTTTTGCCTGTGATGCTAGTTAGGATTGTCATGTGCCCTGGATACACTCAGCGGACAAGCTTATGGAGCTAAGCTATATCAGAAACTAGGTATTCAGACATACACCGCTATGTTCTGCCTCACATTAGTGTGTCTCCCTCTCTCTCTCATTTGGTTCAACATGGAAAAGCTTCTTGTATTCCTTGGCCAAGACCCTTCAATCGCACATGGAGCCGGAAATTATGCAGCTTGGCTCATCCCAGGACTATTTGCTTACGCCGTGCTACATTCCAAAACCAGAGCTTGATCACACCTCTCCTCATCACCTCTTGTCTAGTGTTCTGTCTCCACGTTCCTCTATGCTGGCTTCTGGTCTATAAGTCAGGGCTGGGTAATCTTGGAGGAGCCTTGGCTCTCAGTTTGTCAAACTGGCTCAGCGCCATTTTCCTTGCATCTTTCATGTGCTACTTCACTGCCTGTTCTCTTGCGATCGGAAATTATGGCAGTCTCCAAACAACTGCTACAATCTATTCGATACATCTTGCGATCGCGGCTGCAGCAAGGTTAGCCGTCTTGTCACCAACTATTAATCACTTTAAGAGCTGAAGCATACACAATGAATCATATGGTTTCATGTTCATAAGTGGATGTTTTCTTTTCTTGAACAGCACAAGAATCTCAAATGAATTAGGTGCTGGAAACTCTCAAGCAGCACATAACGTGGTCTATGCAGCAATGTCTCTTGCAGTAGTGGAGCCATTGATAGTGAGGACATTTCTATTAGTCAGTAAGAAAGTTTTCGGCCATATATTCAGCAGTGACAAGGAAACCATCGACTATGTTGCAAAGATGGTCCCATTGGTCTCTATTTCTCTCATACTGGACAGTTTACAAGGTGTTCTCTCAGGTTCGAGACTTGTTCCTATTTCTTTTCTCATACACAAAGCTAGTGTCGAATATTGCAGTCTCTCTATTCTTCCACAGAATGCAAGACAAGTCCAAGTCTTCGTACAATCATACCTATTCCCGTTTGAGTGTTTATAGTCCGTCGTTTAATGGTGTGCACAGGAATTGCAAGGGGATGCGGGTGGCAGCATATAGGGGCTTACATAAACTTTGGAGCTTTCTATCTCTGGGGGATACCCATTGCAGCATCTTTAGCTTTCTGGGTTCATCTGATAGGTGTTGGCCTTTGGATTGGAATACAAGTCGGTGCCCTTCTGCAAACCCTTCTGCTGGCTCTTTTTACTGGATGCACAAACTGGGAAAACCAGGTCCTTTTCTTTGCTTCTTTTTCCTTCTTCATGACTTGTTTCCATCGTAAAACAAATATATAGATGTTCAATTGGATGCATATTTGAACTCTAGGCACGTGAAGCAAGGAAGAGAATGGCCGTGGCTGAGAAATCAGAACTTACAGAGTCATAACTTCACATCTAAGATAATGGGGACACATCAAAATCTGAAGAAAACACATCAAAGTAAGAATTTACAACAAGGAGCTAGCAGAGACTAATTTGCCAATCTGAAGTCTAAATTCAAGAACCAAATAAACATGAGGTAGTGTTTTGAGTGATCGGAAAACCTTGCAGGGCATAATTAAATCACAAGGAAAAAAAAAAGACAAGCAACTAGGTACTAAAAGAGAAAGACAAGCCCTGGACAGTTTCAAATTTGCAAAAGGAAAGATTATGCAGTGCAGTGAAAAGATGAGTGAAGAGAGTTTTGGAGCTATTCGACCGTCAAATTTAGCCGACGGTAGAAAAGAGAGGTCCGATCGGTTTCGCGGTGATATGACTTTTTTTATTTTTTCTCTACATCTAATCTGCTTCCGTTCCTACGTTGTGACACGTGTACGTTTAAGATATTAACTAATGTAATTATCTATCACCGAGTAGTATTTTTTTACCGACCACTTGTGTTGTGTACAGTATAAAGTATAAACAGAAGAAGAAAACAATAATAAACTTTGGAAACTGAAACCAGCTATTAGTTTATGTTTTGCGGAAACCTCCAAAGAAAGAAAAAACCAAAGCATCATCTCACATCATCCATGGAACACTTTTCGTCCAGTCAATGTAAATTATTTTTTTAATACTAGAAAAGAGTATGTGTGGATGACAAAAAAAGGTCAAAAGACAGAGTTTTAGCATGGAAAAAACGAGATCCAGGAAAGAAACGAGACGACGTAATGTACATATTTCCAATAGAAACAACATAGCCAAAGAAGATAATAATTTCATTGTCTCTGTGATTGGTAAAATTCGTGGAGCGAGGAGGGCATGCAGGCAAATCATAAATATCACCCACCGCCTCTTTTGACCCTTTTCCTCTCACAAAATTAACCCAAATTTTACAGCTTTTTTAAAATTTTATTTCACATTTCTCTCTCTCCGGCGAAGCCATGGGAGACGTGGAGAGCACCACCAAGGAAAGCTTGCTGCTTCCCGTCGAGAGAGTTGACAACTTGTCATGGAGAGATCTGCGAGATCGATCATTCACCGTCGAACTCAAGAGGCTCATTTGCTTCGCCGCTCCCATGGCGGCTGTGGTTATCGCTCAGTTCATGTTACAGATCGTTTCAATGATGATGGTTGGTCATCTAGGCAACCTCGCCCTCGCTAGCGCCTCTCTCGCCTCCTCCTTCTGCAACGTCACTGGCTTCAGCTTCATTGTCTGTTTTCTCTTCCTCTCTATTTCTCTTTTGCATTATTAGTCTGTATTATCTCTGTTTCTTATTTTCCTTTTTTTCTCAATGTTGAATTTTTGCAATCCCTCATCACTCAAGATTGTTACTTTTTCGTGCCTGTGGTGTTAGATAGGATTGTCATGTGCCTTGGATACTTTGAGTGGTCAAGCTTTTGGAGCTAAGCTATATCGGAAACTAGGTGTTCAGACTTACACAGCCATGTTTTGTCTTGCATTAGTGTGTATCCCTCTCTCTGTTGTTTGGTTCAACATGGAAAAGCTTCTTGTAATCCTTGGCCAAGACCCTTTGATTGCACAAGAATCCGGAAGATATGCTGCCTTTCTTATCCCTGGACTCTTTGCTTACTCCGTTCTACAGCCTCTCACTCGCTACTTTCAAAACCAGAGTTTCATCTCACCTCTCCTCATCACCTCTTGTGTTGTGTTCTGTCTCCACGTTCCTCTCTGCTGGTTTTTGGTTTACAATTCAGGCCTTGGTAATCTTGGAGGAGCCTTGGCTATCAGTTTGTCAGATTGGCTCTATGTCATTTTCCTTGGATCCTACATGTACTTCTCCCCCGCCTGTTCTGAGACACGTGCGCCGCTCTCCATGGAGATATTCCATGGCATTGGAGAGTTCTTCAAATATGCTCTTCCTTCTGCGGCTATGATTTGGTACTTCATTTTCCTTTCTTCTTTTTTGCTTCTCATTGCCTCCACATGTTTTGCTAAAAAAAAACTTTTTTTTTTTTTGGGTTGCAGCCTAGAATGGTGGTCATATGAACTCATAATTTTACTCTCTGGTCTCTTACCCAACCCACAACTGGAGACTTCTGTGCTCTCTGTCTGGTACTCATCCTTGCATCTTTCAATTTCCTGTCACACTCTTGAATTTGTCAAAACATAATGTTATTCAAACTATGGACAGTCTCCAAACAGTTTCGACAATGTATGCAATACCACTAGCGATCGCGGCTGCAGCAAGGTTAGAGCTTTAGTAAGAACATAAATGCTGAAGCAAACTTGCTGTTGGTGGCAAGGAATCATATGGTATCATGTTCATAAGCGGATGTTATTTGTGCAGCACAAGAATCTCAAATGAGTTAGGTGCTGGAAACTCTCGAGCAGCACATACTGTGGTCTATGCGGCAATGTCTCTTGCATTGATGGATGCGTTGATAGTGAGTACATCTCTATTAGTCGGCAGGAATCTTTTTGGGCATATTTTCAGCAGTAACAAGGAAACTATTGACTATGTTGCAAAGATGGCTCCATTGGTCTCTGTGTCTCTCATACTGGACGCTTTACAAGGGGTTCTCTCAGGTCCGAGACTTGTTCATATTTCTTTACTCAAACACAAGTTATTCTCGGATATTGTTTACTCTTTTTTCCTCCACATAGTGCAAAACAGGTCCAAATCTTTATGCCTATTCATGTTTGTGTGTTTTAGTCCTGTATCAAAGTTTGATAGTTTGCAGGTATTGCAAGGGGATGTGGATGGCAACATATAGGGGCTTACGTAAACTTAGGAGCTTTCTATCTCTGGGGTATACCCGTTGCTGCATCTTTAGCCTTCTGGATTAATATGAAAGGTGTTGGCCTTTGGATCGGAATCCAAGCCGGTGCAGTTCTGCAAACTCTTCTTCTCGCTCTTGTCACGGGATGCACAAACTGGGAAAACCAGGTCTTTTCCTGTTTCTATCAATCCATTTTCATCATGACTTGTTTCTGTTGTGAAATAAACATATAGATTGAATTGGATGCATATTTGAACTGTAGGCCCAGGAAGCAAGGAAGCGAATGGCTTTGGCCTATGGGACATAAGGCGCTCCAGAACAGCACTAATCGAGTCAGAACTTAGCACCTATAGATTACAGGGACCATATGTTCCTCCGGTTTAACCATTTTGTTAGCTGTCAAATTGCTGTATGTTACTTTGTGGCTATTGGTAGAGCCGCTGTAACGACTTTTTGTAACAAGACTGCATGATTTTCGATGGTAATAATAAGTGTCTATCACCAATCACTTGTTGTTACAATCAAACTTTAATTCTGCTTATACCAGTAATTGGGAGTCGGGGAAAGATGTGGGAGTTGCTGCTGAGTCTTAGGGCAAGAGTTGTCCATCACTGAACCATTTCTGAATACAGACACGTTCAAAGTCTGTCCAGAAGTTAAAAAGATATGGGAGACCTTAGTTCTTGTGGTGGAACGTGCATCCCGGCTAGTTGATGACAAACGCATGAACACTATCATCAATAGAACCTCAAACCAGTAGGGGAACATGGTGTTTGCACTTTTAGAGTCAGTTATCATCTGAAATATCACTTGAGAATAGCTTGGAGGATTATCTCATAAGATGCAAGAGGTAAGCCACAAATTGACTCCCTTCACTTGTCTTCTCCCACAAGGACGGTTTACAAGGGGTTCTCTTAGGTTTGAGACTTGTTCCTAATTCTTTACTCAAAGTCTCAAACACAAAGTGTCGAATATATGTAGTATCTACCCTCTTTTCCTCCAGGTAATGCAACACAGGTCCAACTTCATGTCTATTCCTGTGCCAAATTTACAAAGGTATCCCAAAGCTTAACTCTTTTTTTGCCACTCTTAACAGGCTGCACAAACTGAGAAAAACCAGGACCAAGTTGTCTCTATTGTGAACATACAATGTTCAACTGGATGCGTATTTGAACACTAGGCCCGTGAAGCGAGGAAGAGAATGGCGTTGGCCGAAAGACGCTGCAAAACAGCTAAAGATTATAGGACCATATGTTCCTTTAACCATTTTTTTGTAGTAGAAAAATTGCTGTATGTTACATTCTGGCTAGTGGAAGGTCTTTGTTCTTGTTGTAATAATACTGCATAATTTTCATCAGTAACAATAAGCATCCTTCATCAATCGTTGTTTCAGTAAAGCACCGCTATAACAGAGAAGATTAATTCATACAAGTACAACACTGCGATTCACACGTTGGAACAGAGGACCACATGAATTAGCTTTTGATACGAACCCCATAGTCCATTTTTGAGCTCGTTTCTTTCAGCTACACTGTTGGCGTTCAGCTGCTACCAGTATAGCTCAGTACTTCTGTGACTCAACTTGTAAGCAGATATAACTAAACATCTATAAAGCTCAAAATAATATAGAAGCGCAAAATAAATAACAAAAATTAAAAACCCAAACAGTCTTGGACTGTAACAGAATCCAGAACCGCCCAAGATTAGCTTCCCCTATATAAACCAAATCATAACCGCTTCTTTCTTGCTTCATCTTCCATTTTAGTCTCTCTCTCTTTCTTCAAGCTCACAAATCAACAACAATGGCGAACATCTCGAGCGCTTCTTGTTTCAGAGCCATCTTTCTCGGAGCCCTCATCATCCTCTGTCTTCCTCATCCATCCACCGGCGTTCCTTTGGAAGAGTTAGAAAGAGCCATCGCCGTCCTCCGCGTCAGAGGCCGTGCTCTCTTCGCCAACGCCATCATCACCTCCGATCTCCTCTTCGATCTACTCTCCCACGAGTCCCTCACTCTCTTCGCCCCCACCGATTCCATGCTCTTCGCTCTCGACATGACTCATTCGCTTCCATTCTACGTTTCCACTCTCCGCCTCCACTCTGTACCGCTCCGCCTCCCACTCTCCGAGCTCCGATCTCTTCCCAACGCCTCCTCTCTCCCGACGCTTCTCCCATCTCACCGCCTCCTTCTCACTAAGCCTTCTTCCTCCAACGACTCCATTTTTCTCGACGGCGTTCAACTAATCCTCCCTGGTTTGTTCGATGGTCATCATATCGCCGTACACAGTCTCGCTGATCTTCTTCCCCTAACTGCTCCCTCGTCTCCCAACCGGCTCGTGGAGGATTCGGCGGCAGAGTCACCGTGGTTTCTAGGTTCAGGATTTTCACCTGCACCAGAGCCTTACTTCGCCTTTATGGGTCTTTCACCAGCAGAGTCGCCGACTGTTGAGGAAGTTTCACCATCGCCGTCGTGGGGAGAAGATTTCATCGTAGACGATGAAGGAGGTCCGTTAGATGGGAGGAAGAACGGCTTTTGATGTACACGTGTCATAATCTCTGTAAAAGGCTACACTTGTAAAGTCAAAGAGTCTTTTTTCTTCTCTTATTCAATTTTTTTGGGTCAAATCAAATAGACTCCTTTCTTTCCGATTGAATAATGTGAAATGTATCTTTGGTTCTGGTTTTGAATCCTGGTTTTGTTTCAATTTTCAAGAATTTGAACCGAATATAACAGACTTGCATCAAATACAAAATCTGAATGACTTTGACAATCTCTCAAACACACAGTCGAGCAATCAAAAGTAACATGTATGAAAAAGCTGAGGCCAATATAGTCTAGTAATATTAGATAAACAAATTATAGCACAAAGGCAGATCTTTCCTACAAATCACCATATTCTGACCAGAATTCACCTTATACCACTTCAAAATAGATTTGACCAGTTCGAAAACTCAACCACATTCATCAAACACAAAGAAACTATATGACCTAGACAACCTCATGTTTAATGTCTTCCTCCACTGCTTCTGCTTTTACTGTATCTGTTGCCACTTCCTCCTTGATGTTTCCATCTCCTCCCTCATCAAGTATATCATCCATTATCATTTCATCCTCCCCACCATTGATATCCTCTACTTCATCTTCTTCTTCTTCATCTCCTACTCCTCCTCCAGGTATCTTTCTCTTCTTTGGCCCGTGCTCCATCCTATGTGTCTCTAATTCCTTATCCATCGTTTCCTGCAAATTCATAGCCCCATTGTTTGCCTTCCTCGCATTCCTTGCGTTTTGCCACCTCTCCAGCTCTTTCTCTACATTACTCAGATATTGCTCTTCTATCCCCTTTTGATACTCGCTCACTTCTTGTCTCCTTGCCGCCTTCCATTCTAAGAATGTCTGCGCCCACACGTTACCAACTCACTTATCAGTATCCCATACCATGCATCTCATAACATTCATTCAATAACTACGACTTACCTGCTCTTTTTGTTGCTCCACCTTAGTTGCATCTTCTTCCAAAGGCTTTACTAGCGCATAGTATATATGTGGCTCTGCTTTAGTCCTGAAACACCCGTCCACATGCAAATCAAATAAAATAAGTTTTAATGGAAACATTTATATCAGCTAGTAATTTCTACCTACAGCAGGCCATAGATCATCAAACATTGCCTTTCCCATCAACAATTTGTATGCACGTGAATGGAAACTTATCTTTGCCTCTATAAAATTGTCAATATGCACACTTTTTGGACCGAAATTAAAAATAACCTGCAAATCAAATACACAGCAAGTTCATAATTAAGACTCATCATGCAGAACAAGTAAGGGTACGCTATGGAACTAAAAGCACTAAGCAGTACCTTATAAAATTGCTAAGTTTTTTTTGGTGCTCACTCCACTGAAGGAAAAGCAGTTCCAACTTCTTTTGTTCTGCTTTAGCAGCAACACGGGCCCGAAGAGTCTGATTGACCAGTAATATTGAATATATCAGATCACTACTACACAAGACTGTCATTCGGAATTTTATGAAAAAGAGGAATAATAATGTAGCTGGCTGCTTACAAGATCTCTTCTCCTCTTTTCAGTCAGATTTTCACGCTCTTGCAGCCTCAGCCGTTCACTTTCTTCACGAGCCTTTTGCTCTGCCTATACAAGTAGGGATTCAGCACAAAAACGCTATTAATGCATTGTAGTACTATAGACGAAGATAAGAAATAATCATAAACTGGACATATAATGATACATACACCAAACATCTTAGTCATATTATTATAATCTCCAAATCAAAGGGAAAGAAACCCAATTCCAAAACATAATACATATCTAGAAAGATTTCTGTTCCTCTACAGAAACTAGAGGAAGATGCTGTCTAGGGTGGAAGATGACATTTCCCTTAATAAACAGTGAACGCAGATATCTCGTTTTTTAGTTCATGAAACAAGCCATGTGGATTGTGACGTGTGTGTTTACCTTTTGTAGGGTAGCGGAACGTCGGGCGTATGCATCTGTTCCAGAACGCTGCTTATCTTCTTTTCTGAACTTCTGCAGAAGGGGAAAAGTATGTAGACAAGTGAGAATACAATAACTTGAATAACGAATGACACATCTAACATGAATCAAGCTAATTAATCAGAGACTATATATCACGTGTCCATGTAATTCTTAACAAATACCTCCAAAGTCCCTAGAAGATTCCCCAGCATTCTTCTGTTCCTACTAACCAGTTTAGGATCCTCATTCTTAGGTAAAACCCTTGGTGAAGGCTCCGGCAATGCAAAAGCTTCAAAACCCTGATAAGAGCACCGCAACAACGACCACTGAGTTAAAAGTCGCCTCTTTCTGATCTGATAAAAAGTGTATGTGGGATAGATTGTAGGATTGGATCACCTTCTTGGTCCCTCGTTGTTCTGCATTCCTCTGAGACCAATCTCCACGATGCTGCCTAGATAGCTTCTTGTCACTGTGATCAGAAGTTCCGTTTTCAGCAGCTAAAACCTGGGTTCCATTGCCATCAACTGGCAATTCTTCATCCTTACTAACATCTTCACCGTCAACCTAAAGGTTTCCCAATAAAGTTAAGAAACCACTTCCTACAATCTATCAATGAGAAAATACATTAATTTCCCAACACAAAATTACCTTAACAACTGCGGAAGACAATCTCCGTTTCGCAGGAGGCTCATCTTCTACGTTATTCCTATCCGCCTTTTCGAAAATACAAAAATCCGATAGTCAATTAACGCAATTTGTATCAGATTAAAGGAATAGAGGAAAAGAGAAAACTTACAGGACGAGTAAAGCCTCTTCGGCCTTGATTGCGAGGAACGACGCCTGAAAAGCCTCCACGGCGGAGTCCACGAGGGTCACGAAGCCTCTCCGTAATCTGATCAGGATAACGAATTAAACCATCGTCTTCAACAGAGATTCATAAAGTGAGAATGAGATTGGAGTCGAGATAGTACCTCGCGCTGCTGACGGTGAAGCTCATCGATCTCGTGTCGTAGCTCTTCCGCTGTCTTCTCCACGGCGGTGTCTCCCATCGTCGCTGCTGCTCCGAAATTTCGCTCGAAACCCTTAGAAGAAGAAACCAAATCTTTTTAATGGGCTTTAGAGGAGGCTTACTTCACTATACGTCCACAATAATTTCAGAAAAGCCACGAACTTATTATATAAAGTTGGTTTTGTCCCCAAACAAAAACAGAAGTTGAAATTTTTGGTTTAAACCTAAAAATTTGAAATTCCATATATCTTTCCAATATGAGAAAATATTTTTATATTATTCAATTTTTTATTATCAGAATATCCCTAAAATAAATTGTTTCCATGCAGAAACATTAGTAAATTAACAAAATTTAGTTTGTATATACTATATATGTTTGGAATATTCATTTTACAGAAAGTGAAGATGATAAATTAACTATATAGAAATTCATGTCGATGGAATGGGTTAATAAGCTTGTTATGCCAACTCATTACAAGTTTCGTAGAATGCAACTTTTTATTTCTAAAAAGGTCTTGATGAATAGTTTTTATACAATAGAACAAAAATAAAGTCAAATTAAGAGAAAACAAAAAAAAAAAATTAAAGAAGCAAAGAGCTTTTTTATTGCAAGAAATGTTTCACAAGAAAACGGAGTCTAGTGTAGAGTGGTTATCTAGTCTGGAAGTTGAGAGTCCTGATGCAAAATGCGAAGATGAAGGCAAAGAAGACGGTGAAGCCAACGAGTACTCCGGCGACAGGACCCATGAAGTCTGATTCAAAACCGTATTGGTCTTTAATGTATTGCTTGACAGTGAGGTCAACAGGGCCACCAAGAGAAGCAATGCGAGTCTCAACGTCACCGTATTGAGAAGTGATCAAGCCGTATATTGTCCAAGCGACAGGGCAGATCCAGTAATACCACACCCACCACTTTGGAATCTTGGGTCTAGGGATGAAGAAGCCAGAGAAGAGGTTAAAAATACCATAGAAGGCTGATGCAAAGATGGAAGCAACTTGCTGGTTAGGTGTGAGAGACACGGTCATCATGCCGTAGTAGGTCCAGTAGAGGAAAGAGAAGTAGTTGATGAAGACGAACCACAAGAACTTGGAAGCTTTCCACTCGAATCCAACCATAGCGTAGATGATAAGAGAGTAGTATGTGGTTTGGACCAAGACATAGGGTAGCTCACAAGTCACTTGGGAGATAGCATAAGGTATGGCTGAGTACATCCCGGCTGCTTTTTCCCTGTAGAACACTGTCCGTTCAATTGCCACCATTGGTTGTACCGTCGAGCAGTTGTTTATACCAACGAATACAACTGCTGCGTAGATTGCTCCAATCACCATTGTCAGGTCTTGTACGTTTGATCTCTTACCTCCAATCTGCCAAAAGACAGAGCCGATCATGAGAGATGTTGCCAAGGTGAAGATGAACCGGACAAGGTTGTAGTCAGGAGATCTCCAATAAGTCCACCACTGCTTCCATAGGCATGATTTGAATTGTCCCCATGTATTCTGCGAAAACTGTGTAGCAAAGTAAAGATCAGTTGCTCCTTGGGGAGGCACGCTTAGTTCTTGCACCAGAGCCTTGTTCCGCCTGTGTCAAACAATTCATATATATGTTAAATACTTAGATCAGATCAGGTATCATCACATCATTAGCAAATATATGTTTTGTTGTGTTCACTTACTGGCATAAGGCTGAAGCCTTATATAGCTCAGCGAAGTCCACTCCTAGCTTCAACTCGGCTGCAAGAGAGCTGGCTTCCAGCATCCAAGTGGCCGGGTTGTACTTTTCGGGAATCTTTGGCACTCCAGGAAAGGATTCAAAGTACTCAACAACCTTGTGAGAGTTTCGGCCTAAGGGACCAGAGTATATCACATGTCCTCCTCTCTTCATTAGTAGTAGTTCATCAAACGCCTCAAAGATATCAATGCTAGGTTGGTGGATAGTGCACACAACAGTTCTCCCTGTGTCCACAGTGTTTCTCACCGCTCTCATCACAATGGCAGCTGCTCTAGCATCCAAACCTGAAGTTGGCTCGTCCATGAAGATGATTGAAGGGTTAGCCACAAGCTCAACCGCGATTGTTAATCTCTTCCTCTGTTCCGTGGAAAGCCCCGTGACACCAGGTAAACCAACAATTGCATCTTTCAGATCCACCAACTCCACTAGTTCCATCACTTGATCCACAAACATCATTTTATCCTCTTTGCTTACTTCCTTAGCAAGGCGAAGGAAGGCAGAGAAGATAAGTGATTCTCTTACTGTAACTTGTGGAGAGTGAATGTCTGTTTGTTCACAGTAACCAGAGATTCTAGCAAATGTCTCCTGTTTCTTTGGGAATCCAGATACTCTTATGTCTCCTTCTATGTATCCTCCTGTTTTCCTTCCGGCCAAAACGTCCATCAGAGTTGTCTTGCCTGCACCGCTCACCCCCATTAACGCCGTCAACACTCCTGGCCTAAACGCGCTTGTCACTCCTTTTAGAAGTTGTAATCTGGTTTCTTGAACTCCTTGGTCCCTCATTTCCTGCACCATACAATTTTGTATGAGTCTCGTTTTTTGTTTATAATAGTAATAATGATAATAATGTTAACTACTATTCAAATGCTTACCGCAGGCATGTCAACAAAGTACTTAACATCGTCAAATGACATAGCTAGAGGAGTAAATGGGAGAACCATTCCTTTCTTGTTGCCCACACTCTTCATCTCAGTTTCCTCTGTTTTTCATAAAAGAGTAAATTCTTAATATTTATATTATTTTTTTGGGTTTTGTATAATGAATTCTTAAGGTATAAAAAAGGAATACTTACTATTGGCTGCAGCCTCTTCGTCTTCTTCTTTTGGAAGTATAGCTTGTGCCTTCCCAAGGGCTGTTGTCAATACATACATCGAAGCCACGTTAATATTTTTTGAACCGTTGCCGAAAAAAACAGAACCAAACACAAAGGAAACTTACGGTCCAGATAAGTAAGTGCCAGTGTAAAAAAGCCGTTGAAGACGACAGTAAAAGCAAGCAAGCCTCCAACTGATATCCAGTACCAGTTCTTGTCATCAAATACATCCCAAATATTAAGCACACTTGTTCCTAACTTCGTTGTGTTGTCGGCAGACTGCATTTTTTCACCAGAGAAATTAATTAGCTACAAGTATAAGTTGATCATGAGGAATTTAGGAGAAAAGAAGAAAAAAAATGAAGAAGAATTACCATTTTGTTCATCCATCTAGGAGCAAACAGTTCATTGACGGTGAGGCCATTGAAAGCGTAAGAAAGAGGGGATATCCAATAAGCCCATCTCCACCAAACAGGAATCTCACCCCGAGGAAGAAGGAAACCTCCAGTCAAGAACACGACTAGTAGAACGAGCACACCCCCGGTATTGGCTATGGTCATGGTTCTACATGTAGATGCTATGAACCTGAATATCCCGGAAGCCATTTGTTGGATCAAGAAAATGATTAAGAACTGTTTGAAGAATCGGCTAGCCTCGGGTGCATATCCTATGGAGTAATATGTCACCACCATCCATGCTGTAGACTCGAAGATGGAGATTGGAATCCCTAACAAGAATGTGGGAAGCGTGTATGTCCACGGTGGATGAAACAAAAGATCCCTTTGCTTGTAGAACACGGGAAGTCTCTGGATCGTCATCGCCATCTCCGCAAGACCGTTAAACATGTTAACGATCATCGCAAATAGGAGTGAACCGACGTAGATGTTGGCGTCAATCTCATTCCTTGTGTGCATTTCGGTTCTGAGGAAAAGGGTTGACGTGATTGCGGCAATGATGATGATTTGGACGGTTTTGAAGACATAGAAGAAGGAGTTTCGCTTCATGAGCATCCACTCTTTGTCCCAACAGCTTTTAAGAAGCTCTGTTTTCTTCATTGAGTATTTGTCAAACACTAGAGCTGCTTTGTGGCTTTTAGACTTGTCGAACGGTACTGATAGCTCGTTAGATAGTTTAGTTCCAACATGGAATGTCTTGAAGCTGCTGGCGAACTCCGGCACTGTAATGTATCTATACGGTCTGTTTGGATCAACCCAATACTGCTGTTGATCTTTCTTAGATGTAACCTGTTGGCACAAGTAATTGTAATTTGTAAGTCATTGTCGGATCAAAATATTTAATATGCCAAGCTAAACAATTCAATATAGTTTACCTCTTGCAAGAAATCAGCTGTTCCTTTTCTTTCAGGGCATTTGAACCCAAATCCCTCAAAGAACTCTAGGACGTGGTCTCTAGGTCCCTGGTACACAATTTGACCCTCCGACAATAGGATGATATCGTCGAATAGATCAAACGTCTCAGGAGCAGGCTGGAGAAGAGATATGAGCACAGTGGCTTCCGTGAGGTGAACAATCTGTTGCAAGCATTTCACGATTTGGAAAGTAGTGGAGCTGTCAAGCCCGGTGGATATCTCATCCATGAACAGAGTCTTAGTCGGTCCGACGATCATCTCACCAGTTGTCACACGCTTCTTCTGACCTCCTGAAATACCTCTCATCATGTCATCTCCAACTATAGTGTCCTTGCAAATGTCAAGCCCCAGAATCTGTTTCATCAAAAGCTTTGTAAGTACTCTAACATAACCGGTCAACTTGAAGAATAATCTGCTAAGTTGAATTATCATAAAAAAACCATAAGTAGATCTATCCAACACCCAATATCTAAGTAAAGACTTAAAGGTTGAGAGGGGCATACTTTGAGAGTATAATCAGTGATGAGACTACTCTTGACACCTTGAGCAGCAGAGGCCTTCATGAACAAATCAACATCAGCTTCCGGGAAAATCCCAGCGTCCTTTTCTCTTCTTGCCAACTCATTTAGAAGATCTGCCATCCATTACAAGTAAAGATTACTCAATCAATCAAACAAAAGAAAAAGACATTTAGTTGAATCAGAACATACCGTAACGAGTACCAACACCTTGGCACCTAGCAGAGAAATCAAGAGTCTCTTTAACAGTCATGATACCAACATGAAGATCGTTCTGGCTAATGTAAGCAGAGGTTTTGATTGGAACAAACTCGTTGAGGCGGTAACCATTATAGGTTACCTCCCCAGTGACGTCAAGAGACTTGTCGAGTTTGCCGGCAAGAGCCAACAGAAGCGTGGTCTTCCCGGAGGAGGGAGGACCCAACAAAAGTGTCATCCTTGAAGGTTTGACGATCCCGGAAATATCTTTGAGAATAGTGAGCTGTGCTTTCTTGGCAAGCCTAATTCCGATCAAGGCTAGAGCAGCTTCTCCCATGTTCCTCACCGTGTTTAGAAGCGAAGGAAGAGATCTATCACCGGTGTAACAGTCAGCTCTGATAGTCAAGTTTTCGTACCTCACTTCCACAGTGGGAAGTTGGATCCCAACACGGTCGATCCTGTTTCTGAGCTTGGTCAAGATCCGTTCGTTGTCCTGCTCGGCCACTTTGAAGACCATGTCGATGAACTTCTGACGTTCTTCGCCGTCGAGCTTGGTGACGTCAACTTCTTTGTTGAGGATTTGGTTGCCGTAGACGTCGTTTTCGGCGAGTTCGGGCATGAGACTGGTGCGGAGACGGCTGTAGGTAGGGAGTTTCTCGATGGCAGCCCATTTGAGAGCTTCTTCGTCTTCGTTGACGGATTTGGTTCGTCTAGAGCTTGTATTGAATATGTCCTCCACGTTTCTGCTTGCTTTGCTCACACTACGACTTATGGTTTGCCGCATACTCCCACCTCTGCTCACTGCATGAGCTGGATCGTAATCCATCTTTAGATCCGATGAAGCTTGACCCTGATTCTTCTTCTTTCTTGGAGACTATAGACTAACCAGACCCATGTGTGAGGAGTAACAACGATGATATGTAAGTTTGGTTGGAAAAAACAGAACAAAAGTAAGCAAAGATCTGTCGAGTTAAGTAGAAGAAGAATGTAACTGGAAGAGAGAAATGGTATGTTTTGTCAGTGTGTTGAGAAAGAAGAGAGTAAGAAAAATGGTGAAGGGACGAGGATAAATAGGTCCAACGACTTTTTGCAAGCTCCCTATGTCCTCCTCCTCTGTTACTTTATGATTCAATTTCTCTAAGAAATACAAATATTTTAAACAAGGAATACCAACTTGATTGCGCCTTTTAAATATTGTGATTAAAATAGTAATATCACGTAATAATGAAAATCTTTTAACAGAATACTCCATGTGGGAGGTCAATCATACACGAGTTAAATATTTGGTTAATGGCTTTATATAATGTATTAATGTTGGTGCCAAATGATGTATACAGGTTGTCTTTTTTGGCTTGATTTGTCTTTCCTCACTTTCTCTCACAAACAATCGAGAAGGTGGCTGTTTGCAAAAAAAAAAAAAAAAAAAAAAATATCGAGAAGGTGGCTTTAATAAAAAAAATTAAGAAAAAGGTTCACGGATTACATAAAACGTATGAAAGAGACGACTATGCTTGGTGATAATTAAGTATGAGAAGGAGAGTGATTAGCGCAGACCCGTTGAATAACAGATAGAGAGAAAAACTGGAACTTAGGTAAAAAGTCTTAGTTATTTGGTAATTACTCCCAATATTCCTCGTACCAACTACACACAGACACAGCCCTACGTACATATATGTCAAATTAACTCGTACTGAGTTCAAACATCTTGACCTCTGTTTTGGGATGCTAATTAACTTTGTTAATCTTAGTCAAATAATTTATATTACTATCTAACTGCGTGATAAGGTCAAAATACGGTAATTAATACTGCGTAACATAGAATAGAATGACAGCTCTGTACCGAATACCTAACCTATGATTAAAAACTAAAATATTCTACGTTTGCGTGTTTGAGTCTCGGTCAAATCGCTCATGCCCTTTGCCATCAGTTTTCAAAACTATATATTATATTTATGGGTTGGGGTTATTAAAATGTTTTAAAGCACGTTTATTAACTAATTACAAAGTAACGAATAATGTAGTAGTATGTTTATTACTTTACTCGATATTTAGTAAACGAATCTTATATGGGAGAAATAAGGGCCAGGATTGTCGCCAAAACAAAATTTGAAAAAAAAAAGAAATATTCTTAGTGAGGATTAGCTGTGTAATTAAATAGTAAAATATGATTTGATAAAATAATGTCAGTAATGATGAGTGTTAACTAATAAGACACTCCACCACTACCACCAGCTCATAACTCTCGGAAGATTCCCCGCGGACGGGTTCCCTCACCTCACCCTGTCTCGATTCTTTCGAGTCATTAATAATATAAGACTTTTTTTTACTCTGTCCGAAACCGTTGCTGTTCACGTGGTGTACAGAGATGGCTGGCTGATAGCCAAAATTAGTGATTTTAAGATTTTGAGATTTTGGGCCCAAATAGAAGATTATTATTATTCAATTGAGGCCCATCAATCCATTAAAAGCACACTGAACTCTCTGAGCATCACTGTTGTAGCATCTTCACTTCTTCTTCTGCCTTCGATAATGGCTGCTTCCGATGATTCCTCTCACTACTTCACCGAGTTTACCTTGTCCGAGGTCTATTTTCTGTATTTTCTCTTTATTAGATAACAGATTCATGATATGTGACCTTTTTTTTTTTTTGTGTGTGTGTGCTATTCTTATGCAAAGATTGTAGACATGGAGAATCTGTATAAGGAGCTTGGCGATCAATCTCTCCAGAAGGATTTTTGTCAAACTGTTGCCTCCACTTTTAGGTATTTTGTTTTTTTCTCTGAACTAGTGGAGAATTTTTGAAGCACTTTGCTGCATTATAGCAGGAGTTTTAACTTTGTATATATCTGTGTTCTTATCTCTGTTTGTTTCCATTATTTTTGTTTCAAAGTTGTTCTCTGAATCGGAATGGAAAATCATCTGTAACCTGGAAACAGGTGCGTCTCTTATTTCTTCATGCAACAAGTGTAGTCCCTATGTAACTTGTTTTTCAATCTGAGTTATTTCAGGTACAGAGTTGGTTCCAGGAGAAACTGAAGCAGCAAACTCTCCCCAAATACGATACTTTGCCATCTTCTCCTTTGGAGATTCTTGACTTATCAAATCTTAATTTTGCTGAAAATGCTGTGAATGTGGAGAAGGCTACCTATGTTCAAAGACGAAAAGGTTTGTTTCATTTTCTTTGTATGTAATTCTTGGTTCTTTTAGTTAACGCCAAGGACCATTTTTATACACAGGAAAGGCCTCTGATGTATCTGATCTGGCTTTTGAGGCTAGATCATCAAGGGACTTCGCTTGGTAAGAACTCTTCTTTGCTTTGAATCATCATGTGTTTTTCCATATTCGCTTCAACTTTTGGATTTTGCAAATTGAACTAGTATATGGACATAAATGCGTTTGGTTGTAAACTCAAACAAGCAATGCCCTTTACCTTAGTACATGGCTACATGTTCAGTGTAGACTACAACATGTAATATCTGTGCTTATTTGCTTGAATTCTGGTCTTTCAGGTATGACGTGTCTTCGTTCCTAACTTATCGATATCTTCGCACTGGTGAACTGGTAAACTTCTTCTCTTTTGTTCAATGCCTGATTTGTTTGCAACTGAGAGCGGACTGCAACAGGAAGTGCGTGTACGTTTTTCTGGGTTCGACAACAGACACGATGAGTGGGTGAATGTCACAACATCAGTGCGTGAGCGGTCTATTCCTGTAGAACCATCAGAGTGTGGTAGAGTGAATGTTGGAGACCTGCTTCTATGTTTCCAAGTAAGGCTCACTTTGATCTAATTATGAAGGCTGGAACCTTAGCAAATTATAAACACGACAATGGAAATTTGGGGTGGTTTATGAGCAGGAAAGGGAGGATCAAGCATTGTACTGTGATGCTCATGTTGTGAATATAAAGAGAGCAGACCATGACCACTCTATATGTAACTGCGTGTTTCTTGTTCGCTACGATCTTGACAATACAGAGGTAAAAAAGCTTGATCTCAGTCTTTATATTTGGTGCTGTTGCAAGAATTCAAGAAGTCGCTTGTTAATATATGAACAGGAAGCAGTGGGAGTAGAAAGAATTTGCCGCCGCCCTGAAGAGTGAATCTGTTTGTCATCTTTGGAGGATGCAGTGAACTATGACTAGATTATATATGACTGACCAAAAGGATGGAATAAAATGCTCATCTTAAGATCTCATGACTCAAGGTCATGGGATTGTATGTTAGTATATGTTTTCCATTATGTGGGAATATAATGTATCAGAACGCAAATGTTAAAACCAGTTAATCTCCTTTCTTTTGAGCAAGACTAGATTTCCTTCCGTTACTCATTGCTTCTTGTATCATAAGCAAGTCAACACATTTTGCGAGATTCGGGAATTCAGGATAAAGATGTGCAAAAATGCTCATTTAGCACACAAGCTAATTTGGAACAAAAGATGTCTCTGTACTAACAACAATGCGCTCTCTGTTCTCAATTCCAGCGTAAAGAAACATACAACAAGTATCAGACTTTCAGTTATGTTTTTTTTTTTCTTACATATCTCATTCCAAGATATTCCTATGGAAGAATCCATTTTCAACTTTATAGGAAAGAAAATTGCTCGCAATGGATGCAAAGCAGCAGTCCCTATCTGTTTCTCCTAATCAATGTGTACTCAATCCTTCAACACATTGTTTATTTGACAAACGCGATAAGATTTGAGCCAGAATAAGAGAGCTAAGGAGACATGGAAACTACCGGTTTAGCCATCTCCTCAACCGGGAAGCCACTCCCTGAGAAGGAGGGGGAGGTGGGATAAGAACATCAAGAATGGTTACTCTCTCTTTTGGAGTCAATGGGACACCTCTTATAAGGTTCAACGCCATGATGTGTACATTTGTTCTCTGCCTGTGCTTCTGGTAAACCAACCCTGCAGCGGTACCTCCAGCAATTATAACCTATCCACACACCAAACACCAGAGTCAATTAAACTAAACTCTCCTATGGAGGTTCCAGTTCTAATTGATTGCTTAACTGACCGGTGTTAGCCACAATGCCGCGGTCTGCAAATCAAATTTTGGAGCATAAAGCACCGTCTCCCCAAACTCATCCTCAAGCTTATTGTAGATCTCTTTGTCAGTTTTTCCAGCTCCTATCTCATCACGGATGAGCTGCAAAACTCAGATGTATCAGAGGAGTAGACAGCAAAACTAGACTCCACTCGTTCTTTGAAAAACAAAACTGAGTTAAAGACACACCTGTCTAAGGAGAATAGCGATATCTGCCTGCGAGTCTTCAATGGACTGACTTCCACACTCAGTACAGCGAACATTGTGGCTGATGTTTCTGGCCCGAGCGTCCAGCATTTGAGCCTTCTTCCTCTCTTCGTCTGTTTTCTCCATTGCGCTGAAAATTTCACGATACGAGTATTGTTAGTTTTCACAGACGCATTTCGTCGAACACTCTGTGGACAAGAGAGCAGAAACTACTAAGACACCCAAAAAGTACGGAAAGTTAGTTTAATATTGAAGGGGAGACCTGTTTGGAGAGGAAACAAGAGAGATCGAAGAAACAGGTTAGTTCGTTCAATCTGGAGCTCAAAAATTAAACCTTTCGCTTGGGAAATTCCTACGTTTACTTGCAAAAAAAAACCCTATCGTCCTCCAGCAGTAGAAACGCCGAGACACACTTATTCGCCAGAGCCGTTTAGAGAAGATGCCGGTGGATCTCCGGCGGGTGATCAAACCGGCTCCGAATGTGAGATTGAGAAGGCGCGTGCAACGTGTGTCGGAAGACGAGCTTCGCGCGTGTCCGAGGGCTAATAAACATGGGCCCTTCAAATTTCTTTTTTTTTGTTTGAAATATAAACATGGGCCTTGTAATTGCATCAAACTAACTGACTATTGTTCAAAAAAAAAAAAAAAAAAACTAACTGACTAATGAGAAAACAAACACTCTGTAGAGTGTAGACCAAAACAAAGTGAGAAATTTGAGATCAAAGTATGAAACCATACAACCAATCCAAGCAGGAGCATGTAACAACAACAGTTAAGCTGTACTTGCAAAGCAATACAAACACTGAAACACATTCTACAATAGAAGAAAGTGAGATTGAAACAAAATCACCACACTGACTACTCATACTAAAGCTGAATCGGTATTGGTGCTGGGTCAGCTCTTCTTCTTCATCACTCGTCTCTTGTACTTGGGGAGTGGAGCCATCTGTGAATGGAGGCTAGAGGGGTACCCTAGTATGAGCAAAATGGTCTAATCTGTCTCTGAACAGATAGGCACCCTAGTCGTATGGAGACATTAAATTGCGACCTATCTAAATCATTTTGCAATGGAGGCCTCAATGATGTTCTTAAAGACGATAATCTTAAGGCAGTCTCAATTCTGATAGATGTAGGGAAAGATGTACATTCACTCAGACATATTATAACTTCAATTAGCATTGTTCCATCTTCGCTTTCTGCTGTGAAGGAACAAAGTCAACAACAGAGAGAAGCCAATCATTCTCTTTTCTCCTCTCTGCTGGTGCTGGCCATACACAAGTAACAACAACGGTTTCCTTTTCTGTCAACGCCTATGACGAACAGAGAGCTGATGACTCTTTCTTCAGACTCTTCACCATACAGGTCTAAAGCAGTCGCCAACAACAAACTATACAATTCAATTTGGGATGTGAATCTGCAAGAACAAATAGGGAACAGACATGCCTGCTAACGTTAACAAATAGCTGGATCTCTCTGCAATCTTCTTGGATTTGAAACTGAATAGCAAAAAGAAGAGATTCAATGGTTGGATAGGCGCAGAAAAAAGTAAATCAAAACTCAGTAGAGAGGATCGCCTCTTTCTTCCTCAAATTGTATTTCATCAAGTTTTGAGTCTTAACAAGCGATACATAAGGCTTTGCTACCATTGCCTATGGAGACAAAGGTCGGAATTTTAAGCACCACGGAATCAGCGAAGCAACGTTAACGAACTTTTAAGCTGTTAAAGCTTAATGCTTTTATTTATTTATATACACGAGGGAAGAACAGTTTAGACAATGTGAGGACTCTCAGACAAATCCTTCAACCAAGATCGGTTTCTTCTCCTCTTCTTCGTCTTCTTCACTCTGATCCTTCTTCTCCCTACTGCTCTCAATACCTTCGACGTCTAAATCCTTCAAACCATCAACGCAGCTCCTCCCTTCTCCTCCTTCGCCTCCCACAACCAAATCTCCGGCTTGTTCCGATTCAGCCAACTTCGCATTTCCCTTTCCGGCTAAACACGGCCCAGTATCCCTTTCATTATCCCCGCCGACGATGATCGTGTCAGAAGCTTCCGGAATCGGATCCGCTACACAACCACCTTCCTCCTCGTGCTCGAAAATCGAAGCTGCGCGAGACTTAACGGCGTTGGCGGCTTTGCGAAAAGCTTCCTGTATAGATTCCGGCGGCAGCGCACAATCTTCGAGTCCGGCGTCTGCTAATGCCGGCGGGAGGATTTTGTCGAGCAGACCAACTCTTTCTTTCGTAGCCTCCATAGGTGCAGAGATTCAGAGCTCTCTTCCCTGAAATGTGAACCCTAATTTGGATAATTTAAAAGGGGAAAGGCGGTGGCAAGGGCATTTATGTCATTATACTTCAAGGTTGGATCAAATTTTACAAAACGGCACCTAGCGTCAGTTTGGTGAGCCCAAGGTTCGACACCTAGCTGATATCTTTGATTGTCAATTTGTAAACATTAATGAAATGAAATGCAAACCACCACGAAGAGAGAGAGAATTAAAAGATCTTAACCATCTTCCCGGGAACACTCGCCGGAGATACGTACGGAATCAACAACCGTCTCCGGGATAGAATCCATTACCGCCGATTCCATCAATTCGTTAACTTCCCAGAGGCATTGATTCTCCCTTCATCCTTCCTTTATTTGTCGTTTCGAAACCAGCTCATCTTTCCTCGATCCCGACGTATTTCGAAGATCGGGTCCTAATTTCCCGGGAATGGGACCTTAGGCTCTGGAAGAAATTCGTCAGTTCTGTCGGGTGAGTTCAGTGGAGGACGAATTAGGCGTCTGAGAGATAATAGGAGAAGGGATTTGATTCAAAACTATGAGCACTCAGAAGCAGGTGGTGACTCTTCGGGACCTGGTAGAGGAAGCTAAGAAACGGATTGTAATCGTGGTGATATGCGTCGTAGGACTGTCTTACCTCATGTCGCGTAAGTTTGATGTTCTTATTTGACCGATACTATGAATCTTATGTATCTTCAGTTTTTAGTTTTGAAGTTTTGGTTCAGTAGCTACTTATGTGTTCAACTCTAGTGTTTTCCTCAGCAATCTCTAATGAACATTCACGTTTTTGTAAACGTCTGCAGTGACAAGCTCATCGGTTTGGGTCAACCTACCTGCTGCTGCGTGCTTGATCATCCTCCTTCGTTATTTCTCATTCGATATTGAAATGAAAAGAAAAGCTGCAGCTTACAACAGCAAACCCTCGTCTCTGAATGCACCAGCGTTAAATAAAACACCCGAACTCCCTAAAGCAGCTCCACGGTCTGACTGGAGAAGCAAAGTGAACTCCCAGGTCGTTGAGGATGCAATTGATCACTTCACCCGCCACCTCATTTCTGAATGGGTACTGGATCTATGGTACTCCCGCTTAACACCGGATAAGCAAGGTCCTGAAGAACTGGTGTTTATCATTAACGATGTTCTTGGGGAACTTTCACGGCGGTTTAGAAATGTAAATCTTATTGATCTACTGACAAGGTCTGTTTTTTTTTGGTTCTTCGTCTCATCTTGAGTTTCTGTTAAGGTCGCTTCTCCAAGAAACTAAATTGCTGTAATTGATGTAGGGATCTAATTGATATTATATGTCGTCGCGTGGAGCTTTTCCGAGAGTGTCAAGCAAAGATTGAGAGACAACAAAAGAGAAGCCTCAGTTTCGAAGACCGCGACTCAGAACTAAGACGTGTGATGGCCACTGAAGATAAATTGCACCCTGCATTGTTTTCTCCTGAATCCGAACATAAGGTTGTTTTTGTAGTCTTAAGTTGCAGTGAGATGTTATACATATTTTTATGTTGGATGTTTCATCACTTTATTGCTATCAGGTGGTGATACTATGATCTCTATTTGGCAGGTTCTGCAGCATATAATGAACAGTCTCATTTCACTAACATTTAGGCCAGAGGATCTGCACTGTGCTTTTTTCCACTATACTGTGAGGGAGCTTCTTGCTTGCTGTGTGATCCGACCAGTCCTAAACCTAGCTAATCCTCGGTAAACTATTGCCTCTTTACACCACATTCTGTTCCTCTTATTCTCGCCTCAATGGTACTCATTTCGTCTACCAGGTTCATAAATGAGAGGATTGAAGCTGCTGTAATGTCAAGGATAAAGACTAGTAACAGATCTAGTACTGCAGAAGAGGCTTCTCCGTCTGAAGATCTCTCAAATGTTTCTCCTGATCATTTTTCTAGATATTTGGACCCTTCTGTCAAAGGTGTTGAGCTTGTGCAATTGAAAAATGAACAGCATAAAAATTCTAAAAGGAAAAGCGCTACAGATAAACAGCATGTAACCGAATTTTCGAAAGATCCATTGCTTTCAATGGACACTCAATCTTCCCGATCGTGGAACTCCTTCCCGTCAACGTCCAAAACAGGTGATGTTAGTAGAGATCCTCAAGGACATCGAGGAGGAGAGGGATGGGGTGACGTATTAGACATGATGTCACAAAGGAAAACTGAGACCCTTGCCCCTGAGCATCTCGAAAGCGTGTGGGCAAAAGGAAGAAACTATAAAATGAAGGAAGGTGAAAAAGTTGTTGAGCGCGTGCCCCCGAGATGGTCTAGCAAGGAATTGAGCAACGATGAAGACTTCGGTGAAAACACTGCGATTGCAAGAATGCCCAGTCAGCGTAAAGTCATAAATACAGAAAATCACTTATCAAGTTATTCCTCTGCTGAAGAGGACGAGGAGCAAACAAAGAGTAATCATTCTTATACATCCGAAGATGAGGAAACGGTAACAGGTCTAAACAGTCCTGGGACTCGAGTCTGGGATGGTCGAACGAAGAAAAATCTTGGTGTTTCACGGATACACCATCCACTTGAAAATTCTGGCGCTAGTTTCAAAAAGAATAATAAAGGGCATGGGCGTTATCAGCTAGCCAGACATCAATCTGGCAGGAAGAGATCTAGAGTATCTGGACACATTATAGACGATGATGACAGCGATAATTCTGAAGATGGTTCTTTGGCTAGATCATACAGTGGAATGTCTGCAACGTCATCTGCATCCTACGTTTCAGCGGCAGAAAGTGATGTTACCTATGCCCCTAAAAGTTCTTTGTTGGTTGATTCCTTTGCCAAGTTGCGATGTGAGGTACAATTAATTATCGGTTGACATCCAAGCACCCAAAAAGCTGCAGACAATTATGCCCATATATAGCATCAAACGATGGGTAATTATAATTTCTTCTTGCAGGTTCTGGGTGCCAATATTGTGAAGGGTAGTTCTAAGATGTTTGCTGTATATTCAATTGCAGTCACAGATGAAAGTAATCATAGCTGGTCGATCAAAAGAAGGTGATAAAATAATACTGCTACGGATTTGATGTTGGTCTTTTGTCTTCTAAACTTTTGTGTGAACTTTCAGATTTCGACATTTTGAGGAGCTTCACCGGCGGCTTAAAGTATTTCCTGAGTACAATCTTCATTTACCGCCAAAGCATTTTCTATCAACAGGCGTGGACATACCTGTTATTCAAGAGCGATGTATACTACTTGATGAGTATATCAAGGTCAAACGCCATGTCTCTTGTTTTCTACTCTCTGTTCATGCCTTACATGATGCTTGTATATGGATTTTTTTTTTTTCTTTTCTACTGGATTTGGTTTTTTGATGAGTAGGTATTGTGAATTAGCTTTTGTGTTTCATTATTCTGGTAGTTACTTTGGATTTCTGAGAAGCTGATACTGAATGCTCTTATGCGTGAAACGTCACCATCTACTGCCGTATAATGTTAGTCTGAAGTAGGTCAGGCCTGCTTTGATCTACTGAAATTATGTATTTTGCATCTGCTAAAGTAAGCTAGGGCTGATAGTTCTAATGCTTGATTCTTTGTAGTTGCTTATCACTCTGGCTAATCTTCCTTGTTAACTAAAATGTGAATGTTTGCTTTGCATTGAGATGATTCCCCAGTTTTCCTTATTTTGCGAATTATCCTTTCTCTACTTTGCTCAGAAGCTTTTGCAGCTACAACGAATTTCAGGATCAATTGAAGTTTGGGACTTCCTCAGTGTGGATTCCCAGGTAGATTCTCTTCCACTGATTCAAAAATCACTAGTGCTGAATTTTTTTGACATACAACTTGTTGCTGCTGTGCAGACTTATGCATTCTCGAGCTCTTTTTCAATCATTGAGACGCTAACAGGTGAGAATCCATAAAGCAATTAGATTTGGATTTTGATTAGTTCGCTATAATTTACTGTCACTAGTAAATCGTTTCAGTTAAACATGTCAGTAAGACATCTACTGGTGCCACAAATATGGGAACTATGACTGAGGCAACACCTGGTTCTCGTCCTTGGAGAGAAAACCTGAGTTCGGAGAATGGGAAACTGGGTCAACATTTGAGGAATAATGTAATCGTGGATGATGTGAAGTCAAAAGTGAAAACTCTTGGAAATGATCATATGAAGACGCCTTATTTAGATGTGAGAGATAGCAAAGAGAATGGTGGGATAAAAGTGGGTACTCAACATGCTGATGATGTGGCCTGCGCCGGCCTGCCCACCGAGGTATATATAACATCCACACCTAGTAACAGCCATTCAAAGATTTTATTTTCTGATGATTCAGTCTTTTGCATTGTAAGAAAGTGGGAAACCATGAGGCCAGTACTTGTATTTTTATTATAGTGTGCTTCTAATAGCTTGTCTTTCGTGCAGTGGGTTCCTCCAAAGCTAACATTACCCCTACTAGACTTGGTAGATGTTGTCTTTCAACTACAGGAGGGTGGGTGGATCAGGTACATAATTTTATAACCAGGGGATATACTATTTTTTTCTTTCTTAGTCAAGAAAGCGGAGTAAACCTGATCAACCATTTTTGCACATTACAAGGCGAAAAGCTTTTTGGGTTGCCAAACAGATACTTCAACTTGGGATGGGCGATGCATTGGACGACTGGGTACTTGAGAAAATCCGTCTTCTCCGGCGGGGAACTGTAGTTGCCTCCGGAATTCAACGGGTTGAGCAGGTGAGAACCTCCATTTGACTCCTTTTTGCACAGTGAGAGGTAGTGGTGAATGTCACTGTAAATAATGGAAAAATTATGCCTGACAGTGACATATCCCTGTGATGTCTCTAGCTTGGTTATATTTCAATCCGTGATGTGAATTGAAAGAGATATTTGGTATGACTTCTCAGATACTATGGCCGGATGGGATATTCATGACAAAGCATCCAAAAAGGAAGCAACAATCCGCCAGTTCCGAGGAGCAGCAACAAGAAGCCGAAAGGCAAGCAAAGTTTGTTCATGAGCTGATGATTGGTAATGAGCTTCCTGTCATCTGATAACAAAAATTTCGTCAATGATATTTCAAGTGTAGTTGACTTATTATGAATGTTTGAATTAATTCTCAACGCACAGAAAAAGCCCCAGCGGCTATAGTGAGTCTTATTGGACAAAAGGAGTATGACCAATGTGCAGAAGATCTCTACTTCTTTCTCCAGGTAAACATTCTGCATTGTCTTGAATTTTCAGATTGTGAGATGCTTAAGCAAAGTGTTTGGTTTCATTGTTTAAATTATTGTTATTTCAGTCATCAGTGTGTTTGAAGCAGTTGGCGTTTGACCTTTTGGAGTTGTTGTTACTCTCAGCGTTTCCGGAAATGGAGCAAGCTTTTAAACAGCTGCACTACGAAAAACACCTCTTTGGTCAATATACACCACCAAACTGATACTTTGGATTGTCCTTGTATTCCATATTACATGGAGTTTTGCTAGAATTATTGGAACAGTAATAGCACGGATGCATTTCAGTGATTAACGTCCATGAAACACACTGGGTATAGAATAGCAGACGATAAAGTACAAGAGCGAAAAAAACAAGTAGTTTCTCCTCTAAGAACGAATTTAAAAAGCTACATCAGAAGCAAAGCAAGAAACAAATGGCAAAAACAAAACTAAACAATGCCTAGGAAGAAGCAGCTGCAGACTTGTTTCTTGGGGTGGCTTGGGTACCTGATCCATAATTCCATCAATCAGACTGAGTAAGAACGATAATATATCACATAGGTAAAGTGAAGAGAAGGTGAGCAATGTAGCCTTTACCTTCTCTAAAGCAGGTCTTGAACCTGCGAGGGACATTGCGGAGATACCTCATCCTACCAGTTCCTGTTGTCTTTCTTCTAATTGCCTTGATGCTCCAGTTATCTGCCCACATAATGACATCATAAATTCCAGTACTGTTTCAGAAACTTTCCAAGACAGAGACAGAGAGAGTACATGTCCTCTTCCGAGCAGCTGGATAAGCACAGGCTGAACAACGACTCTTCTGGATGTGGAAACTCCGGCGACCACATCTGACACACAGCGTGTGCGACTTGTTCCTCCTCTTACCAAAGCTCCCTGTTCCCTTACCCTGCCATTTCCAAAGCACCGGTTATACACCAAGTTGGACATAAGCTTACACGAAACGCGCAGTAGATTACCATTGCCGCAGATGTCGGGAAATGATCAAACTATGTTCTGTAGATATCTTTGCGGCTCCGAGAAGACGACCATGTTTTAGGGTTGTGTCCATCCAAAATGGATCTTAATCGGTTACCGCCAAAAACATGGGCCTCTTTAATGGGCTTAATGAGCCGAGTCTGATATTAGCCTAAGTCAACTGGCTTGCTGCATGCATGAGCAGTGGTGTGGCTGGCAATGATAAGTAGGGGACCATTTGAACACTGCTTATCAATGTGATGACGATTGCTTACCTATAAAAGTGGACAACACAATCAACAAGATGACACCTTCTTAAAGTCTGACATATCAGCTTCCTTCTTCAACTACTACATGCCACTGAATGAATGAATGTTAGGTTTCGTTTTGAGCTCCCCAAGTGAAATAAATATGGTTATCTTCTCAAAAATTTGAGCAGCAAGAAAGATGATGAAACCTACAGCAAAATCAATTCAGAGAGTTGGCCGTTTCTTGAGGAAGACCCTTGGGAGCATCAAGTCCAGTTTCTGCTCCCGTGATTACAAGAACTTGCCCAACAACACTCCTCTCTTGAGCCCCTTCTCCTGCAGTCGCCGTTGTCCAGAAGATTCCCAAACTAAAGAAACCTACACCGTTATTTGTTGTGACACGGCTGTAGCAGATACCACACATGGCAGGAGTCTCAGCAGCCAACATAAAAAGAGACCGAAGAAAGTTGCAGAGCCATTCGAGGATGCAAAGAAAAGAGGTGACGCGTTGGCGCAAAAGATGAAAGATCTCAACATGGTGGATCTACGAGACGTGGACCATGCAATGGATGTACGGGAAGCGCTTAGATGCTATTCAAGCATCAGAAGTCCTGTCTACCTTGACATTGTTGACAATTTCTTCACGGACATGTATTACGAGTTCTCTGATCCACGCACATCTGCTACTATCAATGGTTCAAGAAGAAAAGCAGGCTCCTTCAGGCTCTAGGTCCCTCTCAATCAGCATCAGTTTCAAGGGCAGGGTGAAGTTGTTTGACCTATAGAGCTTGTATATCGTAAACAGAGTCACTATCAACTACCCACAGGCCACAGCACTTCGGTAAAGTCATCGGTTAAGAGAGTTCTACCTCATCTCGTACAGTCAAGTTTATTACGCTGCTATTCTCAACTATCAATGCAACATATTTTCACTAAGTTAAAACAGTTTCTAATACACCTCCAGACATGCCTACAACTCTGTTCTTGACTGTACTCACATTATGATTTCAGGGCAGGTAACATTATTCCTTTTCATGAAAAATGCAGAAAGTAAACATATGTATAGAGAAGCGAAGTTATTCTTCTCCAAATACGATAAAAGTTACATCATCACACGATTATCTGTTTTAAGTTGATAAATTTGCATATCAAACAACACTTGATGGATAAAAGGGAATCATTTCTTGCCGCTCTTCTTAAGTCCAGAACCTCCAAAGGATCCCTTCTGCGATGCCTTGGCTCTAAGCTCCTTAAGTGCCTGTTTTTATCAATGTCGAACAAAATAAAATGGGTCAGGCTTTCGATAATAAATGACCACCGTATGTCCTTTTCATGCGAAAGAGAAAGGCTATAGAGTCTTTTATCATTGTTGGGTGGAAAACAAAGTAAACTAAACATCGTAACAATAGCCTATAGGCAAAATGGTCACCATTTCATCAGATTAAGAAGAAACTAGTCCAAATCATCAACCTATAATGAATACCTAAACTATAAACAGTTAACAAAATGATCCATCAAGTTGTCGTCACCAGGTATAATGTCATAATTGGCGTCAGTTTGATTAGTTGACAAAACTGACAAACAGACAAAGTGGTACATACTAATGCATAACATTACAAAATCCATGCAAATAAAGAGAAGCCAATAATGTAGATACTATATTTGATTAGTAGATACCATATCTGATTAGTATGTACACAAAAAAGTCTAAACAGGAATGCATTTTTTCAATCCCAAAACTTCATAAGAACAAGAAACAAGCTAGAGCACCAAAGTGGGAACTAACCTTCTCCTCATCTTTCTTCTTCTGAATGTTAGCCAAGTCGGTCTGCATTGAAGCCAAATCAAAATTCCATAAATTTGAGTTAAAGAAAAGGGACTTAAATCATTGATCGAATAGTAGGTAAAAATTCAACTTGCGTATAAATCATTGAGTTGGTTCTGTATCATTTTGAGTATATAAATGTTAAGAATTCAAGTAAGCTTAGACAATCAAAAACCAGATCCAGACATCAACAGCGTCGTTTAATCCGAGGTCTAGAGCTAAACAATATAAAAACGAACTCTTAAAAAAAATCAAAAAGAAAGGTTCAGTAGAGTCACCTCGTCGTATTCCTTCTTATCAGCTTTTGGCTGCTTCAAAGGTTTCGCCTTCCCTCCTGTTTTAGCCCAAAAAAAGATTAGCAGCAGATCGTAAACAATCAGGGAATCACGAATACTAAAAATCGGCGTTACCTTGCTTGGACGACATGACTGGTTTGGTGAGCTTAGCTAGGGTTCGATGTTGAGCTCACAATTGGGGGAAGCTGAGAGTTGCAGACGATATCGAATCTCCCTGATCCCCCACTACGGTATGTCAATTTATAATGAGCTCGTAGTAACTACGCAACCCATTTTATGGGCTCTGAAAGATAATGGCCTGTTAAAAGGCCCATCAATTACCTTATGGGCCCGCTAAATTCCTTTTTGGTCAACCTTAGGTCACAATCGTTATATATATATTTTTAATGCGCGAAATAACAAAATCGATTAATATAATTTGGTGAAACGACTCCTATTTATTTTGACCTCTATTTAACAGTTAAAAAAAAGGCCTGGCTCCTTTCGATTCACTGGAAACACCCAAAATCGCAGAAGAAGGAACGCCTCTGGAGCTCAGATAGGGTTTAGGTAAGCGCAGAGAGTTTTCTCTACACAATTAATTCGAGCGCTTGAGCGACTCCTCCTTCGATTACTCTATGAAATTTCTTCATCTAGGTTTTGGATTTACGAGTGGTACTGCTCTTCGATTTTTTTTCAGGTTTCGAGAGAGAATTCATGGCGACAGCTGACGCAGGTGAACCGGAGTATGAGAGTGATCTAGAGGAGATGAACCGCTCCTTGGCGACGAGGAGGAGAGAAGCCAGTGATGACGATAGTGATGCTGCTGATGATAGAGATGTTCATAACCAGAGGGCTGAGATTGATTCCGACCTATCTGATGAACATATTGCTTCTGTCAAGTATGATAATGAAGAAGATGGGGAGGATAGTTATGAGGACGAGGAAGGTGGTGCGCTTGATAATGACAAGATGAGTAGTGTGGTAAAGGACGCAGGTGATTTGGATGGGGAGGAAGCAAAGGAGAAGCAACAGGCTGCAGTGCCCACTGGTGGAGCGTTTTATATGCACGATGACAGATTTCAGGAAATGGCTGCTGGTGGAAACAGGTACTCTCTTTTGTACTGTGTGTTGCTTTTCTCAACTTTCTCATATATCCATCAATGCCTTGCTTTGCGAGCTAGGCTTTGACTAAAGTAGGTACCACCTTCCTATGAAATTGCATTTATTGAGAGATAATAGACTGAAAGGTGGATTTTATTCGCCCAACTTACAATCATGTCATTTATGTAGTCTGAAGGGGTTGCATAGCTGCATTGGGGTTGATTTGGAATACTAACTAGCTCTTCCTGTCAACATTCTGTCTGTCAATTCATGGCAATGTCAGATTGATATAAACCTTATTTTGCTTTCTTAGGCGGATGCGTGGTGGAAGGAGACCGTGGGGATCTGGAGAGGAAGGAAAATGGGGACATGACAAATTTGAAGAGATGAATACTCGGGATAAACATTATGATGTAGAGCTTCTGTCTATGGCTTTTAGTATTTTAGATCCCTCTATCTCTTAATGTATATAGCATGTTAATATCACATATATTTACTTTCCTTGCGTTCATGTATTTTCCATCTGTTATTCTTTTAACGTGCTTAATTGTATTGTTGACTGATTGCAATATGTATTTCCAGCAGAGGACTCCTAGAGGCCGATTCAGAGGTCGAGGTCGGGGTCGGGGTAGGGGACAAGAGCGTGGTAATGCTCGAGGGAGCAGTTCTAATGCATTAACTGGTAATGGGCAGCAAATCTATCTTCCTAAAGCTGTCACACGAGGGAGAGGTCCCAGAAAATTTGAGACTCCCCTGACAAAGGGAAATCAAGTACATCCCGAGCAAATCAAACAGTGAGTTCTCAAATTTTCTTCTGTAGTTAGTGAAGGTTTTATCTTTAATATAATATATTTTTGTCTGATTTTGTAGGTTGCGAAATTCTAATGGGTCACAAAACTCTCATGAGAAAATGTCACACCTTGATTCAAGACGTTCGCCAACTGCCCCTGCTAACACCGGGAATGAAGGTGTCCATGCCAGAAAGAATGTAGCTGCTTCAAGTTTAAGTTCCGCTTCTCCTCCATTTTATCCTTCAGTGCCCTCCAGTAACTTGGTACATGGTATACAAGTTGGTATGGAAAAACTCCACATGAATGAAAGTGCCGCACCTTCTGGCAAGAAGTATAGGAATACAAAAGCTATTGTTTCACCAGTTTGGACTGCCAAGACTTCGCACTCCACGGGTCAAGGTAGAGGTGCACCTGTTACTGGGAATGTGTTTTACCAGCAAGCTCATAGTCAAGGTGACAGATTTTCATCACCAATGCAACTTAATGGAGATTCAAAAGGCACTGGCCAAAGCTGTATTAAACCTTCCGGTCAGGGTTTTGATCAGAATTCTGCTGTCATCAGATCCTTGTCTTCCTCTCCCCAGAAAGCTAGCTCATTAAGAAACCTATTTCCTCTTGGTGAAACAGAATCTGCGCCGGAAATAGGTGCATCAATTACCAAGGGAAAAGGGACTCTCCGGCCTAGTGGAAACGGCTCATTTATGTATAATGGATCTCAAATGATGGGGAGAGCAGAGAGTTTGCCATCTGCTGACAATTCTACTTTCCATACTTTTCTGCCTGGTAAGTTTTTCGATGACACTTTTTTCTCTGAGCCACTTGGCCTGGTATTCCATGAACACTTTTTTTCAGAATCTTGTCCGACCAACTTGGGATAATCTGATTGCCAGTAAAAATGATTGCATTATAGTTTATGATTAAATTCCAATGCAAATGCAGTGATGCAATTTGGTGGTCAGCATGGTGGGGTTCCGGCTTTTGGAATGGCTTATCCAGGATACGTCGAGTCTGAAGATGGTGTTAGAAATCCGGAGATGACATGGTATACTTACTTTCTCAATGAACTTAGCTCTTGGTTGTAAGCATTTTAAAGAATTAGATTTTCTTGTTTCTTGTGATTTTGTATGCTGTCCCACTTCATCACCTTAGTGTGGGTCTACAGGCTGGAGAGAACCTGCAAAGGCACTATTATCATTAGATTATCATAATGGTCATTTTCACTTTGAATAGTGTGCTGTTTGTATGCTCAATGCTCTTCATCCATATCTATTTTTTCTCGTTGCCTGCTTGCTGCTGAGATTTGTCTATATGATTGGCAGGATGCCAGTTTTGAGTGCTCCAGGAGCTTTAGGGGCTTCATACAGTCCACCATATGTGGCTAGCCAAGCACACAAGCCAGGGCTACCTTCCGCATTAGGATCCTCCAGGTTTAGATATTAATTTCCTTTGTTCTGGTAACTTCTTTTTATGCAATAACAATGTGAATATTGTAGAGCTTTAAAAAACACAAAACCATTTGATATTCATAATTTGCGTTGTTTTTTCTTTTTTCTCTTATATATTCCTACTGCAAATGCTTGGCAAGGCATGTATTTTGGCTTGCTTAATCCATTACCATTTTTTGCAGCAAAGAAAATAGTACAAATAACCTTATTGACCTGGAGAATTCCATGGAGAGGCCTGGTTAGTCATATTTGCAATTCTGGCTCGTTCTGTTACTAATGGTTATGCATGAGGTGTTTGTGTATTACTCCTACTAGGGATATTTTTATATTTGTTAGGAAATGGTAAAGAGAGTGGTCTTTTCTTTTGCCTTAGAAGACAGAAATCATAATGGAAGTTTTTTGGGTTGGATGTGATGGATAACTAGTATTAGTATAGAAGTCATGATGTTGATTCGGCGGCTAAAATGAAGATTGATTGTTGGGATAATTCTTTTTGAAGTTTAGCTACTTTCCTTGTATGCAGAGGTCACAGAGAGTGGGGTTTCACAACAGCAAAGCAACAACCCAAGCAAGCAGACTCGTAGGTGAGTTCTTGAAGTTAACTTCAAAACCTACTCTTTAATTGATCATAGTTGATATGGAACCTTAATACTAGGAACTATGCTGCATTACGTCTATGGATTGACTTGCAGTAACTGCATTCATAGGCCTAAGGTCGCGATAATCTATAGAAAATTTCATGTATAAGTTGTGTGGAATTTGACCCGATCATTAGATAGAATATCTGCTTGAGTTGTCATTGGTGTATATGCAGGTACTCGGAGATGAGCTTTAGCAAGTGATAACATTTATGAGAATATAAGAAGAGGGTTTAGGGACTCCTTGGCGCAGGGCCATGTTGCTTCTCCAAAGTTTGTTACAGGGCACTTTAGGCAGCAACTGTTCCTAAAAATCTTTGGTAAGTGATTCAAAACTAGTTTTTAATTACGGAGGATGATAGTAACAGAGTAATAGGAAGTGAATGTTGGATTGTTCTGCTTGTTGTTGCAGTTTTATAAGGGAGGGAAAGAATTGAGAAGAAACGTGGTGGCTCATATAAAGCTAATGGGCATCTATGTATTTATGTGTGTTTCGTATTTTCGGTTATCTGCATGTTTTGGAAATTTGCCATTTACGCTATTTTTCCAGGAAAGTAGTTGTCCTAAGCCTTGGTCAACCTGTTTGGTGTGTCTTTTATTCTTTCCAAGAATCTAATCTAAAGTACTCTTTTTTGAGCATGTAAATAAATCTTGCGAAGGTATTTGAAGTTTTCTTCTTATGGAATCATATGAACTGGAGTTTGCATAAATCTTGCTACAATATTAACAGTTGCTACAGTACCTCGGAAGATCATATATTTGGACCAACTTGAAACCTGTGAGATGTATTATGTTAAATAGAGTTTTGATCTCGCAAGTCCAATGCTGCTGATCATATAAACCACTCAATTTTCCATTCAAAAGTTCAGCCGTTAGGAGATCGAGCCAAATCAAAACCTCTGAACCGAACCGACCTTGAGGGTTCTAATTTTGAACTAAGCACGGGGTGGACAGGTTACGTGCGTTCACGAACTAAAATAAAACAAAAAAAAAGAATAGCCACGAAAATTTACAACACAACGGGGCCAAGCTATATAAGAAAAGAAGTTGCCAACTACCTAATCCCAAGAAGTAAAGCCAATAAACCAGATGAGTTAAGAAGATTCTCTGCTTCACAAGAAGCTTTATTTTGTTAACCTCAAACCCACTAATCAGATCAGACACAAACTGACGCCGGTTGATGGTACAACCCAGCTGCATCGTTTGTAAGTCTCAGCTTGTTCTTCCTCCTCCTTTTCTTTGCCACAATCACAAACCCTTCACTTCCATTTGTCTCATTTGTGTTTGCTCCACACTCCTCTTCTCTACTATATACTATCTCAGTCACAGCACTATCCCTTGCGGTATCTCCTGACTCGGCCTTTAGGGAACTGCTGGAATCAACTGATACACTCGCATCTCCACCTACATGTTGAGAGCTATTCTGCACGGGTCTCCTCGGAACAAACTCTGGTGCATCTGGATTCATGCTTCTTGGCATCCCAACTCCATTTAAGTGATTAGCACAGTAATATGGTGGTAGGTGAATACCACATGTAACTCCAGCCCAGGAAATAGGGTCTGCTACCATAATCGGGTAGTTGCCTGTTGTTGCTGCTAAACTTTGCAGATCAATAACCACGAAACCTCCAGGATTGTAAGGCTCTGCGGAGGCTGATAGCTTTGTCCTTCTTATACCAGAAGCCTTTTGCCCATGACAGGACCCCAGATCTCCTTCAGACTCTGACGTTAAATTTTCCACTGATTCACTACTTTCTTGTGATTCCTGTTTTTCACAGGGAAGCTCTGCGCCTTCGATTGGTAAATCCAACATTACAGTGTCAGATTTGCTTTCTGCTTCAGCTGACGCACTTGAAATCCCGTATATCTGAGTTTCAGTGGTCTCCAATTGCAATTCTACTTTCTCTAACATTGGCTTCAGAACTGTACCTGGTGGTGCCATAGCAACATCTTTGTATGAGAGAGACTTTGAAGCCAAAGTAATACTGGCCACAGCAGCAGAACCAGAATCCTTTAACTGTGGCTTAGTTTTATTTGTACTGACATCTTTCCCTGTGTTTTTCAGATCCCTGTGGGATGATGAATTAGAGAGGGGTCTTAGAGTTGTTTTCTGCAAGGGAGAAGATAAGTTCTGTTGCTGAACATCTTGTCTCCCATTATGATTTCTATTAAACGACATTCTCTTTTTCGTAAGATCAGGCTGCCTTTTCCTTCTCGCACCATTTCCGGATCTCCCCTTTGAGTATGCCTCTTGCCAGCCCTCATCTACAGTTGAATCTTCCACAATTTGGCTGTCTACATTTAGTCTATGTACTACGACATCATCTGTTTTGATCTCATTAACAACTGCATTAGGATCATTTACTTCGGTCCTACTCTTAATGACATTCGCTTCTACGACATCATTCCATGTAGCAATGCCATTCTGTGAAGCAACTCTATGGGTAGCATCTGCAGCTGCAACACCATGATTGGCCCGTAATACCTGTGGAAACAGAAGTAATGTCACAAACCTTTGACAAGAAAACCTAGAGTGATATATCCATCTCGTTCTTTTCGTTTCAATTATCTCACATGTTTTTTCCATTAACTTCTAGCGCATGGAATGCCTTTAGATCAATATTCCAGTTTAGACATACATCTAAAAAACCAAGCAGCATAGTTTGAGTTCAAGCAGAGTTCTACACAATTGACAGGTATTTAATCAGGTTATTGTTTGATCAACAAAATCCAAAATTAGTGACCTGATGAACAGAAGGAGCTTAGAAGTTTAGTAATTACCCTGGCGCGCCGCTGTTTCCTGTGAGCAACACTTCTTTTAGTGTCTGGATCAGAACTTATATAGTCCAGAAGATCTGATACACTGCAAGAAAGGTCGGACTTTGGTGCCAATGAAATAATTACCATATCCTTTATGTGTTCTGGAGTTTCCATTTTAGTACCTAAGGTGGCCTTTGCTAGCGATGGAAGCATCAGGCTTTGGGATTCCATTTCGGGCTGCTTCCTGCTGCTCTATGGCTCTTGATTCAAAATATTCAAGCCATGCAGCAGCATCCTGTGAGAGACAAATGAAGAAAACGAAACATGTATGTCTTAGAGTCCAAAACATTCACTTTTTTAGTTTACTAGTAAGAGTATAATATTCAGCTGAGATTGCATGATTCCTAATCCTCCATGTGATAAAAGTATATATATACAGAAACCTCGGAATCAAGAGAATGAACTAGGAGCAAATCAATGACCTTTGTACGTAGGTCATCTGGTCCAAGTTTTGCTGTAAGTATCTGAAGAGTAGTTTGTTCATGTTGCACACTCAATGAATGTGCTTCCATGAAAGAGAGAGCCACAGCAATTGCATGATAGCTTGCCGCTGTCTGGCAACGTAGAACACGAAAGCATGATTAGTTTAAGAATGGGCGGAAACTGAGGCTAGATAGATGAGGGAGGAACCTGAATATGGTCCGCTCCTAGCATTCTTTGATTGCACTTTAGAGCTTCATGCAGGTATCTTAGAGCTAGATGATCATTCCCTACTTCTTTTTCCATCATAGCCACATTGATATATGTGGCAGCAGTATTTGGGTGAGAGAGCCCACAAGTGAAGTGAAGAAGAAATAATGCACGGTTCACATATCTATAAACAGGGAACAAATACAGATATGATTAGAAAGATAACATTTAAAAGGAGCCAATCAGAGGAAAGGCTGGACCATAACTCATTTCAAGGCAACAAGACAAAGGTGATGGAAAAGAAACGTAGTATGGTTCCATCTTTAAGGACCATATAGACTATAAGAGATCATCATGCATCACTTACTTTAGTGCCAATTCAAAGTGTTGAAGACGATAATAAAATACAGAAAGATCCCCATAGCTTTTCATAGTGTCGGGATGGTCGAGACCAAGTTCTCTCTCATTTATATCTAGAGCCTTCTGCTGATATATTGTTGCCTGATAAAGAGAGGATAATAATCAGTAACGTTACCTAACATCAATTTATCTCTGTTTCTTTTTGTAGATAATCGGAAATGAGATTGGAATTTTTTATATAACACTGCCCAGAAGGAGAACATCAAACTCTCTTTTATGGTCCTTGACTTAATAAACAAAAAACTACCATTTAGTAAGAAGATAAAAGACGATAATACCTGGTTAAAATCGCCGGTGTGGTACAGTACAACTGCGAGAAGGCTGTACGCACAAGCAGTATTTCTATGATAAGGCCCACAAACAGCAATCATCTTGACTAATGCCTACAAAATGCAAGAAGTCAACATCTCTTGGATAACAATTCAGTAGGTTAAAGAAGTGAAGATCACGTAGCTATCAAAAGAAATGACACCTTTGTTCCATAGTTCACAGCATCCTCTAGTTTTCCTTTGTCAAGAGCAAGTTTTGATGACTCCAAGAGTGTCCTTCCGTCAGATGAAATACACAGCACATGCTGATCAAACAAACATAAATCTTAAAAGATTATTGTCTGGCATTTGAATCATATTTCAACAGACCAAAATCCAAGCAGCCGTAGATTAAAAAAACAGATTGTGACCGAAATGCTATTAGTCAAACTAATTTGGATCATGGAGAGACCAACCTTGCACACAGGTACCAAGCCAAAAATGTCAGAGCTCTTGAAAGGATTTGGAGAATCGAAATCATAATCTCTTGGAACTAGTTCTAACCCAACCTGTAAAACCATGAAATCAATAAAGAACTATAATTCTGATATAAGCAGCAGTATCTTAACCAGAGATACTTTACCTTCTGGCAGAGTCCTCGGAGGATGGAATTTTTTTTCAAATGATTGAACTCGGCTTTCTGTATCCACCCAAATTTTCTGGAGAGAAATTTCTGTAGCCACTGTAATCTGAGACAATACTCTTCACTGGGGATCCTATCACACCCTTCCAATTCACGGCAGCCAAGCATGAAATTTAATGAAGCAGCTACTGCCACAGGTAGCTCGGCCATGTTATTGACAGATGCAATAACCGCCCTAAGAAGATGCTTGAAAGCTCTTGTAATCATCTCATGAATACAGAGAGACTGTATATGAGGAAGTTTCTCAGCAAGTTTAGCCTGATTCATAGGTATAGTGGACCAAAATACTCATTAGCAACTATTTACCATAAACCACCTCTGATCTCAAAAAAAATCCCTTTAGATCAACATATTAGCTTTACTCTTTTAAAATCAAAATAACTTGGCAACAGGGAAAGGGTATTCTTACCACATGTCCTAGCGAACGCATTTGGAGACCTCTTATATGCATGAAGTCAGTCATTGTGCGACCATCGACCGGAGAAAGCTCCAGTGACCCGAAATCTGCTACCTAATAAACCATTACAATGATTACTTGATAACTATGGTTAAAGATATTTTTCAGAAATTTATATTTCGTTACCTAACTAAACACATACCAGCCTTGGCAAAGCAATTTCATCATAGTAACCATATACCATCTTGGTAAGCTCTTCTTTTGACTGTATCACAAATAACATTCGAGTAAGCACCACGGTGTCCATCAAAGAATAAAAAAGGAACCATACATAAACAAAACCAGGAAATTATCCTCTCGTGGTTACTAGTGCAAAATGAAAGAAAAGCTAACCTTTAAATGGAGACCGGTTCCAGTTTCTTTTAGGCGAGAGAAAGCTTCTTCAGAAAGCAGTTCCTTCAGTTCAGTCTCAAAATACTCATCAGTACTTTTATGCCCTAGATCAGCCTCTCCGTTTAATCCGTGTAGTCTGATATCTTTTTCTTTTTCCTTTTCCTTCAAGGTGCTTGTATTTTCTGATTTCTTGCTTTTGCTCTTTAGAACTTTAAATTGTTTTCCCAAGCCTTTAACTGAAAGTTCAATCTGATCATTAGTTGCAGGCTTTCCAGAGACGTCTGTTTCTTTCTTTTGTAGATGCTGAACCCAGCAAGAACCGAGCTCCCACCTAATAGGTCTCACAGAAGATACCCTTTTTTCTTCTAACTTTGCTAAGTTAATTTTTACTAACTCCAGTACAATACACCTATAAGACTCTAAGTCATCTGAATCAAGCTGTGTGAGCTGGTTCTCTCCGAATGATCCAACACTGTGGGATCTGTGAAGCTGAACCCTTAAGCTGCAATATAGTTAACATTCAAGGTGGAAAACAAGAAGTTAGATGCGCACATGTCTTTTCGCAAGGGATGAGAAAACCGCAATGTTATAGATATAGTCAGGAACAACCTTTGATATATTCATTTAACAATTAATAAAAATGTAGAGACCCACAAAAAATAGAACTTTTAATATGAACATATATGATGAGCAAAATACGTATATTATTAAAATTCTTAGGGGCACATACCTGTTAAGGTTAAGAGCATTGGCTCCTCCCTCCGGCAGGTCATCAATCAAAATGTCACGGCAATCAGACATTGCCTTGTACGTTTTACCCTCGACATATACCACCGCTGTATATCCACAGTGCCTTACACTAACTGTGCCTAAAGCCGGAGTATCCTGGAAAAATATTTCTTCATTGCTTATACTCTTTAGAAGAAAACATATATGCATGAAAAGTAAATACATTGTAGATAATTACAGCTCTAATCTAATTCAGGTCATCTAAGAAAATTGCTATTTGAATTGATAATGATGTTAGCAATATCTTTTAGTGCAGAAACAGTCATTTTCTACAAATAGGAAAATACAGATTGACATAAACAACCTCTTGGTGGCGAAGGTAAAAGTGAAGAAACCAGCCTCTGGAAACATCATTACTTTATAATGATGTAATGAAGCTAACAAGGACGCAAAACATAGCAAGTTCAAAGCCCATACCATATTACATGTAGATAGTTGAGGAAAGGATGAGAAATAACTTACGTGAACAATCACACTCTCATCAGCTGTTATCCCTTTTAGCAAATTCCTTACAGCAAGTTCCATGGATGATAGAACAAATGCTTCATTTTGAAATGCAGCTTCAGACTTCGCGTCAAGGCTGGCTATATCACGTTTTACAATAATAGACAAATCCCCAACATGATCCTCAAGCAGGATCGAGGCTGCAGGTATTCCAGTAGCCCCAACTGTGTGCTGATTAGTATCCATCACGTCGCAAATGGCTCTAACAGCTCTTCGCACCGAGGTATCGACAAACTGATTATGAAGCAAGAAAGCTTTCTTATCTCGAATAACCCTCTCCTCGTCAGTCTTGCAAGGAAGCGTAGCTAATACAGAAAAATCTGCTGCCCAAGGTCGAAGATCATATTCACCATGCATCCCCTGACCTCCACCATTCCCGCCCCAATGTCCATCCTCTGTTGGTAAAGGAGAAAAAGTTGAAGGAGACTCAGAAACGGGAGGAGGTACAAGCCATGTATTACTGCGTAATCCATACGGGAGGTTGCCACACTGAAAAGACAAAGAAGCCAAACATAAAAATTGTTGAGCTTGAAAACAATCCTCAAAACTCCAATCATTAACTTGAACTAAAACAGCATTCACCTTATTCCGGTCAGTGAAAGCAGTCATTAGAGATTCATATGCCTGCATCAATTCCCAATACATTGTTGTAAAAGCTTGTTTCTTTGTGAAAAATGTGTACAATGCAATGCCATAAATAAGAAAAGCAAAGCATGAAAAGTTGAAAATACCTTGGCAAAAGCATTGCTGACATTCTGGAGCAAATCAACAATGGAATGACAATGTGAGAGATGCTTCCCAACGGCGAAGAACCCTTTCACCGAAGCAATCACATGAATAACCTTCCCATTGCAGATCTTAACCTTAAGTCCAAAATAGTAACCATCACGATCACGCCTCTCTCCAGCTTCTTCACCATCGACTTTCTTCAAATCTGCAGATCAAAATATGAAACGAGGAAGAAGCAATGAGCTACAGGAAGCTGCTGTGGAAATGTCAGTTAACCATAAAGAGATGGTGAGTGCTGGTAACTTACGAAGAATCGGAGGAGAGAGGTGAGAAATGGAGAAAAAGTCGTAAAATTGAGAAAGTTTAGGAGTGGGGTGGATAGCGACCATGTCGAGGCCCTCCGGTGAGGCCGGCGCCTGAATGCCATTGTTGCCGGCGACGATGGGTTTGTTGGGGGGTGATTTGGCGGAAGCGGAGGAGAACCTGGTGGTGCATGCTACGATGTCTACGACTCTCCGCACCTGATCCCAAGCTTGGCTTTCCTCCAGGTACTCCTCTGTGGCAAAAATGGTAAATAGTACAAACTTTTAAGGGTAAGCGAAGAAAATAGTAAACGAAACGCATAGAGATACGAACCAATTACAAATTTTGGTATTGGTGTCTCTCTAAAACAAAATTAAACAATGATTAGTGCAATATCTCACTGTCACTGACACTGTCTGTGCCACTTACACAAAATTTGAAGAGGAAATGGGAATGTTGTGTATTCGTTTTTCTAATTCGCAATTATAAAAACTAAATCTAGTGGGAACATTTTCGTAACTAACCAGGAATCATGCGGAGGAAACAAGGCTTGAGGGAAACAACTTGGATGTTGTCACTCAATTTGTGCCCTTTCACCTGTACCAAAATCATATCATCATCATCAGTTCAGTGATAAAGCTGTGAGATTAGATATTATTATTATTCACACCCTTAAAAAAATATCTACCTTATGGGAGAGAGAGTAGTTGGTGAAATGGCAAGTCTCAACGTGAGATGCCAAAAGCCTTCTCACATCAATGATTCTGTCAGTAGAGACTCCCTTGAGTATCACCTGAGTTTCGTACGGAGTTGTGACTGTGATCTCAACAAGACTCGGTGCCAACAACACTTTCTCTTCTCTCTTCTTCTTATGGTCTCCTCCTCTCCCTCTGCTGTTTGATTTCCCTTTGCTCGACCTCGGTGCCATTGATCCTTAAAAGGTAGAACAAAATTAGATCATACATATATATAAAAGATTGTAAAAAGTGAATGGAATCCGCACAGCTCCGTTAAAGCAAAAACCAAAACCCGGAATAGTCAGACAGTGGTAGGTAGGTAGGTAAGGTAAGGTACCTTGGAGAGAAGATTCTGAGCAGAGCAATCAAGAAAGAGCCTTAAGAAAAGAAAAAAAAATAGTAGAGAGAGGGGTGAAAGAAGAGAGGTGAAGAGAGGATATATAAAAAAGAGAGAAGGATAAGGCCACAAGGGTTTTGGATGGGTTTACCACTTTGGTATTTTTGGATTTATGACCAATCCTGACCTCTCCTTGTCGCTAACGCCAAATCTCTATATCTATCTCTCTCTTAATTAGACGTTACATGTGATTTTGATGTTTTCACATTTTAAGGCCCCCAAACCCAATCACAGTCCCATGCAATTCGACCGAGGATGAGAGATGATGGTTCAAATTGATACACGTGGCACTATTAGTGGTGGGGACGCTGACCCTCTTGTCCGACTCCGTTTTGTTTGTTTTCGCTTTTTTATATTAATCAACGGTTCGAATCCTCTGGCTCACTGCAGTGTTTTTTCTTTTTCTTCTTCTAGTGGTTGCCCACTCAAAGTCAATTGTCTCTTTTTCATAATATAAACCCACCACACCACCTACTTAAATGTCTTAACACACACACACATAATGAGCACGAGTTACACTCTTTCTCCTTCTTTATATTACTTTCCAACGTTAAACCTTTTGGTACACCAAATACTTTCAAATTCTGTGGCAACCCCAATATATTCACCCACCTGGCCACCTATACATTGAAATCAATCTACTCTGCATCTGAATGATTTACAAACAATGTTACCTATTACAAACAATGGATACTACTACCATTATATCCCCAAACTTTTTTCATTTTACACTTTAATTCCCCCCCCCCCTCCCTCCTCTCACTAGTTACCTATTATTCCACCCATTAAGAGGGACTGTTAGTGCAAATGGAAGGACCCAAAACGTCAAATACTTCCAAAGTGTCGAATTGCAGAAGACCAAGTATGAGAATGGGACAAAAATGACAGGTTACAAACAAGTCTTCTTACTAATGTGAAACTTTGTTTTTCTTTTTTTTTTTTAATTCAAAACTGATCAATTGCTGGTTACATAAAGCAAGAAAGAACCAAAACAATAAGAACCAAACGAAACAAAAGCATTTTCAATTTCATAAAGTTCCAGTTTTCAACCAGTCCTTGGTGCACAAGATAGCCTCCAAGGTTACACGAGAAAGAGAGGTCATGTAACTGTCCATCTGCTTCACCTCTGCTTCGAATACGGAATCAGGTGAGACGGTGGTGAAGGGGACTGAGAGAAGATCAACAGCCATCTTTGAGAGGGTAGGGTAGTTGGTGCTGTTGAGCCTCCACCAGCTCAGAACGTTAAAGTCTTCTGACCTCGGAGTCAAAGTTTCTTCCAGGTATTGATCCAGCTCCGTTTTCATCTCTGACATGTACATCTCGAAGTCTGATAGTGATTCTCCTATTGTGATGAGGGTAGACCCTTCCTCCAGAAGCACGTCAACCGGAAATGTTGTGTTGTCTTCCTCTGCCATTGCATGTGCTTGAGAATCATCACAATGTTGCTGATCCTCTTCTGTTGGCTGACTTTCTTCACTCACTCCCTCCCAAATCCCTACCACATTTTGCTTATCTACCTTAAGATGTCCCTCGTGTTGATGTGACTCTGTGGTTTTCTCTAATTGAGGACTTGTCTCATCACCTGATTGCCCATTCCCTTCCCCCAGAAGCACGTCAACCGGAAGTGTCGTCTTGTCTTCATCAGCCATTGCATGTGCTTGAGAATCATCACAGTGTTGCTGATCCTCTTCTTTTAGCTGACTCTCTTCACTCTCTCCCTCCCAAACCCCTCCCACATTTTTCTTATCTACCTTAAGCTGTCCCTCGTTTTGATGTGACTCTGTGGCTTTCTCTAGTTGAGGACTTGTCTCACCAGCTGATTGCCCATTCCCTTCCACTAGAAGCACGTCAACCGGAAATGTCGTCTTGTCTTCATCTGCCATTGCATGTGCTTGAGAATCATCACAGTGTTGCTGATCCTCTTCTTTTAGCTGACTCTTTTCACTCTCTCCCTCCCAAACCCCTCCCACATTTTTCTTATCTACCTTAAGATGTCCCTCTTTTTGATGTGACTCTGTGGCTTTCTCTAGTTGTGGTGGACTTTTCTCACCACCTGATTGCCCATTCCCTGTATTGGTATCTTCAGCCATGTCTTGATGCAAGTGAGATTCCTGAGTCACTTCTATTTCCGAAAAGCCATGATCCACATAAGCATCCAACAGGTTTTGTTCACTGTAATTAAGGTACAGATCATGGACTGCATCATCAACAGTCTTGGTCCATTTTTTTGCATCTGCACCATACGTCTTATTGAAGGTGAACTCGATGAGGTGCATTTTGAACCGGGGATCCAAGACCACCGCAACTGCCAAAACCAGGAAGCATCCTCTCCAGTATTGGTCGAATTTTTCCCTCATCGTGTTTGCTAGGCTTCTGACATCCGGGTCTTCACACATGGCAGTGTGGCTCAGCTCTAGCTGAAGCTTTGTCATCTCATGGTAGAAATCGTTTGCTGTCAACTGGTTTGGCCTTGCCAAGACATTACCTGCTTCGAAAAGAGCCTTCAAGCATGAGCAGAGACTCTCAATCTTTCTCCATTCTTCAGGAGATAAACTTATTTTGTACTCAGGATGGCAAGTTTCCAAACTAGAAAACACTTGTCTGTGTTCACAGGCAGCCAACAACATGTTGTAACTTGTGTCCCATCTCGTTTGGCTGTCAATGAGAAGATCTTTGTAAGTTGAAGGGGTTGGAAACTGTTTCTTCAGGTCATCGAATATGTCTCTGCAAACCTCGTTGGTTTTAACATACTTGATGCTATCTCTGACTTTCTTTATAGGTTCTTGGAACTGTTCAGCTGCAAGTACATCTTGCGCCATACTGCTTAGGAGGCGAGCATAACATCTTCCCATCAACAACTGACCATTCAACGCATGCTGATTCCTGACAGACAAATAACCTCTGAGATTATCAATGGAGGTTTTATTCACTACTGATTGGCTCACAGCGATGCTCGAAATCTTCCCTTCCAACTTCCAGTCTGATAAGCAAGCTGCGACAGGTTGGTTTAAAGCAAAATCTGAATCTGGAGAAGCCACAACAGCAACATTTAGAAGGCGGTGAGTCAAATTCCAGTCTTTATCAATGAAGTGTCCAGTCAGAAAAGCATAACCTACTGATTGCTTTGATGAACACAAGTCTATTGTAAGATTAATTCCCCCAGGAATCTCTCCAATAAGGTCCAAAATTTTCTGCTTTTGGGACAAAAACATGGAGACACAATCATGATGAATGGTGGTGAAGTTTGGCACACTGAACTGGGGACGAAGAGCCTGGAGGAAACCAAGAAAACCAGGATGCTCGACCATATGAAGAGGGTAATCATGCATAATGATCATCTTGGCCATCTCATGGTTGCAGCGATCTTGATCTAGAGGAGGCTGAACATGAGGAGAAGATAGTCGACGTTTCTTAGGAAGGTAGGAAGTGGTTTGCAAGACCTCTCTGGTTTCCTCCTTGACTGGCGTGAGGTTCTTGAACTCGTCCCTCTTTGGACAAATACCCAATTCAATGTGACGCTTAAGGTGGCTAGTTCCTGAAGCCTTAGTGGCAGTCATGAAGGCAAAGGATTTGTTGCAGTGCATGCAACGAGCTTTTTTAGTGTCAGGACTAACAACTTCCGTGACAAAGTGATTCCACACATCAGACTTCTTTTTCCTACGCGTATTGGTTTGTGTATCAAAATCCATCTCAACAACAGCAACTTCGACATCAACTAAGTCTGAAGGATTAGTGTCGTCCTCCATAATCCTGAAACAGAGAAGGCAAACTGAATCAATTATCCACATATATGATTTGCTTTGACACACAATTCAACAATTTTCATGAGAGGAAACGAAGGGAGAAGAGACATATTAGACAAGGAAACAAAACAATTCCGATAAAAACAGAGTAGAAGACAGATCTCAACACCACAGCGAACTCTTGTCTGTATTCACAAAAACCAGAAATCAAAACGAAAAAGAAGAAGAAGAAGAAGAAGAAAGAGAGCGGTAAAGGGTACTCACACACACACACACAAAGGAAGACTCTGAAACGCGTGTAATGGGCTCTGAAACACCAAATCGCTAAAGAGCTAATCGAATTGGACTTTCAATTTTAGGGTTTTGAGCTTTTTTTTTCTTTTGCCGTCGGCCCTTTTCTCTGCTTTTACTTATATATAATCAGGACGATGAATCTCTCTCCCTCCCTCCACCGTTGATCTATCATCCCCACTTTAAATCTGGTCCCTTTATTTAGTCTCTCTCTTTTTTTTTCATAACATTTTTTAATTCCCCTAAATTTCCAAATTGGCACAGCTCACTGCTCATAGACTAAAAAAGGAAAAAGGAAATACGAATTTTGCTAAATCAGCATAACACATAGAGCAACAGTCCCCAGTCGGAAGCCACGAGTTTTGAAACATATTACTATTTTCAAGATTCTGAGACAAGAACCCACGGGACCCCCTGATTACTCCTCACAATGCTGCTAATCTTCAACAAATTCCATGAAAGTTACCTAAGAGCTTCTCCACTGGTAAGCCTTTTAGAGGTACTTATCCATTTTGTGGGCCTGTAATAAATGAGAAAAGAGTGAACAGGGCCCAAAACGAGAAGAATCGTTTCTGCTTCAGGTAACCAAAGAAACCATTAAGTACCGTAACGTGGCGATCTTTGATTGGCTGTTGAAAAAATAGAAAAAGAAAAAAAGATTTTTTCACCCATTTTTCTCTTCTTCCCCGAACAAAAAATCTCTTTTCTCTCTCGACCTTCTGCGGCGAAAGCACAACCGATTGGCTTCTCTCCGGCAAAATCAAGCGATTAACCTTCAATTGTTTGAGTTCTTCATAGTAAAAGATGCGAGTTCTTCGTTTGTGAGATCGATATCAGTTTGGATCCGGTGGAAATCAAAAATCCGGTGGAAATCGAAAATCCGGTGGAAGTGTGGATTCGGATCCGACGAGGTCTGATAACGACTGCGTGGGGGAACGGCGTCTGATAGCCACTACGAAAGGGAACTGCGCAAGGGAACAGCGAGGTCTACCTTCGCACATCGGTCTGAGAAGGTGAGTTTTCTCATCTCCAGTGTTCTGCATGTCCTTCTACTTCATTGCTTGAGGGTATGGAATTTTTAGGGTTTCTAGTCCGATTGTGAATAAATTAAATCGGTATGAGTGATAGGGTTAACAATCTGTATTGGGATCTAGGGTTTATGTTTAATCTCAGAGCCTAGTTTTAGAAACAAAGATTACCATTTTCATATATGACTTATTCAATTAAGAACTCGATTTTTGGTCCTTTTTTTGTAGAGATGGAGATGGAGTCTTCAGCTGCGAAAATATACAGAGTGAGAAGAACAAGAAAGTGACTGATTTAATAACACCATTTCTCTGTCTCTATCAGATCATTCTCAGGTTAGCTAGGGATTAGCTTATGTTGGTTGCCTCTTTGTTTCGAGCTCCAAGAGTTACCTATGTTGTCAATGGACGACAATACAAAATGGCGTACTACCTCACCGACGGTATCTATCCCAAATGGGCTACTTTCATTCAATCAATTACACTTCCAGAAGGTCAGAAAAACAAACTCTTTGCTGAATGTCAAGAATCATGTCGAAAAGATGTAGAGCGTGCGTTTGGAGTCTTACAAGCTCGTTTTGCAATTGTTAAGAATCCCGCCCTTTTTTGGGATAAGAAAAAAATCGGAAAAATAATGAGAGCGTGTATCATATTGCACAACATGATTGTTGAAGACGAACGACATGAATACGGTTTTTACGATCCCTCCGAGTTCTATCAGCAAGAAGGAAGCGGAACTTCTCATGTGGACTTATCGTATTCTAGAGATATCCCAACAAATCTCACTAATATGATCGGCATTCGAAATGACGTCCGTGATACGAAAATGCATGAACGTCTAAAAAAAGACTTGGTTGAGCATATTTGGCAAAAATTCGGCGCATCCCGACAATAGACCCAAGTTCGTTTCTTTTCTCAATTCCCATTTACTCTATTGCAATTTATGTACGTCTTTTTAATTGTTATGTAATATATTTGCAATTATGAATTATGTAAAATATGTTTCTTTAATTTTAATGTAATATATTTGAATTATGTAATTTTAATTTTCCTCTTTTGTATCATATGTTTCCAATTTTAATTTTGAGTATGCATTATATCATATGTTTCCAATTATGAATTATGTAAAATATGTTTCTTTTTTTCGAATGTAATATATATAATTTAAATTTTTCAATTTTGTATAATATGTTTCTAATTTTTGAATTTTGTTAAATATTTATTTTTCTTTTTAGTGTAATCTATGTAATTTTAATTTTATATTGTTAATTTCCATTATTTATTAATTTATTAAAATTTGAAATAAATATATTATAATAATACTTAAGTACCCTCTATTAAGGTTCTCTAGTGGAAGGCTTTTTTTCTTTAACATTGCTAATTGAATTTTTTTATTAGTTTAATTAGAATTTAATTAACCAATTAATGTTAAGTACCCAAGACATAGACTATGAGTGGAGTTGCTCTAAGAGACGGCTGACAAATGGTTTGACGTCAAACACTTCAAACTCATTCATATGCTCTCCTGTTTCAATGAACATCACAGGACTTTTTATAGCTGCAACACTAAAAAAATGAAAATGGCTCAGATTCACTTATATAACGAGAAAACCCTGCAATATCTTGACCATTTCGAGTACACATGATACATACGCGCTAAGAGCACCACCGCCCTTGGCATGGCCGTCCATCTTAGTAATAATTACAGCTCCAACAGCAACAGTTTGCTTAAATGCTTGAGCTTGATCAAATGCAGCTTGACCAATACTGCTATCCATAACAAATATGACAAGATCTGGTTTCTGTAAAGTGAAAAGACCATGATCAAAGCCTCAAATATCAACCAGTTATAAACAAAAGACTTCAAGACAAGAGCGCATACCGTTGCTTCAGCAACTTGACGCATTTCTTCAAAGAGTGAAGCTTCTTGTTTATGGCGACCACTGGTGTCAACAACAATAAGATCACAGTTTTCTTTCCTAAACCTCTCAACTCCCTCAACAGCAATTTTCACAGGATCAGATTATGTGTAGCTGGAAAGGATCACAACTCTGCATTAGCACATTCTAGAAAACAGTTTTAATCCAGAATATCTTCTTTTCTATTTTTCCATTTCTCCCTGTTACTGTCATTATATAATTACAAAACTTCAAGTAGCATAGTCGCAGTTATTTGCAAATAGAGACAGAAGATGATTGAAGACTAAAAGATTCCATTGTCACAAACAGTTGAGCGCTTAGGCAATGATGTGAGATCATGTGATAAAGTCTCACTGTGTAATGAACTCCAGCAAAAGGAGCACAAAAAATACAGACAAAAAGGGCTTATAGAACTCTACACAGAAAACTGGAGAAGTAAGAAGAAACCTACTGGACTGGAAGATCCAATGAGAAACATATTCAAGTAACTTTAGTGCTTTTAAGAGTAAAAGCATTTAAGATATAAAGCTTCACACAGAGGGGAAAGGCAAGAATAAGATCAGATAACAGTGGAATGGGGTAGAACCCAAGTATTACTCTCCAAAATATTCCATTGTTAGTGCAAACATCCTTCAGTAACCAGTTTTTATATTTCTAATGTTTGTGGGTAATACGAAACTTTCCATATTCAATACAACTTATGATGTAAATTAGCCTGTTAATAGGGGGATACAAATAATCAACAAATAGAAGAAGAGCCTGAATGTTGTATATATATACGTATATACAAGAACAGGTTTTAAAAATGTCAATATTGTTGTATTTCTTACTTCTGTACATTACCACTGACTCCAGAGCATATAGTGGTCTATGACTGTGAAACATGTTCCTTCATACTAAAGTAACTGACATATATGAGTTGATGAAAAGACACAAGTTCCTAACAGGCAGATTCAAGATCACAGCATTTTAGTTTTACTCTGAAATTGGGACTCCGACAAAGCTCTCAACTGGATGATCCTGATCCCTTCAGAGGTGAAGGAACTGCCGGGTACAACCTTTTTAGCTTCTTCTGCTCTCCGAACTGGTGGATGGCGTCTTGAATCCCTGCAAATGCGACCACAAACTCGGCTGTATCTGTTTGATTCAGCAGCTTCTTCATCACCAGCTCCAACACTTTATACCTGCCAACCATCGCAACATTCTCTCATATCTGCTGACCAAAGCTTTCACTTAACTCAACAAGACTAAGACATTAACAACTATCTATCTACTGGTGTCAGGTATATTTTGATGGAGAGAAAAACAAACCTGAGTCGTTGTGCCTTTGAGATGACTTTATGGATGTTCCCAAACAGCTCCTGCACAGAACGCAAAGCTTCTTCATGCGACCGTGTACTGCAGAGTGGTGAAAAGGGGAGGTGCAGAACACAAGTGGCTTGAATTTCTGCATATTCCTCATCGATAACGGCCTCCTCAATGCGTATCTCACGGAGAAGCTGAGAGAGTACACGTTCACTCGACTCAGACAGAGAGAAGGAGGGATTTTGAGCTGCCAGAATGCGGACAAGGTCAAGAATGGAGGTCGGACGCCAATCTCCAAGCCAGGCCACAGCAGCAAGCTCATGAGGCGGTAGCCACGTGGGCAGGACGAGGCTAGAGACATCCTTTAAGGACGTTGAAACCATGGATTTGTAGTAATGGGACTGGTATCTGCTCAGCTGTTCTTCAATCAGTTCATCCAATTCCCACCTGGATTTAAGCTCTTTGTCTAGTCTTGCAGCTATGCTGTTCTGTTCTTGCCTCCACAGTTCATACAAGTCTCCAGAAAGTTCTTCACCTGACCAAAACAAATATATTATGCTTTGTAACATCATCACCTTTGTCAAAGAACATCATCACTTACTTAAGCATGATGACAAAACAGATAACATTGCCAAGCCTTTATCAAAGTTTCACCACCTACATAACTCAAAACAAACTTTACTTTAAGAACCCTTTGCGCTTATACCTTTTCTAGACGAGTCGTGGTGGTGAGATCTCCCGGTTCTTTTAGACGATATATTACTAGCAGCTTCTCTCTCCAGATCATCCCATGAAACTTCTTCTCCATTATTGGGTTCTTCAAATCCATTCTCTTCACTAATATGCAAGAAGACATACCAATTAATAAAATTAGCTGATTCGCACAAACACCATATCTTTTAATCTCATTCCACATTCAAATATCCTCAACTGCATCCATATCCATTATGAAATTCATCAAAGAGAGGCCATTTTTGCATCAATTCACATCCGCAATCTCATAAAGAAACCGAACTACTAATTAAGAGAGGAAGCGTTTATGCATAGTTCGTCTCTTAGAAGAAATACGAAATAAAACCCTAAATCCAAGCGATCGAATCATAAACACACACACAAAATCTCCAAACAGAAGTCGACCAAATTTGGAACGATCACGCTCATTGAGAGTAATGCAGCGAAGAAAAACGAACGAAGGAAGAAAGATACGAAGAGAGAAGACACTCACAAGCGCGCCACTTCCATTACTCTCGCCATCTTCGGTGTTTCTTCAGTACTGATTTCTTTCCCACGTTCTTGGATTCACAACTCGATTCATTCGCGAACGCGAGGGAGTGTAATAGAATTTAACAGAGAAAAAACAAAAGAGTGAGATGAAGGGCTATATTCGTCATTAAACATATAAATGGGCTATATTCGTCATTAAACATATCAATGGGCTATACATTTAAGGCCCAATTAATTATCTTCTCTGGTCTTACCTGCCCGCTTACCAAAACAAAAAAACTAAAAAGTCACAATAATTGGTGAGATGTAGCGAGAAAAAAAACACAAATTGGTGAGATGCCACGCGTTGCATGTCACAAGCAATAACAAGTACTGATTGCCACGTGCTCTGGATCGTCGCAAGCAGTCCTGATCCGTAAGCATGAAAGTTCGAGCCAAGATCGACACTTAAAATGCTCGCGAAGCAACACGTTTCCACTCACGACACACTAGTCAACTAACAATGCAACAAGACAAGCGCGAAGACGATCACAGCCGTCTGACTAATGTCACGGCCAAAGATCTAACGGCCGGAAATCGACGGCTTGTGGAGGTTCCGTACACGGCAACTCTCTCCCACGCAATGAACACATTGGTGGCTAACTCTATCTCCGCCCTCCCTGTGGCTGCGCCTCCAGGACACTGGATCGGAGCTGGCGGTTCCATGATCATGGAGTCTGATAAACAAACTGGAGTTGTAAGAAAACACTACATAGGGATCCTCACCATGCTCGACATACTTGCTCATATCGCCGGCGATGGTTCTGATCTCTCTGATCTTGATCGCAAGATGGGTTCACAGGTGTCATCCATCATCGGTCATTGCCTCGAAGGACTCAGTCTCTGGACACTAAACCCTAATACCAGCTTCTTAGAGTGCATGGAAGTGTTTAGCAAAGGGATCCACCGAGCTCTAGTGCCAGTGGAGAGCAGCATAGAGAGCAGTAACACCATTGCTGGAGTTGAGTTGATTGAGTCAGCCTCTGCTTACAGGATGCTTACTCAGATGGATCTCTTGAGGTTCCTTAGAGACCATCACTTTGACGACCTCAAGACTGTTCTCTCACGCTCTATCTTCGATCTCAAAGCCGTTAATGATTCCGTATACGCCATCACAGAAAGAACAACTGTTTCGAGTGCTATCAACGTAATGAAGGGTGCTCTGCTCAACGCTGTCCCCATCGTTAACGCACCTGATGTAGCACTGGAGGATCATCTACAGCTAATCAATGTAGGCTTCATTATAGATATATACTTCATTATGTAGAATAATGTATTTTACTTCATTTGTGTGTTCTGAGATTACAGGGGAGGCGTAGGAAAGTTGTAGGTACATTTTCGGCCACGGATTTAAAAGGATGTCGCTTGCCGGAGTTGCAGACGTGGCTGCCACTCACAGCTCTGGAGTTCACTGAGAAAAATGCGGGGAAAGAGAGAGACATGGTTAGTTGCGGTGTGGACGCAACGATGGAGGAAGCCATAGAGAAAGTGGTGACCAGAGGAGTGCACAGAGTGTGGGTGATGGACCAACAGGGTCTGCTTCAAGGAGTTGTCTCTCTTACTGACATCATACGCTCCCTAAGATCTGCTCTTTTGTGAACGATGAGCTCACTTTGTTTTGTTTTACCTGAATAATTTAACTATGTATTCTCATGCTTCGTAAGATCTGCTCTTTTGTAATCACTCGGCTGTGTGATCTTCGACTTTTGATGACTTGGCGTCACTCTGCATTCATCTAAGTATGTGAAAAAGAAACAGTCTAAATGCCTAACATTAATAATACAACAAAGTACAAACGTACAAACGTCAAATGATAATGAACTGAACTACATAGACATTAGATCTACCAACACATACAACAACCACTCATAATGTTAAAGCTACACCTGAAATCACAACAAACTCTTCACGTTCTGTGCTCTGTACAGAACGATATAAGTTTTAACAGCTAACGGAAGCTGCAGCTCCCTGTTGAACTTGATTCGTCTCCAAGCTTCTGTTTGTGTCCTCTGCCTCCATGTCGTTACTCTTCTCCTCTGCTGCAGCTTCCGTCTTCTTAACATCAGATTCTTTGGTTTCGTTCTCCTTATTTGCTACAGCGTCTGTCTTCTTCTCATCAAGTGCTTGAGTTTCATTCTCCTTATTTGTCTCAGCTTCTGTCTTCTTCTCATCAGTTTCATTCACCTTGTTTGCCTCAGCTTCTGTCTTCTTTGCATCAGATTCTTTGGATTCTTTTTCCTTATTTGCTTCAGCATCTGCATCAAGATTCTGTTCTCCGTTAGCTTCTGTTGTCATACTGCCCTTGTTCTCGGTCTCTTCCTCTGTAGGCTTCTTCTCTCCATCACCCTCAGCAACAACTTCCTGCGGTTCTTTCATTTCAGTGTCCTTTAGGCCTTCAACTTTGGAAGGTTTCTCAGCTCCACTCTCAGTCTTCTTCTCCAACTCAGAGATATCCACTTCCATGGGATCTTTCTTGTCCGCCACAACTTCTCCCTCTTTGTTCTCAACTTCAGTCTTTTCACCCTCTACAATTTCTGCTTGACCCTCCTTCTCAACCTCAGTCTTGTCACCCTCTTTATTCTCCTTTTGGGCATCTGCAATTGCTGTCACTTCCTCCTTCTCAGCTTCCGCGTTTTCCTTCTGTCCATCCTTGTCAACATCCATGTTCTCCTTCACAGCAGCCTCTTCGCTCTTCTCAGCAGCCTCCTTATTGTCCTTCTTTGTGAGAGAAGATCTTCTCTTCTTCATGAGGGGTTCTTTGTCGGGAGTAGGCGTTGTTGCCTTCACCTTTTGGCTGATCCTTGACGACCTCCTTGGAGTTTCCCCAGTCGTCCACTCAAACTCAGAGATGAGAGGATTCCCAGGATGAGCCTTCAGATACTGCTCCAGCTGCTTCCGCGAGCTGATCTCTTCACCCGTTGGGGCAACGAACACAATCTCTGTCTTTCTCGGAGTACCCGTTCTTTTCGGATAAAACTGAAACAAACACAAGCTTCTACTAATCACATACCAAAGTTACATTCACTAGCAGCAACACAGGACGAAATCTATACGAAACCCCCAAATTTTACCATCCAAATCTAGGGTTTATGGTGTATTCATAAAAAAGAAACCCTAATTTGACCCCCAAGAAAGCCCTAAGCGTTAAATTCTCATCTAATTATATTATTCCACATGAATTCAACATAGAGAGCCACAAATCCACCTCGAAACAAAACATTATCTTAAAATCCCCCAAATCGAGCATAAACCCTAGACCATAAGAAACAAACGAATCTAACTAGAGTAGAAAGCAGAACAGAGAAATAATTTCTTACACAGACGACATCAGAGACGGGGGGAAAAATTAATCACAGCAGAAATTTCAAGAAACAGTGAAAAATAAAACAAGAGGAGGGAAGAAAATACCAGTTTCTTCCATGAAGCAGGAGCTGGTAGCTCAATGGAGACAAGTTCTTCTGCGTTTTCCATCTTCGTATCTCTTCACCTGACACAGTAGTACCCAGAAACAAAACTACCACTTTAAAACTCTTATCTTCAGACAAAAAATTTCGGCTTTCTTTCCTTTCTGGTAATAAGCTGCTGCAAGAACCGTTGTGACCCTAATGGATATGTTTGCGTGTCTCTTCTGTTCTGTCTTAATTCTTTTTAATTCTTTTCCATTTTTATTATTTAAAAACTAAAAATTGATTTTTCTGTCTCCACGTAATCCACGAGAGCGTGGATGATAAATTTACACTGGGACGACGTGATAGCTTAGTGACAGACCTCTTTGAACGCTACACGTGTCCTGTGTAGCCGACGCTTCATCGATGGATAAGGAAGCATCTGTTTCCCGCTTAATAAAGTAGAATGGAGAGTGGGGTTGAGGTCCGGTTCGTGACCGCTGTTTTACCGGCGAATATGCTTCTTCTGATTATTCCCTGTAAACTCTACATGATAAAAGGCTTAAAAGCCCAAGTTAATTGGCCCATTTACATATTCTTTTTTTCTTGTACTTAAGTGGAGTACAATAAATTTAGGAATGTCGTCTTGAAAGATCAGCTGGGAGGTGGAATCAATGAGTGAGTGGGACAGGATACACAAGACATATTCCAGATTGAGGTACTGATTGGTCAAACCGAAATATTGGTCTTAAAGATGGTACAACAAGAGATATTTCTCATTTACGGTGAAAACGTATGAGCCACATTCTTAGTGTTCTTGATCCAATTCCATATGAAAGATGATACAACAAGGGCTTTCAGAGCCGAAAAACAAAACCGAAAAGAAAAAGAATCGGAAATGCCCGAACCAGTATGTATGTATGTCTTCCAAGTCTTGTTCATCAGTCGTATAGACCTTCTTGTTCCCATATGTCCACTAGAAAATCCACCATTTCCTGGTTTACAATTACAGCAGCAACACAGTTAATTGACTGGGATTCTCTTTAGCTTCCTGCATTCAGAAATTTGATTTACTTACGGTGAGAGGAATGGGTTGGGGAAATAACTTGTTGCTCCCAAGCAAGCTATCATACGACGCTGCATTCCAACTGCAAATGATAACATTCAAACATTGTCAGCCTTAGCCTTGGAAAACAATAGTGTGTAATGGAGTCACTCACTTGAAGTTGGCTCCTTGATTGCGATCCGGCAGGTTAGTGGTTTTTTCTTTGCCCACCCAACGCTCACGAGTCTGATTCCAAAGAAGAAGACCTGCAAACACGCATACTCACTTCATATATAACCATCAGAGAGCACTAGTGAGTATACCATAACGTTCCTACCACAAATCCACAAAGAAAGTACCTTGATTTACAAATTCAGGAGGAGCGTTAGTGTTCCTGGCACCAGAATGAGAATCAAAAGTCTGGTTGGATGATAAGCTCCCCTGAGAAGGGAAGGTGTTGTTGTCCATATCAACTGTGCTTGTCGACCAGAAATCTTCAGAGACACTCGGTTTCTTAATAGGTCGAGCAATGGGATTGTAAGGTGGATCCTTCAGAGTGGCGGGAGTTGATCTGTGTTCTCTGTAGCAAGCCACGCAGCCACTGCTCTGTTACAAAACCATAACTTCTGATCATTGCCCAAACATAATTGTAGTTTCACAATCAATCTTTCTATCAAAACTTGAGCGATAGCTTATCAGCATAAGCAAAACAACCGTACTTCTTCCCAGCAACAAAATTAGGCATGAATCCATCAGGATAGGAGCATATAACTCAGGAACAAAACTCATCAACCAGAATCTAAAATCTAAAAAAAAATCAATCAAACGACAATACTCTGCATATAATCCAAAAACATAAAAATCGAAAGGAAGAATCGCACCCCATCGATTTTGCAGTAAGCGATTTTACAAACCCAGGAGCTCCTATAGATCTGGAAAGCTCGAGATTTTCAGAGGGTAATCAATGATCCTTTGACAAACTTAACCAACCCTAAGATATAAAGAAACCAAAAGAAAGAACCAATCAACAGCGAACAAAACATGTTTTAATAATAAACAAACAGGAAAAAAAAAAAAAAAAAAATCAAGAATCTAGGAATCATACAAGCTTTTGCTTACCTGATTGATAAATCTCGTTGGTTAAAATAAAGTCGCTTCCTTTATCAACTGGGCATGGAAAAGAATCCTTGAAAAGACCTTTGGCTGCGGCTCCTTCTTGAAGAGGAAGAAGGAGAAGGAGAAGGGCTCTGCCCTCTTTACGTTTTCCCTTTTCCTTTCGCTTTAAAATGATTTGTTTTGTCCAAGACCCCATAGAAGTTATTATTCATCCCTCCAGCCGTTATACGGATCCCCTGTCCCTGAGGCTATTCTTGTAATCTAACATAATCAACCAAATCATAAAACTTGTAATAATTGATGAATGTATGTGTATATATGTCTTGTAAATTATATGGATAGTGTGTTTGGTATGATGAGCTTATACATAACTAAAAGTCAAAATAATTGTGCATCTTCCATGCCTTGTCCATTGTCTTATACTAAGACCCCACTCATCATAATTTCCAATACAGCTTGTATTCGTAATATTGTAATGTCGATAATGAATAATAGAGTCTGGAACAAATCAAGATCTAGCATAGAAACTAGAGTTGTTAACCATATTTGTATGAATACACTGAGTATTAAGGATGTATAGAGATGATGCTTTGGGTGTCAACACATTTATCACGATGAAGCATGCCGAGAGGTGGGAAAAAGTTACAAAACCGTCGTTTTTGGTCGTCTGTAGCAGCAGCCGCAGCAACAACACGTTCTCCATTTGTAGCAGGAAAAGTCACACTCGCACTTTGAAAATACTGAGCACAACCAAGACCACATGCAACACTTATTCTTCTTCTCCTCTGTTTTCTTCTTCTTCTTCTTTTTCTCCTTCTTATTCATCTTGCTCTTTCTTGTCTTCTTTATCTTCTTACTCTTTTTCTCACCAACAGGAAGGGGAAAAGGTTGAATTTTTCTCGGGGGTGCGTGATATAAACAATAGAAGTTGCTCGGGATACTGCTCAATGGGACATCTTGAGTTGACATGGAGTACTTCTACTTCTTTTGTTCATGACGACTATCCACTCTTGTTTCTCCTTTCACTTCAGATCTTTTCTCTATTGCACCCTCAGGCGTGGTGGATAGCAGAGCAGGGGAGTATCCCAAGAACTCACCCGTCATCAGAACATCTTCAGATTTTATATTGCTTTGAGGAGATACTTGAGCGTTTGACTGTCTATACCCATCAAATTTCAGACTAAACAAAGACTCATTCGAAACTTCGGTCCAACTCATATCCCCTGTCTTGCCAAACACCGATTGAGGGATTCTCTCAGGATCGTAGTTCCGTATACCTTCATTCATCAAAGGAACTGGTCGTGACCACGAAGGCGGAGATGGAACAGGTTGCACCTTGACATGAGTCAACCCCGACATTTCAGAGCCTTGAGATGAAGAAGCAGGCTGCGTCCTGACATGAGTCACACCAGATGTTTCAGAGCCTTGAGAAGAAGAAGCATTTGAAAGCTCCCCATTCTGCTGATGGCTCTTATCCTCAGAATATGCTTTGGACTCTTTGAGCTCAATGGCATCATCCCATGACACAGAGGAAGACAAGGAAGAAAAAGACAGAGATGATGATGTTAGGAAGATTTCCCTAGCAGGTCTTGACGTTATATTCCCTCTGTGACCACTCATATTCTCAAATAAAAGCTCTTATCAATGCACTTCTTCGTTTGTTAGCCTTGCAACATACTATATTCCGCTAAATTTTATTACATGAACAGATGATGTTCCACCGCCGACAGAGAATCTACCACTACTTCGGTGAAAGCTGAACCCTTGAGGCCATCATCACAAGCAACGTCCAATCTTTTGCATCCAAGCAGAGTTTAAAGAAAGCTGTAAGAATGATTTGAACAAGACTAATCAGAATCATAGCCAATCATGAATGACGTAAACCATAAGTATGAAATGTCAACATAACCTAACCTCAATTATATTTGAACCAAGAAAAAGAAAACAATAGGACGACGGAGAACAAATCCACGAAATTAAGTTCGAATGAATGAACACTAATTCTAAGGTGCCTCAGAGTTGTGATTATGGGAGATGTAACTTCTCGATTCGGTTATAAGGAGCTAGAAAATGGAAAACAAACGAATATATGGAGAGAAGATTTAGAAATGAACAGAGAGAACACGAAACAAAAAACCTTAAGAATTTTAGGAAAACGATGACCTGTGAAATAGAACAGTTGACGGTTGAAGGGAAACGGTTGGCATTTCGTGTTTCTCGAAGGCCTTTTTTACAACACTTGTTCTATTACGGGAGGGGTTGGTCACCTTACCTGTCCTCCTCCGCGCCAATCCTGTAAAACCTTAAACATGTTGGGCATCTTTACGGCCTTATTAGGCCCATATTGATTCAATCGGACCTAATTTGGTTCACACATGAGACCACGTGTACGCAAGTGAGAGTGCCAAAAAAGGAGATTCATAAAGCCGTAAAATTCGCTGTTAGGAAACTTTTGCCGTTTGGTGTTGGAAACACACCTTTGGGTGTCCTCTTGCAAATTATTTTCCCCTTTGGAGATTTCAATTCAATCACGTGATTTTCGTGTTTCAAAAAGTTTTGTGTTTACTATCCATCGTCCCAAAAAACCTTCTAGTATCATCATCACCCGTAGGATAAGTAACCAGGATGTAACGGATTCAAATTTGTTCTTTAAAAAATTTAGTCATGTTCAAGATTTTACTACCATACCCATATTATTTACATTTGAGTATTACTAATTTACTATCATTAATCATCCATATATATAAGTAGCGACAAAAGTCTACAGCAAAGAAAACAATAAAAAAAGGGATAGCTAGATAATTGAAAATAAAACATCACATGCAAGTTCCGAACACAAATATGAACAAGATTTAATGAAGAGACTAAAATTATGAAATATCGTTCATGGGAGTGGGGACCCTGTGAATAACCCAGCCACCACCACCAAATTAGCACCCCGGAACCAAAAAAAAAAAGTATATACCATAAAATATGTGTGTTATTAAATAATGATAAGCATACACACACACATTAAGCTAAAGATGTTTGCTCAAAAATTATAAGGAAATAGATATGAGATTGACACCTAAACATCGACAATTAGAGCTTACCTTGCTGTGCGGTACGTACGGTATCCAACTAAATATGTGGGTTGTGGTCGACAAAAGTACAAAACCTTCTACACTAATTATATTACACAATATATATATATACACATGGACCACCCTTTTCTTATTTTATTGTCCTTACTTTTACTTTTAACTTGTACATGCTGTCTAATTATATGCATAACTTTTCCTCCTGTGTATGTTGTTATATTTGATCGCGAGTGAACAACTACTTTTCCCAGCAGCTTATTACGTGTTTTCTTTATGTGGCAGTATCATTTCTCGGTTGTTTAATCCTCTAAAATTCCACTAGTGTAAATTTACGGTACTCCCACTTAATCAAGTATCAACAACAGCTTATAGATCGATACATTTAATTTGCGAATGACGCATGGGACTCACCAGTCGCACATCCCCATAGAGATGGATATTTCACACATTGGGGTCATCAGCCGTCAAAACATTGTTGGATTGAATCATTTCCTTTGTTAGAGATAGAGGCGAGCTCGTAAGTCAAGGTAATTTACATTACGTCGTCGAGATGTTCCTATCAATTATCATCATATGTATTAGAGGATTGGATTGATTTTGTAAGGATTATTTTTCTTTTTTATTATATGATCTCGTAGTCCATTTTCTAGATAGTTAATGACTTATCATCATTCTTCTTTCAAAAAAATATACTAGCTCATTTTCTCTATCCGTTTTTATTAGAATATAATGTTATTTCTTAAAATATTTATCACCAATTAGTTTGTGGTAAAAGAGTTTTTACTTATTAATCATCTATGCGTCTATAAAATTGTGTTTTTAGTTCATCATAGTTCATCCCAAAAATCTTATAAATACAGCACAAAGAGAAGAGTTTATAGGTAAAGAAAAAGAAACCTAATTAAGCCCATAAACTAAACGATCTTGACTTTAAACCATCGTTATTCGTCAAGAAACCTGAATTACAATGAATGGAGGTATTCTGCTAATTTTTCTTTGAATTTGTGTCATGTGATTAAACATGTTGCCTAAAAGATTTTAGGATTCATACAAATTACACTTACAGATTTTGCTGATTTGGACGATGGTTAGTGTTGGTTGCTAAGCAACATAGTAGTATTATGTAATGAAACATTACATGAACTGGTGTTCGGTATTAAATTACCACTCCCACTTAGATATAAAATTTAGCCGTTAATGGTGATCGCAAAAGGCTTATACGTACGTACGAAGTTGTAAACAAATATAAGTAAGCATAAAATTAAAGAGAGAGGGAGAGGCGTAGTACGTACGTAGCTATATGATGTGGACGATTGATTAAGATGTACGTATGCTAAAAACAATATACACGGCCATGTGATACTTGTACAACTTGTGCCTCGCTACATATATACGATTCCAACCTTCGAAATTTAAATTGTTTACACTTATAACCATCCTTCACACTAGCAATCACTCTACACCAACAACTCCAACTAAATTCTCTCTCTCTCTCTCTC